ATCACTGCACTACAGGACTAAACCAGGACTAAACCAGGACTAAACCAGGACTAAACCAGAACTAAACCAGAACTAAACCAGGACTAAACCAGAACTAAACCAGGACTAAAACCAGAACTAAACCAGGACTAAACCAGGACTAAACCAGAACTAAACCAGAACTAAACCAGGACTAAAAACAGAAAAACTAAACCAGAAAACCAGAAACCAGGACTAAACCAGGACTAAACCAGGACTAAACCAGGACTAAACCAGACTAAACCAGAACTAAACCAGAACAAAACCAGGACTAAACCAGCTAAACCAGAACTAAACCAGGACTAAACCAGGACTAAACCAGAACTAAACCAGAGCTGTACCAGAGCTGAACCAGGTCCAAACCAGGACTGAACCGAGTACTGAACCAGGACCAGTGTTGGGAAGGTTACTTTTAAAATGTATTCCCCTACAGATTACAGATTAGACACCCCAAAATGTAGTTTGTAACGTAATCCATTAAATTACTTAAAGTGAGTAACATAATCTGAATACTTTAGACCTGGTTTAGACCTGGTTTTAGACCTGGTTTTAGACCTGGTTTTAGTCCTGGTTTTAGTCCTGGTTTTAGACCTGGTTTAGGCCTGGCTTAGACCTGGTTTTAGACCTGGTTTAGACCTGGTTTTAGACCTGGTTTTAGTCCTGGTTTTAGACCTGGTTTTAGACCTGGTTTTAGCCTGGCTTACCTGGTTAGACCTGGTTTTAGACCTGGTTTTAGTCCTGGTTTTAGACCTGGTTTAGGCCTGGCTTAGACCTGGTTTTAGACCTGGTTTTAGACCTGGTTTTAGTCCTGGTTTTAGGCCTGGTTTAGGCCTGGCTTAGACCTGGTTTTAGACCTGGTTTAGACCTGGTTTTAGACCTGGTTTAGACCTGGTTTAGACCTGGTTTAACCTGGTTTTAGTCCTGGTTTAGGCCTGGCTTAGACCTGGTTTTAGACCTGGTTTTAACCTGGTTTAATGTCCGGCAATGAGTGAAATTACCAAAAAAAAAAAAAAAAAAAAAAGGATATAGAATTAAATATTAAAAAAGCTAAATACCTCTGTGTAATTTATTTATTTCAACCAAGTAACTGTAATCTAATTACCACTCACTGGAACAGTAACAGTTACTCATAATTTGTACTCTGATTACGTAACTCCGGTACATGTAATCCGTTACTCCCCAACACTGACCAGGACTAAACCAACCAGTTTTTCACTCATGCAATTAATGATGTATTTTGATTTCTCTAACCCTTACAGAATCCTGAACCAATCCGGTCAATTTGTCACGTTTTAAGGTCAATTGTATTTGTTGAGCGCAGACAAGTTAGTCTAGATGTAGCCTGGGTGTGCTAACATGAGTACCATCTCTGACTGTTGCCTTATGTTGGGAATTTTGCATTAAAAGGAAAGCATGAATGCACAAAGGCACATTTCTTTGAATAACCTCATTGTAATCATGATCTAGGTATTGTTAAAAGGGTTATTTGCTACAGTATTGGTTGTTTTTTGTGTAACCTAATCTTAAAATCCCGAAGCGATTAAAATATGAACACGGAAACTTACAGACCTCACGTTTTTCCTCCCAAAAGTCTTGTAGTCCAAGTCAGGGCGCGGTCAGTACTAGTCTGCGTCGAAATAATCCCAAATCTGGCTGGTTTTCGTAAAAATGTAGATAGTTTTCTGAGCGCTGGTCTCGAGCAAAGGTTTGCAAAGTTTGCAATGTTTAAAAAACGCACATAGCAACAAATATAACAACAGCACGCACGTGCGCACTGACGTAAGCACGTGGCGACTTGCCGTGTTCTACAGTCTATATGTGACAGATTCAACAAAAGTGGGTCAATGATTTAAAATATTGTTAAAAACATGATTTATTTATATCATTCTGTTAAATTTAAAAGATAATTCATTTGGTACAAAAAGTATAAATGTTAAAAACTGTACAATTCCATATTTACAAGTTCGTTGTTGTTTTTTTGAAACAAAGTCATGGAGTAAGACGTGAACTGCGTCTCTGTCCGTCACTGCCTACAAAAAGCAACCACGTATCTCTCCCACACTGTCGGAGTAGAGGGCACAACATTTTGGAGGCACCGCTGGGATGTTTGTCCAGAGTTTTATCCGACGACCGGAAGCGGAAGCTCGAGCCCAATATTCCTTTTCGAACCCGAGCATCGGAGCTAGTATCGGAGCTAGTATCGGAGCGAGCAGCAGCAGGAGGCACCGCGGTCAACTTGGCTTTGTCGACCACGTGGAGCAGGTTGGATCTCAAGTGCGCACAAGCACCACTAGAGGTCACTGCAAGACCACCAAGTTGATAAGCCCACGTTGGACTGTTTTGCCCACTTACCTGATCAAAATGGAATCAGAGGTAGAAACAGTGCAACTAGAAATCCAAGGTGGACTATAGGGACTGAATGTTGAACAACTGCTAAGCATATGTAATACAATGATACCGGGAAGAGAGCAGCTCAGTGGCAGAAGTGGAGGACAGCTAATCGCACTTATCACAAGCCATGTTGAAACATGTTGCTTGCTATTTGAATTGTAGTTTTTTTGTTTGTTTGTTTGTTTGTAAATTGGGGTCTATTAAATACTAAGATATGTTTGTTATTCTATATGATTGGATACAAGTGTGTGGAGTTGCAGAAAGGGCCGTTATAGCAGGTTTAGTGTTCCAAGTTGAATAGTTCAAGGGCCCATATTATTCTATTTTCTTAAACACTTCCAACTTGTGATGTCATGCGGTTAGGAAGTGCTCCAGTGTGTTTTTAAACTCCACACATCTTCATTAGAATCATTTGGAGCTCATTTCAGCCCTAGAATTGCCCATTTCTACCAAACAAACAAATAGTAGTTCAGTATTCTTAACTATATTTCAATCATTTATTTGAAAGCTGCGATGTTCAGCTGGTGGGATTTGCCCCAATAAGTGGATATTAATGATGATATTTGAATATGTATGAAATGTATAAAATATCCACATTTACATTGCCCATAATTCATTTGTCATTAAGTTCTGTAGAGAAATATTCACTAGGGACCATATGTGCACATTTGTTGAATTTAGGCTCTTTGTAATTGCTCCTGTCTGCTTCTCCAAATGATATCATACCAAGCAAGGGCTGCATCGACTGGGAAATATCTATAACATCTTATATATATTTGAATTTGAATGATTCACATTCACATTTTAAATACATATAATATTTAGTACTTGACAAAATAGTGAAATATGAACTGGTAAACTAATAGGAGAATGGCGTGCATTTCAGAACATGTTTGTAGACGTCTAAACCGCTCGGACCCAATGGAGGATGCAAAAGACAATGTATTACCTTAAGAAATGCTGCCTATATGCTTATCTTATTGTCTCCATTCTAATTTGGACTGGATTGTCTTGCAGCAGTCTTACCAAAAATCACATGTAATTGTATAACTTGGTATTTTTTTGACCCAGTTTACAAAGTGCTAAACTATTGCTACTTTTTCCCCACTGTTTATGTCTTATCCCCATCTGTCAGTCCATTCTATGTAACTTCATGACATTTTGCACCTTAGCTTTGTGAACTTGTCTACCACTGGATGCCTTCTTCTTGTTCTTCTGTAGAAATGGAACTTTACTTCGGAGAGATGCTTTGGTCAGAAATGTATAAATGTGTATATTTTTAAAGTAAAAAAAAACAAGTGGGATTTTCAAACCTTATGCTTTTGTAATGGCATAGAATAATCATTTGAAATAAAAAATGTACAAAAGTGCATGTTGTCTTGTGTATCTTAATGCAAATTCCAAAGTATTGTCACTTTTCTGGTGGCAGCCTGTTTGTCTCTATGAAGATGTTAGTTCTTTGCATGGAATAGTCCACAATATGGTCTTACATGTATTATTCTTGCATCAGTTTAAATGGCAAATACTTTTCTGGCTCAAAATATGTGGAAAAACATGCATTTCTACTGTGAGCAGGTTCCAATCTCCTCTGATCTGATGGGGAAATTGACTTGTTTTCTCATCTCCATGGAGATAGATAAGTTCAGTGTAGTGTTGTGGAATGTTCTATGGTCACAGCAATTACATCGCCATGGAGACAAGCAGCTTGCCAGAAAAGTGACATAGTGCACCTTTAATTCTTCACTATCCTGTAAGCCTCATATCATCTCTCTCTTTTTTACTCCACATCCAAAAAAGTCCATCTAGTCTTGGTTTAGTTTTGGTTTAGACTGTTGACTGTAGAAATAAATGGACATAGCTAACGCACTAACTACAGCCTTCCAAATAGGACGGAGACATTTAAAACTGTCACTCCTTTCCCTAGAAATGCTGCAGTAAACCTTGGCATTTTGGTTTGAAAATGTTTATATCAATGTGCTCTACAGAATCCTGTGGTGTTTTTACTTTACAGTTTTGTCTCTTAATACTTTTATATTTCTGTTATGGATCTGGGCTCCAAATTTGCCCCTAGAAACACTAGCCTTGTGAGCTTCATTTGTCACACTCCCTTTGTCCATTTCTTAATCCAGCCTATGGTTCAGACCTGGTTTAGTCCATCTCTAAACCTGGAAATTCATAAACCAGGACTAAACCAGCATCAAACTAGGACCAAACCAGGACAATACACCTTCCATTAGTCCTTCTAGTCCTGGTTTAGATCTAGTTTAGACCTGTTCCTAGTTTAGCCCACCCACTATGTTTAAAGTATCCTGGTTACACCCCCTACTTGTTTTCATGGGGATAGAAAAGTTGAATGCGTAACTGTGAGACATTGTAAATAACATCTTTATGGAGACAAGCAGCTGACAAACCATCTACCAGAAAAGTTGCATAGTGCACCTTTAATTCTCCAACAGATTGCAAGTCTCATATCGACCTGGTGTGAAAGAAGGCAAATTTTTGGGTTACGTTTCTCCCATGTCAAATCTGTCAAGTTGTTTTAGACCTGGTTTAATCCTAGTTTAGACCTTGAGTAGTCCTGGTTTAGTTGCATAGACCCATTCTAGTTTAGCCCACACAAATCCTTGCAGTATCTTTAATGCACTTTTAAAGACTTGGAAAATCACTTTCTTAATGAATGAAGTGCTCTTCTTGTCTTCAGTTCAGTGACTCCATTTTCACAATTAACATGTTCTGAAAATAGACCCAGGATCTAAGTAACTCTCCCTGAGCTCCTTGTGTCAGCCGCCGTGATGGACTTGGACTTGATGGACTTGGATATCATATTGTCATTGTGGTGACAGAGATTCATGTTTTACACAACAAAAATGTTATATCAATGGAAGAATGACTTTATTTCTTCCAAAAGAACAGGCAAATATACTGTATACATGTGGACTAAATCAAACTGATGGTTTAATGTATGATTTTGGGAAGGAAAATGAATTGGATGATATCATAGTTGAATTTGCTTTAGTTCTACTTATTGCTTTTCATTTTTAATATTTTTGTTTTAAGAATACATCAAATATATAAGAAATAAAGACTACCCATTCTTAAGTAAAAAGTACTAAACCAGGTCTAGTCCAGGTTTCCAATTGTGGAACAAAAATGTGTGTGCTATTGTCTGGAACCGTGCAGCTGGTGACAAAGAACAGCATCATCTGTTTTTTAAAGGAATTTCTTAAAACTGAAAGAATTCAACTCAGCAGATAAAAAAAAAAAGACCTAATGCGTGTGCTGGTGCTTTATTTTGCTATTTGGTCTGCAAATCAATTCCTATTCTTAATTCCAAACGGACTCCAAATTTGTCCCTATAACTTCTAACCTCTGTGAGCTTCCACCTGTTTTGTTTTGACAGTGTACTGCACAGACAGTGTGTAAATATCTCATTTTGACCAACAAAAGTGACTTCTGTGACTTTTGAACATCATTGTAAAGCGATGTTTGAGAAGGATGTAATGTGTACAGTTTGTGTGAACATCAATAAAAGTGACAGAAAGCTCACATTTTCTCCCTCCTTGTTCTTTTCCCTTCATTTATACTAAAAAAAGTTGTGATTATTCTTTGTTCTTGAACTTCCACTGTTCTGGTAGAAGGGCATCAGTGTGTGCTGTGTGACTTGGATCTGGCAATAATGAAGGCTCCTCAAATTTCAGTACAGCCATTATCTGATATATAATATAATATAATATAATATAATATAATATAATATAATATATATATATAATATATATATATAATATAATATAATATAATATATAATATATATATATAATATAATATAGATTCAGTCAAACTCTTACATTTCTGCTGTTAAACAGTGAAACTATTATCTGAAGCATTATGCACTTTAATTTCAGACAAGCAACTTTTCATTTTGTGACATTTCAAATTGTCTTGGTCACAGTTTCAGTTCAGTTATTGTTTGTAATAACAAAAGGCACAGCACAGGCCAAATCACCACTAAATACTAAATACCAAAAGGAGAGTCTGAGGCATAATACACATAAAAGACTCAAATGAAACTTCTCTCACCTCAGATGAACATACAGCAGAAATCATGTCATGTTATTCACTCCCTTTGATATTTAGTACATCTTTTTCCTCAGAAGCAGCTGTATTTGTTTTGATGTGGACATGTCTCTTTTTGGCCTTGTTGTATCTCGTCAAACGTGTGTAGTTAGTGATATAAAAGTGGATTACTGTAAACTTGAATACAAGATTTTCTCCCTCGCAGAGTGCCCTCCACCTCGAGAATAGCCCCCAAACGGAACGTTTCATCACTCGACAGGGATAGCCCCACCCGGGGCTTGTTGCTGCGGGACACGACTACAGCCGGCCGGGGTGCGGCTCAGAGCAGGGATCAGTCGAGGAGGATTTTCCACCACTGCCCGCCTCGCCGTCACCAGCAAAATCGCCGGCAACCAAGAACGTTTGCAACGTGGAGGTGGACCCTTCCATCATCAGCAAAATCTTTGCGCGCTTTGACGCAACTGAAAACTTGATCAACACCAGAAGTGACTGCATCAAACTTACCAGCCTGGAGGAAAAGTTTGAAAAACTAACCACGGACTTGGCGGAGGTAACCACACACGAGTGACACAACTAGAGCAGAAACCTGTAAAACAGACACAAAGACGCATGGACGAAATCGAGACATATACAAGAAGATGGAACCTGAGGCTGACAGGAGGACCCCAAACCGATCAGGAGGATGTGCGCGCCAAGGTGATCCAAATCTGCCAGGAGGTCGTTCCTGACACGAAAAACAAGCTGGTGGACAGTGTGGAGACGGTCCACCGATTGGGAAGAAGACGCGCGGCTGCGGAGGGCTCTGCACCTCGGCACATCATTGTGCAGTTTGTTTCTCGGGTTTGCCGGGACGCGGTGTGGAGGGAAGCTAAAACTTCACTCTATCTCAGACAACATGGCTTGTGCTTCAAGGAGGACATATCGAAAGGGGATCGAGAAAGACAGGAGAAACTGTGGCCCCAGATCCAGAGAGCGCGAGAGGCCGGAAAACGAGCCGAGCCTTCTTCACGGGGGCCGAGCCTTCATCGAAGGAACAGGAGAGATCGCGCTCACGGAAGAACATACAGGAATGAAGGTCAGTTTGGACATGTTGACTATTTACGTTAAAGGACTCGAAATGTTAAGCTGTGAATAAAGGACCAAAAGTGGATTAAGAACATGACATTTTGATTTGGGCAACCTTAGCCCACTGTTTCCTTTAGAAAAAGAATTGACATTTATTGGTGCTGCAGGCGTCGTGAGCCTGCCTTTCTTTTTCATCCTAAGAGAGGATTTCTATTTAGTTTAGTTTGCCTTTTTTTTTTTTTTTTTTTTTTTTTTTTTTGTCTGTTCTTGTCCTGTCTATGAATGTCAGGGAGATTAGGAATGACTAGAAAAGGAAAGTTTTTTTTGTTTTTGTTTTTTTGTCAGGGGAAACAAGCAGATTTTTATTTTTTTACAAGAGACTCATGCCTTGGAGGCAGACAGATCCTTTTGGAAAAATCAATGGAGAAAAGATATGTGGTTTTCATTTGGCAGTAACAGATCGGCAGGGGTCGCTATATTAAAAGGGAACTTTAGGGGGCAGATACTTCAACATTTTGCAGATGAGGAGGGACGCTGGGTGATGTTAATTATTAATATCAATCAGGTACAATTAATTTTGATAAATGTTTATGCAGCTAACAATAAAACGGCCAATAACTTGATATTCTCAACTATTGAAACTAAAATAAATAATTGGTTAGTAAAATTTCCTTCAGCTAAAATCATTTGGGGGGGAGATTTTAATACTGTCATGGACGACAGGGTGGACAGATTTCCCCCTAAGGACCAAAAGTCAAATGAAGTCTATAACATGCAGAATACAGAATGAACTTAATTGACATTTGGAGACACAGAAACCCAGACACCAAAATGTATCTGTGGAGCAATAAAGACATGTCCTTACAGTCAAGATTAGACTTCTGCCTTGTCTCAGCAAGTACAATTGATAATGTGGAAACAACCCAAATTACACCTACTATATTTTCAGATCATAAAGCGATTATTATTGAAATAAATATATCATCCAAAAGACTAAGATATAATACAGATGACTGGAAATTCAATAACATTCTACTCACTAATGAGGATTTTCAAAAACAAAAAAAACTTTACCTCTTTAAAGAAATGATTTGTTGAAAGTGAAAAAATCTGAACAATTGAAAATGTTAAAAAGTATGAAAAATGTATCTCTATGATACGTATAGAAACATGAAAGCAAAGCTCATATTGGGCTGCATATTTAAGAGCTCTACTCATTCTTTCAAGTTTTGAAAACTATCCGGAAGGATATTTACCAGCATCATTAAGACAAGGTCTTATTAAACTAATTCCTAAACCCAAAAAGGATCAATTAAATTTAGAAAACTGGAGAACAATCACTCTATTAAATAATGACACCAAAATATTTGCCTTAATTTTTGCCAAGAGGCTTAAGTCAGGACTGGAGGGACTTATAGATGAAGAACAGTCAGGTTTTATCACAGGTAGAAGTATAATAAATAACGTTGTCTTAGACTTTATGGATTATAATGAGGATATAAGAGAGGACAGTCTTGTTTTATTTGTAGATTTCTATAAAGCTTTTGACAATCACCAATTTATGATAAAAACTCTGGAAACATTTGGCCTTGTATAGTGTTTGAATTGCAGCAATAAATCGCTTTCCAAAGACTGTAATAGCTCTGTCAAAATGTTCTATGGAACATCTGCCAGGATAAATATTGAATGAGGAATAAAGCAAGGCTGTCCTGTCAGTCCTTACCTGTTTTTACTTATTGCACAAATGATGGCTACTTGCATCAAAAGGTCAGAATTTCGAGGTATCTCTGCCTTTGACAGAGAATTTCAAATCTCTCAGTTGGCAGACGACACAGCTGTGTTCTTGAACAATCAAAGTGATGTGAGCAATGCTATTCATTGTATCAGAGATTTCTCAGAGGTGTCTGGATTATGTGTAAATTTAGGTAAATCTGTCCTGTTGCCACTTAAAAATTGTGATTACTCTGAAATGTACAGTAATGAATTGATAACTGGCCAAAAAATTAAGCAGACGACTGAACTCGGCCAATTTTTCAAAAATTAAAAAATAATAATAATTAATTTGACCTTAATGCAACACCTTGACCTTGAAAGTACCCAATTGTTGTACAAAATGAAGCACCATGTTAAGAGTTGTCGACACTAACACATTTAGTAAGGTTATAAGGCAACTGGTCTCAAATTGAGGCCCATTTGCGTATGAGACTTTGGATGGCGTCTATCTTGAATTTGGCATGAAATTGAGTTTTTTTTCTCCTTTAAAAACAAATCCACTGCTCCTGACTGGGTGCCACAGTGGTATTGAAGGTGGTATTGAAAGATTAGGTATTGGGATTAACTCAAGAACAATATTAGACACATAGATTGTATAAAAGAAGTGGACTAAGTGAGTGTGACGTCACCCACAGCTTTCAGCGCCGCTCAAATGAGGCTTGCAATGCTCGTTACAGGAGCAAATCTGAAGCTAGGCTCTGTGTTATGAATAGGATTTTTTTGACGGACAAAAAAGTGAAAAAAAATAAATAAATAAAAAAATCTGGATCATGTAGAGTGGATTAATATGAACATTTTAAGACCAAAAAAATGAGGCTGACAGCAGCAGTTACAGAGAGAGGGACGGCAAGATCCAAATGCAAAGTCAATTGGAGCCAGAGTCAGAAGGAGCCGGAAGAGCCTCCTGGCGAACTTCCTGTATCATGGCACACATACTTATTTTGATATGGAGAGACCATGCCTGTCCTTTTTTGGTTAATCCACCTGTCAATCACAGCCATGTGACTTCAAATTGCATGTCAGAGAGTTTTATCGCTATGGTCAAGAGAGATTCCAAAAGTTATGTAAAATATATCACTCATTTTAAAAGATCTTTGGCATTTTTTGTCGTACCAACGTGGAAATTGGCACTGCACACTCCATTAGGATGAACCCTCCGAATTTGAGATTGGTCGGCTGAGCAGCTCGAAAGTTATGAGTAAAACACACAAACAAACAGAGACACAGACGTTCCTTGAATTAATAGATAGACTAGTACTTAAAATATAACACTCATTTTACCAGATCTTTGGCATTTTTTGCCCTAACAACATGAAAATTGGCACTGCACACATCTGTAACATTAGGATGACATCCTCTGTTGGATGAGCAGTTTGAGAGTTATGCGTGGAACAGACAAACAGAGACACAGACAGACGTTCCTTGAAATATTAGATGAGTGAATAATGGTGATTCTACATTATTCGATGATTAAATTGACCTGTGGATATGTGCTCTCTTTAGTTGGAGCCCTGTTTTAGCAGAAAACAACTGTCCAAATGTACTACCTACGGATATTCACATAAATGAGTTGAAATTTTACTAAGGTATAAAGTATAAAGTGTAATGACTGCATATAAACAGCATCAAACTTGCTGTCTCTAACTCAAGGGAATATGTTGTAAACCTGGGGAGGTTAGGATTAGGGTTTGGCTTTATTGGATCTATACAACTGTAACTCATTTTGACGGGGCTGCCCATTTCAACAGAACACCAGCATCAGAACAAAATAGGCAGGTGCAATAAAGTGATATGAGAGGTGGAGCCGTTTATAATGATTAATCAAGGAACAATTTACAAGCAACTGTTAAAAGACAAAGGTCCTGCCTGATGCCACATTATACTGCTGTGTACTGGTGATGGTAAATTCGGCAGAAGATATGTATTTCAAAGTGATTGTTCTTTGTGCTACATTTGGTAAGAACTGTTAAACTACTTATGTTACTAAATTAAACCTTTCTGTTTGTTATGGATTTTTTATTACCAGTTCTCTCACTCTGCAGGTTTGGCGTCTGGAGATGGTGTGTTGCCTGACTCTGTGGATGCAGCTGAGGGAGGCACAGTCACGTTCACCACTTCACTGGCTCCAACACAAACTCCATTTATAACAATAACTTGGTATTTTGGCAGTACAACTATCATCACTTCAAACACTGATAGTAACTTTACTGCTCCAGAGTATGAAGGCAGGATCACTCTGTTCATCTCTACTGGATCTCTGCAGCTCAGGAACCTGTCTCTTAATGACGCTGGAGAGTACGGCGTTATCCTGAAACCAGCAGGAAGTAAGGTGCAAAGTGGGACCTCTACATTGAACATTCATGGTAATTATAATGTTGCATTATTATTCAATATTTATTTCATGAGCACGTGAATTAAAAACTAATATTGGCAGAAGCTTGTTAGAATTTTTGAGTCTATTTTCCTTGGGGGACAAAGGCACCCTTTGGACAATTTTAAATTTTTTTTCCCCAATATTTTTATTAATTTTCAGACAATAAAAATTTCACATGAACAACTGACCACGTTATTAACACAGGTCAACATACAACCAAAAAATAAATAAAAATAAAGATAATAATAATAATAATAATAATTACAAACATAATTTCACATCATACAAATTCACATATTCACTACACTATTTGCACAAATCACAATTTATCAGTCATAGGTAAGTCCTTGATTTATATTTGGTGACCATATGTACCTAAAATGAAAAAAATAAAATAAATAAATAAATATATATATATATATATATATATATATATATATATATATATATATATATATATATATATATTATATATATATATATATATATATATATATATATATATATATAATATATATATATTTATACACAATAATAATAAAAATAAATAAATAGATTAAAAAAATATAAAATTAATTAATAGAAAATTGGTAGAGAAACATAAATAAATAAATGGATAGATATATAATACAAAAATATAAATTAATTAATAAACAATAAAATGAGATAGATAAATAATAATACTAAAATAAAATAATAATTACAACAACGACAACATTAATGAAAATAAATAAAAAATGTTGTATTTGTCACTGTTATTATCACCGCCAATGCTGGACAACAATAACAATATTATTATACATATACATCACTTCTATTTTTTGGATATAATATTTAAATAAGGTTCCCATAATTTCACAAAGTCTTTTCGTTTTCCCTTTGTTATAAATGTCAATCTTTCAAGGCCGACACATTCTGAAATTTCCTTAACCCACTGTTTTGTTGAGGGGGCTTCAATGTTTTTCCAGTTTAAGACGATGGTTCTTCTTGCATGTAATATTCCAAAGTCCAATAATTTTGCTTGTTTTTTTGTCTGTAATAAACCTTCTGGATATATTCCAAATATACAAAGTTTTGCACACATAGGAATCTTTACACTGAATATTTCTGTCAAACATTTTATAACTTCTTTCCAGAATATTTGAATTACTGAGCATTCCCAAAGACAGTGTATAAGAGTTCCTTTATAATTACTGCATTTGGTACAAGTGTCAGGAATATTGCTGGAGATATGGTGGAGTATTTCAGGAGTTATATAAACCCTTGTTAACCATTTATATTGAAGTAGTCTAAGTCTCGTATTTATTGTTTGTTTTTGTGCTCTTAAACATGCTTCACTCCAATCTTCTTCACTTATGTTTTTGTGCAGGTCACTCCTACCCTTTCGACATTTAATCTGTTATCGGTTAAAGGGCCCATCTCATGCAAAATCAAATTTTCAGAGCTTTCTACCTTTTAAGAGTGATGTGTGGACCTTGTATATGTAGCCGAAGTGTTTTTTAGATTGATTTGGCGTTTTTTTTTAACTAAGTGCATCGTATTTCTGCCACCCTCCCACGAGACAACGAACTAAAGCTGCTACAACGATGAAGCGGCAGATACACCTATGATGCGTTTGACGTAGCAGAAAGCGCTTCGCACCCACCCCCCTCCCCTGCTCCACCGCCTTCGCCCCACCTCCACCCACCTTGGCTGACAATTCCCACATGAACACCTAAACAAAAGCGACAGCAAAAGTTCATTGTTCTACACTGCAGTGTGCACAATATAATAAGTTTATCTACTAGTGTTTATTAATACTTTACCAATCAGTAATGTTCAGCTGATGTTGACGCGGTGCTTGAACTTCGTGCTCCTCAAAGTCCTCGTCCGATTCCGGGTCCAACACATGCGGCTGAACGCGCTGCATTGCCATTATGAATAAAAGTTTATTCCTACCACTATCAGGGCGGCACGTCTGTCTGCCCCTCCCTCCCTGAGATGGGCGGAGGAAGGGCGACTCACTCAGAGCCTACGTCACGTTTGGAGGGCGGAGCCTGTGCTTTCTCAGGACGGATGGAGGGATGAGCAATAGTCATTCATTCATAGTTCCTGGTCTGTGACTCTCTCCAAGAAATCAGTAAGATTTCATAACTATTGTGTAATGGATGTTCCAAAACCCAAACTGTGCTTGTTTATGTGCAGAAGATACAATGTGAAAAGAGTTATTTTGCATCAGATGGGCCCTTTAAAAGAAGTGTTTTTTTTGTTTGTTTTTTTTTACTATTAGTGAACAATCTGTACCACCAGCCATGCTCTATTTTCATATATAGACTAACATGTGCTGTCCCCCTCCCTCAGAGCCAGTGTCTAATGTGAGAGTCACAGTGAGCAGCTCAGACTTAGTGGAGTTCAACAGTTCTGTGACTCTCTCCTGTTCTGCTGATGGGATCAACCTGACAACTTTCCTCTGGTTCAATGGCACTTCTGAAGTTACACTCAGTGACAGAGTGCACCTCACTGATGGAGGAGCAACTCTCACTATAGCCACTGTGTGGCGCTATGACCAGGGACCATTCACATGTAAAGTGTCTGATCCTTTCAGTAGCAGCACCAGTGCCCCAGCAGAAGTCTCCATCAGCTGTGAGTAAAGCATGTCTACAGTTCAGATGCACAAACAATCCCATGTCCAACTCTAAACTGTGTATTTATATTTGATATTTTCAGATGGACCTGATGATGTCATTTTGAGGAGCTCTCCTTTACTTGATTATTATGAGGAAGGTTCAGACTTGTCTCTGTCCTGCTCAGCTGACTCCAGACCTGCAGCTCACTTTAAATGGCTTTTCAATTCAAAGCTGTTGTCTTTTACTGGAGCACAGATACAAGTGAAGAACATGCAGACGAACCAGAGTGGAGACTACAGCTGTCAGGCTTTCAACAGCAAAACTCTCAAATATACAACGTCTCAGCCTGTGAGGATCTCTGTGCTGAGTAAGAACTATTCCAGTGTCATACACCTGTCCTTCATCTACTTTTACATGACACCACAGTGGACAAAACATTCACAGCTTGTAAATTGTGTTTTTTATTGATAACATTTGTTTGCTGATTTTTTTCTTAATCTTCACAGGGAGAATCACAAAAGTTTCTGTTGTGCCATCCTCCAATGAGCCGATCGAGGGCTCCTCAGTGAACTTAATCTGTGATGCCTCTGGTTCCATCTTCACCAGAAACTGGTTGATAAATGGACAGGAGCTAAATCCTTCTGAAAACATTGTATTTTATGACCAAAAACGAGTCTTGTCCTTCAAAGTCCTGAACAGAAAAGACAGTGGAAGGTACCTCTGTGAAATCAGCAACCCCATCAGCTCTCAGACAGCTCTTTATGATCTGGAGGTTTTCTGTAAGTGTCTGGGTTCATTGTGTTTCATTCATTTACTGGAAAACATTTCCTTTAACAGAACGTTATTGTACAGATGGACCCGAAAATGTTCAAATCTCAGGTCCAAAAGAGATTCAAGTGAAGGAAACACTCACATTAACCTGCTTCAGTAACTCTGTACCAGCTGCTAAATACACCTGGATAAAGGATGGGACAGTTCTCACTTACTCATCTGAATATACTAAAACCATGGTTGGATCTTCAGATGGTGGAGAGTACATCTGTCGAGCTTCAAATCAAATCACAAAGAAAACATCTGAGGCATCACATACAGTGAATGTAAAGGGTAAAGAGTGGATTTATGTTTATTTTCCTGTAGTTCAGAATTTCTTGGTGGTCAAACAGGCAAAATTTTAGAGAAGATATGTTTTATCTTATATTTATTTAGCATTTAACTATAATACACACAGACATTTACATGTTGTACGTTGTAAGTACAGTATTTATCTGAAACGACTTTTGACCACAGCGAGTAACAGATTTTATTCTTTCCTGTTTAAAAATGGCATCATGACTTTTCTGCAAACCACTGTCTGAACAAACTGAAATGTTTTTTTTTTTTTTTTATAATAATTTTTATTTGCAAACTACATAGATTACAACAAATAGGAACCAAACGACATACAAGATACAAGACAGACATTACGACTGAACATTACATACAAATAGGAACAAAGATGACAGGGGTTGGTGACAGTGTGAACCTTATGTGCGTGTCTGTGTGTGTGTGCGTGTCTGTGTGTGTGTGTATATGCGTGCGTGTGTGTGTGTATGTGTGTGTGTGTGTGCACGCGTGTGCATACGTGTGTGAATGTATGTGTGCCGGGGGGGATAGACAGGCTATGCGGATGATTTAATGTTGACCTGTATTATTGCTATTTAATTTGAGTATTGAAAATTTGTTAAGTGTGTGTTGGCATTTTGCCTCAGATCCCCACTGAAGTGGGAGCAGGCCAAGCCACTCTCATGCCCCCCAAGGCGGGTGCGCGGGCCACCCCCAGGGCTCCGCATGTGGTCGCCCATCGACCAGGCCGGCCCACCCCCCAATGAACCACCTCCCGGTCTGAATGCTCCCCCTCCCTGATATATATGTACATGTGCATACATTCACACGCACACACATGCATGCACGCACCTGCCTGCACAGGAATGTGCACGCACATCCACATACACACAAGCCTACACACATACTCACACAATTCACACACATGAACCCACATTCATCCCTGGTTGACTTGTGATGCATTAAAAAAAAAAGTTGGGTGTGATGCATTAAAAGTATCAGGGAGGTAAGGAGCTTGGGGGTAGACCAGAGAGTGAAGCCAGCACAGAGGGGAGACCCTGAGGGGACGGGAGAGCACGCAACCGGGCACCCGTAGGTGGACCCCCACACCCAACACCCAGGTGACAGCAGAGAGGGCCCAGCCCGCTAGGGACCTGAGGCAGACAACTTTGTGCTGTGTTCCTAAGTCTGTTAAAGTTCTGTTTTATATAGCCTGTCTATCCCATCCCTGTTTCTTTATAAAATTAAGCGGTGTGTATGGCATTGCGTGAACTGAAATGTTCTGAGCACATAAGCCTCAGATGCAGGACAACACAGGATTACACACACACACACACACACACACACAAAACATGCAGGATCAATCAAAATACAACTATGAGCAAATGAACACTGAGGAAACACCGATAGAACATGGACAAAATAAAGTAAAAGTAAATTCTACAGAATATGTTTTCTTTAAATCATATGAACCCAAATCATCACTGGATCTGTGGAGTTTTCCTGTTTGACTCTTCACATGGCTGTGCTGCTCACAATAATTCAACATTCACCAGTCACAATGTGCACAGTCTGCAGTGACACTGAGAGGACACTAAGTGGTGCTGTGGTTAACTGGATCTCATTGTATTTCTTGAATAGGTCGGGGGTGTCCCTCAGCTGGAGCCATCACAGGGGTAACTGTTGCTTTATTAGTGGTCGTTGCTGGAGCTGCAGCCGGAGGGTTTTAGGTGTATAAACACCAGTAAGTTCAAAAAAAAAAAACATATCTTCAGTGTCTCATTTATAATATGTATGCAGGCCTCCTGTATACTGACTATGTTATGTTTGATTTGCATTTATTTATTTATTTATTTATTTTATTTTTTCAGAAAAGGCAGAAAGTTCAGGAATAACAGTAAGTATTACTGCATTTTATCAAATATTCTCAAAATAAAGTTTAAGTGAGATTACATCTCCACATCCAGGTCAGAATGAGCTGTATGTTTACGAGAATACTTCAAATACACACAACTCTAACAATGAGGAAGAAACTGTGTATGAGAATGATTTAAATCCATACAATTGAAACTTGTAACTCTAATCTCATTTTTACTCAAATTTCCTCATCACATAAATTATTAAGTGTTTTAGACTCTGTGTTTAACTCGAACAGTTCTGAATGTGTGTATTGTTCTGGAAATCTTTACATCAGTGATTTTTTACTGGGTTTAGGCTGTTCATAAATGGTACATCAGATATTTATTGTTAAGCAAAGTTATCACAACCTCTTGATTCTTTTTATCTTGTTTTTTGTAACTAGTTTGATTGCTCGCTGTAATCCTGTCATCCTCTGTAGGACACTCTGGCCTTGTACCCACATACGAGTCTATCGTTTCTATCAGTCCTAGTTTGTCATTCTACTCATTGTTGTGTGTTGACCCAGCCTTGTGTTGACCTGTCTCCAGATGAGACTAGGTCTTATCTTATGTGTGTGTATTATCCCTGTGCTTTATGCCCCCTGTGGGGTGTAAAGACTCTGTCTACATTGTTATGTGACAGTTTAGGGACAAACGAGTCTCTGTCAGGGACCGGCAGTTCTGTGATTTTATGCACAATTGCTTCAATAATCAGACTCATTGATTCAAAGCAACTTTTCAGTTCTTTTTTAATGTTTGCAGTCTGTTCCACAACACTACATACTGTAAAATACAACAATGTCTCTGCAGTTGGATTAAATAAACCTTGAACAACAGAGCAAAAACTGTTTAAAACTATGACATCAGTGCAGTGAAGTAGTTTTGCTGTTCATATTCATTCTTTCAGTATTTCTTTATACTGGTGTCTGGGATGTTGTTTAGTGCTAACCCATCTCTGTCAGGGTCACTTGCAGGCCATTAACAGTGAATGTAAAACTAAGTAAATATTTACAAATGTATTAAACAATGTAGTGGCTGATTGCACATGTTAAACTTAGTGAAGCTCTGTGAATAAAGTACAGCTCTAAGGTCCAAAGAGCAAAAGGTTGATCTTGAATCTACTAATGTGTCTGTCATTCATCTGTATAATATAATTTAATGATTACACAACACTTCCTACTAAATACTTCATATTACCACTGTGTCCTGATGAAACTGCTGATGCTGAAAACTACAGAAGATATGAGACTCCAAGTTTTTATTCTTTGTGCTATTTATGGTAAGAACTGTTTAAAACTATATTTAAATATTGAGTTTGATTGAATGATTTATATTGAATTATTAGTGAGTTATTTCATATGTGTGTGTAATCTCCAGGTTTGGCGTCTGGAGCTGGTGTGTTGCCTGACTCTGCGAATGCAGCTGAGAGAGGCACAGTCATGTTCACCACTTCACTGGCTCCAACACAAACTCCACTTATAGCAACAGGATGGTCGTTTGGCTCTACCGATATCATCACTTCAAGTTCTGCTGGTAACTTCACTGCTCCAGAGTATGTAGACAGGATCACTCGGTTCATCTCTACTGGATCTCTGGAGCTCCGGAACGTGGCTCTTAGTGACACTGGAGAGTAGTTGAATGTATATGGTAAGTGAAACTCCAGCAAATCCATAAAACATTAGTGCTAATAAATACATGTGTCTTAGTGCATATGTTCGTGCTTAAAACATGCGGAGGTGCATTGATTAAGCTTTTTTGTTACTTGTTACTGTTCTTCTGGAGTAAATTGTAAAATGTTTTTATGTCAAATTTCTCTGATTAGAAACATTTACAAAATTTTTATTTCAAGTCACTTTGTGTGTTTAAAAAAAAATAATAATAATAATAATAATTAATAATTAATAATTATTAATAATAATAATAATAATAATAACTCAGGAGAGTGAGGATCTCTGTTTTGAGTAAGTCAACAATTCTACATTTAAAGAAGCTATAAAACATTCAAAATCATCAAATCACAGAGAACATACTACAGTTCTTCTAGTTTAATTTTGAACTAATGATATTCTGATTTTATTTTGTTTTTCCTTCCACATAGAGAATTGCAAATATGTATGTCAAGTCCTCCTCCAATGAGAGAATCGAGGGCTCCTCAGTGAATTTAACCTGTGATGCCTCTGGTTCCATTTTCACCAGAAAGTGGTTGATAAATGGACATTAGCTAAATCCTTCTGAAAACATTGTATTTTATGACCAAAAACGAAGTCTTGTCCTTCAAAGTTCTGAACAGAAAAGAGTGGAAATCAGCAACTCCATCAGCTCTCAGACAGCTCTTTATGCTCTGGAGGTTTTCTGGAAGTGTCTGTTATGTTTCATTCATTTACTGGAAAACATTATTTCACAGATGGACCAGAAAATGTTCAAATCTCAGGTCCAAAAGAGATTCAAGTGAAGGAAACACTCAAATTAAACTGCCTGAGTGACTTGGTGCCAACTGCTAAGTACACTTGGATAAAGGGTGGGACTGTTCTCATTCACTCACCTGAATATACTAAAACCATGACTGGATCTGCAGACAGTGGAGAGCACATCTGTCGTTCTTCAAATCAAATCACAAACAAAACATCTGAGGCTTCACATACAGTTACAGTGCATGTAACAAGTTAATACAAGTAGATGAATGTTTATTTTTCTGTAGTCCAGACTTTCTTACTGAGGTTATTCTTTATAGAATATGAACACAATCAGCAGAATCTGTGGCATTCCTGTTTGGCAGCTCACATGGCTGAGCTGCTCAGGATCATTCAGGCTACACTTCATTAATAAAGTACAGCTCTATGGCTACAAATATCAATCTGAGAACAGTGTCACAGATACACCGGGATATGCTTCAACTGAGCTGAGAGCAGAACACATAGATAATAATTGAAAGTGTTAGGGTCACTGTCCTTATCTAACACGAACTGTTGTAAAATCCAACATTGTTCTTCCTGTTCACAGGTTCTTTCATTTCAGTTCTAGCCTTGCTGGCACCTGACACATTGTCACTGGAGTGTCTTCTGGAGATAAGAACAGTAAATCTGCATTGAGTCTCCTAAATGTGAATGAATAGCATCAAGTTGACTCTGTTGGTGTTTTATAGTAAAGTAAAGTTAGTTTTGTGCACTGTTCTGCAGGTTTCTGTTCAGGAGGTGGTGTATTATCACAAGGCTCTGTAGATGCAGCTGTGGGAGATGCTGTGATGTTCACCACGTCTCTTTATCCAACACAAAGGGTGTTTGGCACTAAAGCTTTCATCTGCTCTACTGTTCCTAACACTACTGCTCCAGAGTATGAAGGCACAATCACTCTGTTCATCTGTGCTGGATCTCTGGAGCTCAGGAACGTGCCTCTAAATGACACTGGAGTTATAACGTTGCCATAACGAGCAGATGGAGCTGTAAAGGATGGACGCACCAAATTAAACACATGGGGTAAGTAATGACACATTAATAAGAAATGAATTCTGCAGACAATAATGTATATAGTCTGTAGCTATACAAAGAACTGATTATAAAAGTCATGAATTGCACCGGTGATGCTGTGGTTTAAAGCGTTGCACATATATGGTTCCTACCACATTGATATTGTGGGCTCACCCTCAGTAAGTCTCCACCCACTCTCTCCATTTCATACTGCAGTGGTCCTGTCATATAAAAGGCCACAAATCTAAATATCATTTTACTGAATTCCTTGATTAATTTGTGGATTTTTGCTGTGGTTTAATGAGAGAAGTTGCCCTTATAATCAAAATACAACCTACCAGAGTTGTGTGGCACTTAAGTGTTCACATGTTTGCCATCTGTAGCACCCAGACAATTTGGAAATCCCCAGCACTCCCAAAAGTCTTGTGCAGTGGCTCTCCAGGATGCCTCTGTTAGTGGAGGGAACTGTGTCGACATCATTGTCTTTTCAATGGCACCAACTGTTGAGTGGACAATCTGGGCGACTGTAGCTCTTCCAAGTTTGTACTGGAAGGCCAAGATTTGAAATGTCTCTCCAGTTGCAAGGAACCTGAAACACAAAGAACAATGTACAATTAGTCTATTGATATTATTATGACTACTTTCTGATTTGATGTGGCATTTCCCTATAGAGGAAGATTGAAAGAAAGAGATGGAAGGGGCTGAGAGCCAGCTATGTCCGTTTCAAAAGACAAAAGGCACCAAGCAGCTCTGGAGCTGGACCCCAAAGAGAGTGGAAGTGGGAAAAAGAAATGGAGTTTCTCTTACCACACTTACAACAAAGAGGGTAAGATGCAAAAATCATTTTTATACCACACACACCATTAATGACATCACTATTATATATTTTACAGCGCACATACTTTGCTCGGTCAGTTTAGTGATAAAGACGTGACAGCAGTAGAAGAGGACGCGAAGGAGCCTCTAAATCTTCAGATGTAAGAGCTTCAAGAAGTTGCCCCCTCCCCCACAAGTACCATAGAATCTGAAGTCTTTAGAGACACCCCCACCCCATCAAGTGTTGCTTCAGGTGGAAGCACACTGTCATTTACAACAGGATACTGTAGAACTGGAACACCACCCATCCACCACCGGGTGCAGGCTCTCATAACTGGGCAGGTCAGAGCAGGTCTGCTGAGTCTACTACAGAGGAGAGGCTCCTTGAAATATTCTTCTGTTTTATACACACATATATATATATCATAATTAAAACAAATTAGTGCTCTGAAATGTATTTTTGAATCCTGGTGTTTGCCGTGATCAGCAGGCTTCTATTTACGTACAGACGGTAAATAGAAGCCTGTGCAGTGGGTTAGTTTCACTGTACAGCGAAGTCTGATATTCTCTCCCATTAAAAAACGGAGCCAGTACCGCGCACATACGTCCTGCTGGACATGTCGATGTCGCTGTCTTCGTGTCGGGGGTTTCGCCTTGGGTTTTGAAAGACACCGTGAGCAGATACACAAATCTCCGTGTCACAGAATTTTAACGTCTCCCATGACAAGAAAACCCTTGTGTTGCTTTAATGTAGGAAAGTGTACATCATTTTGAATCCGTTTCCATAGGTTTTCTGCCAAGGTCTGACTGGATATCAATTATGACAAGATTATGAAGTGTGCTCTTTTCTGAGAGTTTGTGGCTCTTAAAAGAGCCGTTGTTGTGAGTCGAGTCTCGGGGCGTCTTTACTTGGCCTTCTCGGTCTTCTTGGGCAGCAGCACAGCCTGGATGTTGGGCAGCACGCCTCCCTGAGCGATGGTGACTCCTCCCAGCAGTTTGTTGAGCTCCTCGTCGTTGCGGACGGCCAGCTGCAGGTGGCGGGGGATGATGCGGGTCTTCTTGTTGTCACGAGCCGCGTTTCCCGCCAGCTCCAGGATCTCAGCGGTCAGATACTCGAGCACGGCCGCCAGGTACACGGGAGCTCCGGCGCCGACGCGCTCCGCGTAGTTGCCTTTACGGAGCAGCCTGTGCACACGGCCCACTGGGAACTGCAGCCCGGCCCTGGAGGAGCGGGACTTGGCCTTAGCGCGGGCCTTTCCTCCGGTTTTGCCTCTTCCGCTCATGATTACACTTTAACTCAGTGAAGTGGTGAGAGAATGAATGTCCTCAGACGGAGCGCAGCGTATTTATGTGCGAGAGCGCGTGCGTTTCAGCGCCGCACCAATGAGCGGCCGCGCTCAGACAAGAGGAGGAGCTCTGACTTGAACAGAATTCTCCACGGAGGAGCATCAGTTATTATGCTGGACTATTTGGCCTGTACAGGATAGAATAATTTAGGCTGTCACGATTAATATATTCATAGTGATAATTCAAAACTATCACAGTCTTATTTTGATCATTATAATCATTATTTGGACTGTACAGGACTCAACTTCAGTCATCACCAATGTACATTTGGTTAAAAATGTTTTGAAAGTCAAAATTTACAATTGTTTGACTATTCACATAGGTGACTAAATAATCATTGACTAGACTAGAGAAATATTAAAATAATAATTAGCACCAGTGTGAAGTGAGATCATTTAACTTAAGGGGCTTATCATTTGTCCCGCTCCATAGGTCCAAACAAGAAACTAATGAGGTATGTCTGATCAGAGTCTACATGAGCTTCTAGCTTCCAGTCTGACCCGACTTAATGAGAGCCGAGCATATAGACAAGTCACAGTACACGGTCACACGTTCATGAGAAGGATCTACTGTTCCTGGAGAGGAGCACGCTGCTAATACTGTGCCTTTCTAAGTAATATTGACCAATATCACACATTGAGATCATAAAAACTACATGCCCAAAATGTTAGTACTAAGTTTTTTGTGAAATTTCCAGAGGCTCAAGTGACGTCACTAGAAGTGTTACATATTGTGTCTTTATGCACAAGTATATCTATTAAGTTGCAAACATGTCCAGAAGTAGACAGGTGTTGGGAAGAAGAAAAAAATAAGTAAGAGCTCTTTAGTGGAGTGTGTGGCTCTTAAAAGAGCCGTTGTGTGTGTATATTGTGGTGGAGCAGTTTACTTGGAGCTGGTGTACTTGGTGACGGCCTTGGTGCCCTCGGACACGGCGTGCTTGGCCAGCTCTCCGGGCAGCAGGAGACGCACGGCGGTCTGGATCTCCCTGGAGGTGATGGTGGAGCGCTTGTTGTAGTGCGCCAGGCGGGAGGCCTCTCCGCCGATGCGCTCAAAGATGTCGTTGACGAAAGAGTTCATGATGCTCATGGCCTTGGAGGAGATGCCGGTGTCGGGGTGGACCTGCTTGAGCACCTTGTACACGTAGATGGCGTAGCTCTCCTTCCTGGTCTTTCTCTTCTTTTTGCCGCCTTTCCCGGCGGTCTTGGTCACGGCTTTCTTGGAGCCCTTCTTGGGCGCAGCCTTGGCGGGTTCAGGCATGTTTCTGATCGGAATCAGGACACTGAGGAGACGGGAGCGCGGTCCGCTGCTTTTATCTGGGCCTCGCTGCGCTCTGATTGGTGGAGCCCGAACGCGCGCGGGATGTGCATGGGGTTATGGGAGGGGGCTGTGCAGTCTTCAGTGATTTTTGGAGGGAAACAGACTAAAGAAAACACCCCTCCCCTGTTTTGTTATAGAGATACTCAGTCCTCCAAGTAATTTTTGCCTTTAACTAAATGTGACGCACTAAAGCGTAAAGTCAGTCTCCACTGTCCACGATGAAACATGCCCCATTTTCACTGAATACTCAGTTTATACTTTCAGCGCTTCACAGGGAACTGAGTGTAAATCCAACGTTCCTTTGTTTTTGAGGACAAATAAAAATACTGACACGTGACGTCAGCACAATAACTCCAACCTCTGAATTCAACTTGGTTTCCAGCAGGCTGTACACTTCTGCAGAAAAAAACTTCCGAATAAGGCGACACCAAGTATGTTTTATTGGAGGAATCCTGGCGCAAACATGAATTTTATACACAAGGAAATGCACAAAATCTGCGCACCTGTGCATATTTTAGAGGGGGGTTAATACTTGGAATGGTTTCATACTGAATAGACGCTACTTCCGCTAAAGTACTTGCGTTCTTTGCGTGGATTCTATTTTGGTATGAAATGTAACGGAATAAACATTGGCAAGTACATGTTAATGCAAACCAAGGAAACAAACTGATTTGTTTGGCAACACCCGCCAAAAAACTAGTGGCTTAAACCGTTTCATATCCAAAAATAAACGTGTGTAACAAGGAGTTATAACCTCTAAACACCACGAGGATTAGCAAACTAAAAACAGAACTTGCCCTTCAAAAAAGTTGTGTGGCCCTGAAAAGGGCCGTTGTGTGTCACCAAGAGAAGTAGAGTTTAACCTCCGAAGCCGTACAGAGTGCGGCCCTGTCTCTTCAGGGCGTACACCACGTCCATGGCGGTCACGGTCTTCCTCTTGGCGTGCTCGGTGTACGTGACGGCGTCACGGATCACGTTCTCCAGGAAAACCTTGAGCACACCACGAGTCTCCTCGTAGATCAGACCGGAGATACGCTTGACACCGCCGCGACGAGCCAGACGGCGGATAGCGGGCTTGGTGATGCCCTGGATGTTATCACGGAGAACTTTACGGTGACGCTTGGCGCCTCCTTTCCCCAGACCTTTACCTCCCTTTCCTCTGCCAGACATGTTCACCTCTGAGTCAGTTGAATCACAAGATGACTGGACTCTCCGAGCGCACAGTCTTTATTCACTGATAGAGGACGTGACAGAGAACAGAGGCTCTCTGGCGCCATCATCTGGACAGTATGTGCACTGAAAAAAACACAGGTAGGATAAATTCAAATCAAAGATGAAGTGAACTCACATTCTCCCGCTAATTTTTCTTTATTTATATTCAGCAAATAAATAAAACTATATTAACTTTCACTCTTTGGTGAGATAAGAGTGTCTGTGCTGTTCTAGACTCTTCTCTTTGTGTTCACACGCTGCTTGTTGTTTTTGTGTATCGAGTATTGACACACTTCATGTTGTTACTGAATGAATACTGCAACATTGTGTTTTGTGGCACAAAATGGACCGATGCGTTTATAGTACAGGGGAGTGGGAATGTTACTTATTTAACTTTTAATTTAGTCGTTCTTTATGATCCTTATGTTGTAATTGTGTTAACTCCCTCTCCACACCACATTTTTCTCTACAGCATAACAAAGGTTTAGTGTTTCTCCAGCAGTTTATTGACGGCGAGCCTGACCCGAGCCTTGTCTTTGTCCGCATCGTATCCCGAGGCGGACAGGGCATTCTTGAGCGCGGCCAGGGACACGCCGCTGCGCTCCTTGGAGGAGGACACGGTTTTGACGATGAGCTCGCTGACGCTGGAGCCGTTCTTCTTGGCTTTGGCGCTCTTCTTCTTATCTAACTGTTGTGTTGAGTTTAATGCGCCTTAAAGTCCGGTTCGGTTTATTTGTGAAAAAAGTTTGAAAATAGACCATTCAGTGAGCTATAGTCATTGAATGGTCCTGTCGTGTGGAAAATACATAACCGTTCTTCTTTTTTTCACAGTGATAGGTATTGGTAGGTACTGTAACATGGTCTCAGATGAGGTATGTCTTTTTACTTGACAATGTCATTTTGAGTTCACGGTTTGTAGCACAGCAGGAGGATACAGCACTCTACTCCACACTGCTGCCCAGTCGTCATGTGTGAAGCGCTGGGATGCTATAGTTTTAAGAATGCATTTATTCACTACATACAGATGTTACAGCACATCAAATGGACGATCAATGGAAAAAGGAGACCAGAGGGATGCATGGAGAAAGTCTGGAGAAAGAGATGCTGGTTTGTCAACACCCATTAGCACCACCCAAACCCTGCCTCTTTGCTCCTCAGTGCCCCAGGTAAGCAACTCTCACATGAAATCACAGTGCAACTATTCATCATGTATGTCTCTACCAGTGATTTCATTTTATCCTTAAATCTTAAATCTAATGCAGTATACAAGCATTGCCTCATGAAGATGAAGATGAAGATGATGGAACCTAACTGTCAGATGTCTGACAGGTTTGGTGGGAGTACCCCAAAATATTCTTAGGCTTTGTGTCCTTTTAAAAAATGATTAAAGCTGTGGTAAAAAGTGGTACAGTAAAAATGCTGAATTCAAGTGCAGTTTTTATTTGAGTAACATTTATCATGTTTACTTAGTGAAAAGCATCTTTGATGATGACTGATAGACAATGACCGGTCCGTTGAGCTGACCATATCTGGGACAACAAGGCCTGTCATAGTTCATCTGTATGAGCCAATGTAAGTACAGAGGTGTCTGAGTGACTGAGCACGCCTGGGAAGAATCATGTACAGTCATCATCATGTCACAACAGCCATCATGAGATGCTTCTGACAAAGACTGAAGATACCATTGAAACATAAGAGAATACATTATCATCTCTTATCTGTATTTCTAATATGAATGAACAACTAAATGTAAATGATACTGTTTTTTTTTTTTTTTTCCAACAGCTACTGTTCACAAGAGGAGCAGAAAGGAATACAGTCATGTCCATTTACAAGTACTTGTAAGTAATTTTAAGATATTATATTTTACAACAGTGTTAAAAACACTCAAATGAAATAAAACAGATACTAAGATTATTATCACACTGCCGCTACTAGATTGATGTGAAAGGGCATTCACTCTGAGAGCCGTGCACTTGGGCCGGAGTGAATTCCACAGCCACATTCTGAACTACAGCAAACTGTCACCAGAGAAGTGAGAGTGTGTGCGTATTCACGGGGCTCTGTCTTCATGAAGCGAGTTGTCTTCAGCAGTCAACTGATGACCTCTCGTGTGTGTGTGTGTGTGTGTGTGTGTGTGTGTGTGTGTGTGTGTGTGTGTGTGTGTGTGTGTGTGTGTGAAACCAGAACTAAATCTCATGTACACTGAGGTTGGTCCACAGAGCACATGTAACATATGCAAAAATAATCTTAACATTTCCCTTTGTTGTTGTTGTTGGTTTTTTTTCAGCGTAGTACAATTCTGGATGGTTCTGAGTAGCTCTCCATCCATCCATTTTCGTCCGCTTATCCGGGGTCGGGTCGCAGGGGCAGCAGCCTAAGCAGGGACTCCCAGACTTCCCTCACCCCAGACACGTCCTCCAGCTCCTCCGGGGGAATCCCGAGACGTTCCCAGGCCAGCCGAGAGACATAGTCCCTCCAGCATGTCCTGGGTCTTCCCCGGGGCCTCCTCCCGGTGGGACATGCCCGGAACACCTCCCGAGGGAGGTGCCCAGGAGGCATCCGGAACAGATGCCCGAGCCACCTCAGCTGGCTCCTCTCGACGTGGAGGAGCAGCAGCTCTACTCCGAGCTCCTCCCGTGTGACTGAGCTCCTCACCCTATCTCTAAGGGAGCGCCCAGCCACCCTGCGGAGGAAACTCATTTCGAGCGCTTGTATCCGCGATCTCGTCCTACCCAGAGCTCATGACCTCCTTGAACCGTCACCTTATCGTGGTGGAGGGGTCTGAGTGCCCGAATGATCCCGGGAGCTATGTTGTCGGGGGCTTCATTCCCCTGGTAGGGTCACCCAAGGCAAACAGGTCCGGGGGGACGGGTCAGACGAAGAACGGTTCAGAAGCCCTGTATGACAAGTGTACCAACGAGGCCAGTTACGTCACCCGGATTGGCGTCACCGGGGCCCCACCCTGGAGCCAGGCCTGGGGTGGGTGCTCGTCAGCGAGCACCTGGTGGCCTGGCCTTCCCTCATGGGGCCCACCACCCGCGGGAGGATCCATATGGGGCCGGTGCAGAGAGATCTGGGCGGCAGTCGACGGCGGGGGCCTCGGTGACCAGATCTCTGGACATGGAGACTAGCTCTGGGGACATGGAATGTCACCTCGCTGGGGGGGAAGGAGCCTGAGCTTGTGCGGGAGGTTGAGCATTACCGACTAGATATAGTCGGCCTCACCTCCACGCACAGTTTGGGCTCTGGAACCCAACTCCTTGAGAGGGGCTGGACTCTCCATTTCTCTGGAGTTGGCTGGTGTGGGCCTGCTCATTGCCCCACAGCTCAGCCGCTGTGTGTTGGAGTTCACCCCGGTGAACGAGAGGGTCGCGTCCCTGCGCCTTCGGGTCGAGGACAGGTCTCTCACTGTGGTGTCGGCCTACGGGCCGAACAGCAGTGCAGAGTACCCGGCCTTCTTGGAGTCCTTGGGAGGGGTACTAGACAGTGCAACAACCGGGGACTCCTTTGTTCTCCTGGGGGACTTCAACGCCCACGTGGGCAACGACAGTGACACTTGGAGAGGGGTGATTGGGATTTACTCTGAGTAGCTCTTTAAAATATAATTGAATTGAATTTTCTTATGCTCATTCCTAACAGCTTAAAATTGATTTTCTGTTTATCGATTCATGAATCTGAACATGTACCATCCTGTCATCATGAATGAAGCAATAAGAAGAAAACTGTGTCCCCTCTGCTGTGTTCCAAGTGTACTGCAGAGTATGTCCCCTAGAGAAAAGCTCATAAAAGCTCAGAATTGCTCATAAAAGTCGAGAATACTTTAACTACTAAAATCATGTTGTTCCCCCCCAGCTCACCCAGTGCTTTCATTTGAAAAATAGACCATACTGCCACCTGCTGGAAATGTCCTGAAGCTAAAAGCAAATGAAGATGAAGAACCTTACTGTTGTCATCATGATACAAATGTGTCTATCAGAACAATCTCTCAGGTGTCTGGTAGGTTTAGTGGCAGTTCTCCAAAATGCTCTTTGGTGTTGTAGCATTTCAAAAATAATCAAAGCTGCATTTTTATTGACATTTGTGCAGTAATCGAATTGATACTGTTTCATGATTCATATTCATAGTGTTTTGCTGCTGTATAATTTGGTTGTTGATTTTATCAAACAATATAGATAAGATATATTTTATTTTCAATATTTTCAAATCTAAAATCATGTCTTTTTTTTTTTTTTTTTCTTTCTTCAACTAGAATAAAAAGGCTCATGGATGAATGTCATGGGGGGCTGTGCTGAGGAGAGGCATCAGTACAGTCAAACAACAACACAAGAGGCATATTGAGAGCAGGTTTAACACCACCACAAAGCTTAGGCAGCTCTGGGAGGGCATCAGGGCCATCAGACTATAAGAGGAAATCACGACCTCCCTCAGCTGACTGTCCCACCTTATCTGAGGAACACACGAGGAGGCATGTGTTCAGGACTGGGTCTAGAGTCGCCATAGTCCCCGTGTCTAAACCACTACAGACCTGTGGCACTCAATAAAGATTTTACAAAGTGAAATTTAATAGCTTCTAAAAAATTATATTTTTGTTGTAAGTTTTACTACTTGTAAGAATGTTTTGAAGGATTCTGGACATCAGTATCACAGCTACAAAAATATGAATAAGCCTAAATGACAATAGAGTAAACAGATTTATTTTACTACTCAAGTGAAGGGGAGTGTTTGTCTCAATAGATATACTTGATACTCTAGCCTATTGCATATCCAAAACATATCTATTCATTTGAGTGGCAAAGTGAAACAAAAAACATTCATAATGTACAGAATGTGTGGCTGAATCAGGACAAAAACAGACGAAAAACAAAAATGGTTACATAAACCTCAAGAGTTCTGAAGCAAGCAGTGTTGTTAATAATGAAGGTGTCTATTCAGAGTTCATGTAGTTTGGAATGCACAGCACTTTTAAAGTACTCTTTTTTGTGCTAATACAATATTCAAGATATCAGCAGAATTGATAAAATTGTATTAAACTAGTGTTTGAACTTTTGAGTTCCAAACCAGGTTCACCAGTAGCTCCTGAATCCCACTTGATTAGCAATACATTTGTTAGGAGAAACAAATCCTGAATGCAGTGCAGTGAAACAACATTATTATGACCTCATGAAATTGTTCAGATTAGGACGTCCACTCACTTAGTAGTGGCGAGCAACTTCTGGAGGAGCAGAGCATAGTTTCTCTAAAGATAAACTACAGAGACATGGCTGCCAATTTACATACATCATGTGATCAAATAGCACAATGCACCCTTTCATACATTGTAAAAGAAAAAAAAAACAATACATAAAGTGCTAAAAACCCTACTTTTGTTTAGACAATAACATTATAGCATGGTTTTAATATTTTGAGTCATTATTTAAAGGAAAATTCAGAAACTTTTCTCAGAGAGGGTCTTAAATATATTTATCGTATTTGTCTTCTTTCTCTCTCGATTCATCTCTCTCTATCGACACTTCTCTCTTTCTCTCTCTCTCTCTCTCGACATCTTTCTCTCTCTGTCTCAACACTTCTCTCTCTTTCTTGACACCTCTCTCTCGATTCATCTCTCTCCACACATCTTTCTCTCTCTGTCTCATCTCTCTCTCTTGACACATGTCTCTCTCAACACATCTCTCTCTTGACACATCTCTCTCTTGACTCATCACTCTTTCAACTCTTCTCTCTCTCGACACATCTCTCACATCTCTCAACTCATCTGTCTCTCTTGACACATCTCTCTCTCTCTCTCTCGACACATCTCTCTCTCTCTTGACACATCCCTCTCTTTCGACTCTTCTCTCTCTCGACACATCTCTCACATCTCTCAACTCATCTCTCTCTCTCAACTTATCACTCGCTCTCAAGACATCACTCTCTCTCGACTCATCTGTCTCTCGATGCATCTCTCTCTTTCAACACATCTCTTTCTCAAAACATCTCTCTCTCTCGACACTGCTCTCTCTCTCTCTCGCTTTCTCGCTCTCTCGACACACCGTTAGTTTTCTCCTGGTGGCACAACCTGCTTGTTTCTTGTTTCTATGGAGATTTAATGTCATACTGTGAAACATTTTGGGCAATGCAATAACCTTGAGCAATAATACTTCTATTACTACTGCTGCTGCTGCTACTACTGCTCATACTACTACAGCTACTACTATTACTGCTACTGCTATGGCTACTACTTCACCCATACTCACTACTTCTGAAAGAGCAGCGCCACCACCTTCTAAATTGCTCTTTCTCTCTCTTTCTCTCTTGACTTATTTGCGACATGCAAATGCTAGCCGCTGCCCCCTTTTGTCCACTCTGCCTATGGCGACTGTTGCTCGGATACCCTGAAGGATTCTCCCTCACAGCTCCTGAAGAACACAAAGGACTGGTCTTTTAAATAGCACAATAAGTCAAAGTGAAAGACCAGAGCCAGCCCACACCCAGCTCAGACTTCCATCTACTTTGAGAGAGACATGGTGGAAGATGTGAGAAGTTGGACGATGTTTTAGGTTGAGGTAAAAGTTAGGATGCTACTGAAGATACTGTGGATGCTGTGTGCCATTTGGAGTACAGTGGTGCAGGGTAAGTGTAGATGCCATCTTAATTTGTCTTTCAATTTTGACTGAGATGTTGGTAATTTGCACATACCTCAGCTGTGAATATTGAAATTATGCACTAGTATAGTTTTAAAGCTCTTACATTACACAAAACTGACTCTTGTGTGCTTTAGGCCATGTTATAATGTTGTAAAACATATTTTGTTTCATTCACACATGTTTTTGTTTTTTTTATTTTTATCTGTCAGTCTACATCTGCAAAGCCCAATCTTGCGATATCAATTGGTAGTTATTAAGTTAACAGCTAAAGTTGTGTGTTATGCATGTGTGAATGAAACAAAACACCTTGGCATGTGCCCCATTTACTTTGGTGAGTGAACTTGTGGGTAAAAACATTAAGTTGCAGTCTAACTTATTGGTTGACAATCCAAAAAAATAAAATAAAAAATAAAACATTGGCGGGTCATTAATAAATATGCTGGTAATAATAATCCTAACTTCGGCTATTTAACACCACTTATAAATAATCGAGACTTCAGCCCTGGTCTTAAAAGTGCAATTTTTCAAAGGTGGTATAGTTTAGGAATAAAAGTTATTGGTGATCTTTTTGATAGTAATGTTATGTCATTTGTGCAAGTCCAGAACAAATTTGGAGTCGCTCAGAGGGACTTCTTTGCTTATTTGCCGTTTCGTCACTTTATCAGTTCAAATTATAGTGCTACCCATACGAATATGCAGATGGATCCTACTGAAAAAGCCATCGTTAATGCAAATTTGAAGAACAGCGTCATTAAACAGTTCTACTCAGGTTTGCAGGGACATAATCAACGTAATATTAAAAAGTTGACTAATGGTTGGGAAGAAGATCTCCAATGCCAACATGAAGAACATAGTTGGAAGGACAGTATCCGTTAACTCATTCACTATTTCTCAACAACAAATATAAAGACACCCAATTTAAAATTTTACACAGGCAGCACAGAACACAAGTTTTTCTGAGCAGGATAGACCCTAGTAGATCACTTTATGTCTTAAATCTAGCAACAGATGGGACTTAGTTACTCTGTCTGTGGACTTGCCCAAAAATCTCCAAATTCTGGCAATGTATAACTAAAAAAATAAGCAACATTGTGAAATTAAAAGTAGCAAAGGGTCCTGGTTGGTTTCTGCTGGGGCTGCCACCTTTAAACAAAGTATCAGACAAAAGTAAATTAAAATTAGTGGCTAAATTACGATTTCTGGCATGGAGGTGTGTGCTGTTTAACTGGATTCATGAGAAACCACCTACTGTCACCCAGCGGTATAAAGACATTTTTAGAGTCTTACCCATGGAAAGAGTCAGTGCAAAATTGAAAGATAATGATAATTTCTTTAGGAGTTGAATCAGCCTCTGATTGATTACTTGCCCAGTGATCTCAGTATCATTTTACAGAGGTACATGCTCAGTGTTGTGGCGGGCTGTTGGTTTGCCTGTTTGACCAGGTCAGTGTGTCTTGCTCAACTGGGAAATATTTATGTAATGAGGAAAACTCAGACATATGCTCAGACTGCTCTTTGTTTTGTGTGTTGTGTTAAAATGTTGGAAACTTAATGAAATATGTTTTTTTTTAAAAACCAAAAAAAAAAACCCAAAAAACAAAGAAACAAAACACAACTGCAGGTCTGTTTTTTATGAGGAAACGACATTATAACAGATCAGAAAATAGTGTAATGTAGACTTGTTTAATGTGGCTTTAGATAATGATTCAGATTAGAGGGAGCCCTTTTAAGTTTAAACCAACTGGACTTCAGCACTGAAACTGGCAATCCAAATGAGAGACTAATTTTTCAAACAAAATATCAAATGGCTGAATTCTTTCTATCTACTCAACTGCAGTGTTGGGAAGGTGACTTTTAAAATGTATTTCCCTACAGATTACAGATTACATACCCCAAAATGTAGTTTGTAACATAATCCATTAAATTACTTAAAGTGAGTAAAGTAATCTGAATACTTTGGATTACTTGATATTGTCATGCTTTTTAAACGACATGAACATAGCAACCACATCCTGAATATTCTTGTTTGTTCTCTTCAAATTCTCTGTTGAGCCCAAGTCTCCATGAACAGGCTTTTGTTTACTGTAGAGAAGCAAAGACTAGGATATGTTAAAATATAATGTTTTGTCTGCTTAAAGACAATAAAAAGCCCAGTCTTTACTTAACCAGATTAAAAATATTATTGATAGAGAAATGATTTGTGTATGAGATCACCTTAAATTATGTCCACCTACTGTTTGGTGTCATATTGTTTATTAAAAAAATAAATAAAAATCACTTTCAGTACAAACATAAAGGCACCAGCCCAGTAAAAATCTGTAATATTGGATGTTTTTTACTCAAAATGATGCAGAATCAGATTATTATCAATGCCAATTATTAACAACCTTGTCCATTGTGTGACCGACACCACCAATGTTAACAAGATGTTTACGTCGCTCCTATTGCTGTGTTCTGTTTGGGTTTCCAGCAATGAATTACAGAAATAAAAAAATATTAAATTTAAAAAATGGATATAGCCCAGAATGTGAAAACAGGAAAATACCGCCATGTAATCCATTTATTTCAACAAAGTAACTGTAATCCAATTACCACTCACTGAAACAGTAACTGTAACTGAATACAGCTACTCATAATTTGTACTCTGATTACATAATGCCAGTACATGTAATCCGTTACTCCCCAACACTGCTCAACTGCCATGGTGAAATTGTACTTTTCAGAGTACTACTAGCAGCAAATATTTACTGCTCCTTGAGTTGTATTGACTTCAAAAATGTGTCTGATAAAGGGAATTGTTGTTTCTGCTAAAAAGTTTTGTTTCCTCCAGCGAGCTCTTCCTGTCCAATGGGAGCCCAGATGGAGCTGTCGTCTGAGCGCTGCCTCTGGCTCTCCACACAGGCTGCATCCTGGTCCCAGGCCCTGGACTCATGCAGACGTCAGGGAGGAGATGTGGCCAACGCTAACACCATCCAACTGCAGAGCTTCATCCACCACTCTTTCCTAGTGTACGTTTGCATGACGGTGCCACAGCCTGTAATACTGTAATACTGTAGGGAGGTTCAGTGTTTGGCCCAAATGGTGCACTGTGTCACTTTTCTGCTGGAGGGTCCACCACCTGCTTGAATGAAATGTTTGTATAAATGGAGCAGGTGACACTTTGGTGGTTTTCAGACTCTAGAATGTGATGATGTTATACTCTCAAGTGGGGGGCAAGAGCCAAATGCAGGGGCGAATCTAGAACCCCTAAAATCACCCCTAAAATGAAGAGGCCTTTGTTATTTTACTGAGCTGACTGTTTTCTTAGCCTGAGAGTGACTTTAGTATCTGCACATTTATGAGTTTATTTGAGATCTCTTTCTCTCTCTCGACACATCTCTCTCTCTCAACATCTCTCTCTCTAGCTCTCGACACATCTCTCTCCCAACACATCTCTCTTGACACATCTCTCTCTCGTGACACATTCCTTGACATATCTCTCTCAACACATCTCTTTCTACACATTTCTCTCTCTCTCTCTCTCTCTCTCTCGACACGAATCTCTCTCTCTCTTGACATATCTCTCTTGACACAACTCTCTTTCTCTCTTGACACATCTCTCTTGACACATCTTTCGCTCTCTCTCTCTCGACACATCTCGATCTCTCGTAACACATCTCTTGACATATCTCTCTCTGTCTCGACAGATCTCTCTCTACACATTTCTCTCTCTCTCTTTCTCTCTAAACACACATCTCTCTCTCTCAACACACCTTTCTCAACACCTCTCTCTTTCGGCACATCTCTCTCTCGACACATCTCTCTCTCTAGACACATCTCTCTTGACACCTCTCTTTCTCAACACATCTTTCTCTCTCTCGACACATCTCTCTAAACCAGTGCTTCTCAAATAGTGGGGCGCCCCCTGGGGGGGCGCGAGGATCCGTCAAGGGGGGCGCGTTTGACCTCGGGGAACATGCTTTTTTACTTTTTTATTTTGATTTTTTTTTACTGTCTTAAGGGCCGTTCACACCAAAGCGTCAAAAAACGCCTTGTCGCCTCTATTTGGAGCCTTTGCATTTGAGTTTAGACGCCCCCGACGCGCGTCTTTGACGCCGTGGACGAACGGGACAAAAATACTTGACGCGCGTCCGTTGCCCTGGAAACAAGAGCCCGGTCCCGCTCTTTTCCCGAAACAATGTCAGACCAGACTGAGAGAGTGTTTTTATGACATAAAACATCAACGGAGGAGATCGGGTCGACGACTGGGGCGTATATATATTTATACTCCACTAATGACGCTGGATCAGTCCCGGTCTAGTCCTGGTCTAATACCGGTCTGGTCCTGGTCTAATCACGGTCTAGTCCCGGTCTAGTCCTGGTCTAATCACGGTCTAGTCCCGGTCTAGTCTTGTTTAGTCTCGGTCTAGTCTCGGTCTAGTCCCGGTCTAGTCCTTGTTTAGTCTCGGTCTAGTCTCGGTCTAGTCCTGGTTTAGTCCTGGTCTGGTCCTGGTGTAGTCCTCGCGATCGGCTCGGTGATTGTGGCGTATATATTTATTCTCCGTTCATGTTTGTGGTTCTCGTTCTGGTTCTCGGGTTTTTCTTCCTGATAATAACGTCACTGCGTCACTGGATACTCGTCCCTGATTGGTTGACGCGGCGCGTCTGACGCGAAAAGTTCAGCATTTTCAACTTCTTGACGCTGACGCCTTGGACGCGCGTCTTGGCCGCTGACGCCAAAACGCTGAAGACGCGCCGCGCTGACGCCAGATTCGCGCCGCGCTGACGCCGAAAACGCGCCGCAAAAACGCAGGACGCTCTAGTCGCGCGTCCACATAGACTTTACATAGAAAGTGGACGCTTTGACGCTTTGGTCTGAACGGGCCTTTAGAATAAAGTGCAATTGCACTTCCACTACATTAGGGGGCAGTGGCGCTCTCATTGGCAGAGTGTGCGCAGGGAGCATGGATTGCATTCGGTGGTGTAGGAGTTTTGTTTGCACTGAGCATGCGCGCTTTGCACACAGCACAGAGTTTGAGTATGAAGTGTAGACACGAAGTGTAGCAGACCCTCAAAATATTTAACAGGGATGAGAAGACAGGCGGAGAGAGACGGAGATAAAGAGACAAACGAAAATCTCCCGAAAGCTAAGACGAGGAAATATGACGAAGCGTATGTAGCGCTTGGCTTCACTGTGACTACGGTGGGAGACGAGGAAAGACCCGTGTGTTACTGTGTCTAAAAATGTTGGCAGCGGACAGCATGAAGCCCAATAAATTAAGGCGTCACTTAAATACATTACACCCCAATCACTCTGATAAGCCACTTGAGATTTTTCAGCGAAAACGTGCCGAATATTGCCGACAATCGTCCCGCTTTGTGACTGCTACTTCAGTAAACCAGTGAGCGTTGTTGGCGTCATATAAGGTGGCAGTGTTACACAGAGTTGTACTTATAACAATTTTATAGACAAATGATACTATCTATAGTCACGCGGGGGGGCGCGAGATGTTTTATTCGTCCTAGGGGGGGCATGACAGAAAATAATTGAGAAGCACTGCTCTAAACACATCTCTCCCTCGACACATCTCTCTAAACACATCTCTCTCGACACACATCTTTCTCTCTCTCTACACATCTCTCCCTTGATACATCCCTCTAAACATATCTCTCTCGACACAATTCTCTTGACACATCTCTCTCTCTCTTGACACACATCTTTCTCTCTCTCTCTCTCTCTCTCTCTCTCTCTTTTTTTTTTTTTTTTTTTGCACAGAAAAGGCAGTGAGTGGATCTGGGTCCAGAGCACACAGAGTGGACTGACTCCATCGTGGCAGGACAGAGGACAAACAGAGGGAATGTGCCCACAGATCACTTTAGGAATACTGGGAAGAAACAGGAAATCTGTGTGTGCTGGACAATACCGCTTCCTCTGTGAGAAACTCCTGACAGGTGAGACTAAACCAATGATTCAACTACCTGTAAATGAAGAAATACAGCCCTACTATTTTAGGCAAGGAAGTATCAACTACTGAATGTTTCCATCTAGCCTGTCTCTGTCCTGTGCGGTTGATTTGTGCTGTGCAGATGTGTTGCCGTCTCCAGACAGCTTCCTGACGGGCCTGGTCCTCATGAGTGGAGTCTATGCACAAACACAAGTCCAGGTGCTCTCGAGGCCAGCTGATGTGGCACAGAATACTGTGGAGGTGAGTCACGATTTCTCTTCCTCATCTAAAAAATAACAAGGAGGGCAGTTAAGAATTCCATTGTATATTTAGATATTTATTTGTCAAAATTATAGAGCTCACAATTATGGTGGCAATATTAAAAACGCTAAGACCATAAAAACATTTTCCATACAGATAGACTTGGAGATAGACTTTTTTGACATACCCAAGTTTTAGCCAAAGCTACATTTCCTTGAAAACAAGTAGGAGGAGACCTTTCTCCCCTGCCAAATTAGAGTCAGGTTTGTGGAGATCCAAGCCCACTCAGAGTAAGGACGTGTTTTCATGTCAATAAACACAACCAAAAACATCCAAAATTTTCAAATTGGTGCTGTAGTCTAATTTAACCAGACACTGTAGCCCTCCACAGGCCTTTTCTTTAATAAAAAAAAATGCAGTGAGTTTTGCACATGGAGCTTTCAACAAAAGTGATCTTAGGGATTTCTGAATAATTTTAGTATAATCTGATATTGATCGTCATATTGCTATTGCGTTCCAGATGCAGTTGTTCCCAGGCCTATGGTTCAGTCATGCTGGCCAGCTCTTCTCTGTGGAGTTGGTGGTCCAGCCCAGTGCAGAGGTGACCCAGGCTCGAGTCCAGATCCTCCGGCCATACTGCAGCCCTGACCTCCACCTCGTACCACCAGGTATGTCCCCACACGAGTCACTTTTCTCTATGTGTCTCTGTGTGTCTGTTAAATTGTCTGTTTAGGTTTCATTGACTCTGATCTATATATGTTATACACATACATATATACACAAAGATTTTGAGCTTTTAAACATGGTAGAACTTTATTAATCCCCTAAGGATGTGTATGGTCTACATCCAATGGCATAATGGTTTTATGGTCAGATAATCAGAAATTATGTGTTAGCTTTAACATAATGGCAAAACTCTGCTCTGAAGTTGTTGAGATGTGAAAAGCTCTTCTAAACTCACTGCTGGGATTAATTAGGCTGCTTAGAATAGGTAAGTGAGGAATAACTTTGGGCCACTGCAAAGCGTCCAAGTCTTAATACATTTGCCAAATCTCAGAGCTGTGAGTGTATATGTATTTCAGGCAACATTTTTTGCTGTCACCTCCAGCATTAGTTATGTAAGGCCTCAACCAATATATCGGTTGGCAGATATTATCACACTTGGAGGCACTTGGAGACATATCGGCTATCAGCCTAAATCTTGCAGATAAGGCAATTATGTCAATTTAGTCCAATTTACAGACAGATATCAGTATTTATCTGCAGAGTAATTTGTCTGTGACGCCGTATTATCATTATTATTATTATTATTATTATTATTATTATTATTATTATTATTATTAATAATAATAATACTACTACTAATAATAATACTAATAATAATAATAATAATAATTTCCTTACACATAACCACATACGCACATACTTACACAAGTACATACATAATTTAAAGCCGAAACGCTGTACTGCCCCTGAACGCACCCCCAGAGGCACGTCACTCACGTGCACTTGTTTACACCCGCAGCTGCTGTCAACATACTAGATTATATTCTTTTTATGGACAATCTTTCTGGGTCAGGATTAAAAGGACACTTACATAGTGAAGACTTGAGATGTCTGTGTGAGCGGCATATATTGTATTTTTTTTTTTTTTCGCCATATATTGTATAAAAGAAGTGGACTAAGTGAGTGTGACGTCACCCATAGCGTTTAGCGCCACTCAAATGAAGCTCGTGATGTTCACGGAGCCAGACTCTGTGTTAGGAAGAGGATTTTTTTGACGGACAAACTAGCAAAAACAAAACTCAGAATCATGTAGAGCGGGTTAATACGAACATTTTAAGACCAAAATGACGAGGCTCACTGCTGCAGTTACAGAGAGAGGGGAGACAAGATCCTAATGTAAGTCAATTGGAGCCAGAGTCAGAAGGAGCCGGAAAAGCCTCTTTGCGAACTTTCTATTTGGCTCACGGCAGCTAGTGCGTTAGCTATGTCCACTCATATATACGGTCTATGATGAGTGGTAAGTGCAAATGTGTCGGTTTTGATGCTACTTTTGGTTCTTTCTCATTGTTAACACATAAACAGCCTGTTTTCTCTGACATTGGCTTACTGCAAAGTGACTATAGTGGCTGTGTATATGTTTTTGGACCTGCATTGATATGTAAATGAGTTGCGAATAGAGCAGCATTTGCCGCTAAAGGCTAACAGCGGTAGCTTACTTACCTTTTTTTACTGGCCAGAATGTCATGCTCAAATGGCATTAGTCCTACCTATTGTCTTTAAATCTGACTGTAAAGAGTCAGAATAACAATAAATATAGCCTAAATAAACCCAATTTTAAATTTAACAGAAACAAACCTAAGTTTTATAACCAACTGCAGATTTATAGTGAATTTTTACATCACTAAATATATCGGATTTTATATTGGCTATCCGCGCTTCCAACTTCTGTTTTATCGGTATCATATGCTGCAAAAAAAAAAATCCATATCGGTCAGGCCATAGTAAAGAGCATAATTATGTGTTGTCAGGTTGCATATCTCTGCTGAACCCCTTCAGTGCCTGTTCTGCTGTGCCTCTGTGTAACACCACTGGTGGCTGTGGCCTGGCCCTGCACTGGTGCCCCCTGTTGGAGACCTGCATACCCAGCACCCGGCCCTGTAGTCCTTATGACCCCGCAGCCCAAAGGCGTGGGTTCACTCTGCCACCCAGGCACCCCTCCTCTGCGGGCGCACCCCTGTATCACCTGGCAGCAGATCTACCCCTGACTGTAAGCGCCAGCCCCCAACCAACTACGCTCAGTGTAAGTATAAAGAGACACTTTTCTGTTGAGCAAATACCGTTTATCAGAAGGATGTTTGGGAAAATAACATAACATCTGGTTCTTGTTCTACCTATTTTTTTCAATGAATGAATGGATTTATTTTTTAATTAAACAGAAATGAGGTGCCTTTTTTTCTGAAACCTAATCATATAGCTCAGTTTAGACCAAAAAACAATTGAAATGCATGCAATCTATATTTATATATTGCACTGTGTAACTTTTCCAGGGGAGAGTAGGCAGTCGGCGTTTCTCCATGAACATGTTATTGGTTCGCCTGGAATATTCCCCAGTAAAGCATGAAAAAAAGGGGTGTTTTTATTCCTCTTTATGCTATCTTAAAAAAAAAAAAAAGCGTATTGTGTACTGTGAGAGGAGTCGCCTCACCACAGATCTGACCTGTGCTTTGCCTGGTAGCACCACCTGCTTCTCTGTAGATAGTTGCGTTTATTGACTTACTTGGCAAATTCCAAACAATGCTTGTCTCCATGGCGACAAGCAGGTGGCAGACCCTCTACCAGAACAGGTACGCAGTGCACCTTCATTGGAAAAAAAATTTAGGTAATTTAAAATGACTTTTACTTTATTATTATTTTTATTATTTTTTTATTTTATTTGAGTAGATTGAACTTGTGTTTTTTCCAAATTAAAGCAACATTTGATTTTCTTTCTTATTTTAAGTGCAAAAAGTCTTATTCCACTGGCTGATAATTTTACTTGTCAAGTGAAATTTACTGAAATCATGGAAAAACTTTCTTAATTAAAGTCATCTTAACTTGACTAGATTTTGTTTTTTGCTGTGAATTGCTCTAGTTATGCTTTATGTGCACTATGAACAGAATCTTTGTACTGTATTTAAAACCATACATTTCATTCTGATATTTCAGATCAAAATTGTTTTATTCCCAAAATATCTCACTTTTCATTTTGTATTGTCATTTTGTATTGCTCCCAATCCTTTCAACCTTTACAAGTCATGCTATGTTTTTTTTTTTACTTGTCTGTACTGTTACTTTCACATATTTGTATCTATTTAATAATTTACCTCTAAAATTCTTCTTCTTCAGTTGCTTCTCCCCTCCAAACCAATCATGGTTTATCCGGACGACATCGTGGCCATCCAACACACCCGCTCTTCCGGATCCTTCCTCCACTGCACCTCCCCCTTATCCTCTCCGGACTCCCCCTGGCGTCAAAGCTACCTGTCCCTAAGCGGGCCAGACTGGGGAGGCTGGCTCGAAGGTGGTCTCACGTCACTCTCCCACGGCGCTCAATGGGTCGATGAAGTCATTTGCGATCTGAAGATAACATACATGAACACGCTTCACCACGGAACAGAATTTGGGGATTTCTTCAGCTATACTGAGACGACAACGCTGTCTGATATGGCTACTTCTGTTCCAGGTTTTCATCCCACATTTGGTTTAACGGTTATCCATCCAGCGCCAGATGCAAACAACAAAATTCATGTTCAAATTAATGTCCCGATTCTTGTTGTAGTAAAGATCAAGTTTGGAGATGATGCTAGAAGTTTATGGTCTGGTCCAGTGCTCCAGTCAGATGTTGCTTTTGTACAAGTTTGTCCCAAAGAAGTAGCGCAAATGTTGCCGTATTGTGTTGGATCTAAAGATGCTTGGTTTTCCTCTGCGACCTTGATGGTGCATTCAGTGGGGGAACAGACCATGGGTATTACAGTGGTGCGTTCAAAGACATCGGAAAGTTTGGAAGTGAAAGTGTTGGGGTATGAAGCTGTGGCTGGACTGAGTGTTGAACCGCGTGGATGCACCAGGATCATTGTAAATACAGGACAGGTAATCTACATTTTGAAAATACATTTACTATGTTTGACTGTTGTTATTATTGACTTAAACATGTTGTGTCCAGGTAGAAGAAATAATAATTATGTGAAATTAATTATATGTATGTATTTTTCAAACTATTTCGAAACTAAAGAATGGACTAGATACTCAATAACGATTCTGATACCTCAAGGACAATGAAAAACACTCTTTCTTTAGACAATAGAATGTCATTTTCAACATTAAATAATAGTTCTTTATTTTATGTTACCATGTGGCCTTATGCCAACTAACTTATGCATTGACTTTGCAGTTTTTGTAACTGCTGCTTTATTATCATTACTTTTATTACCATAAATCGCTCCAGCTTATAAATCGCGCCAGCCAAAAATGTGTAATGAAAAAGAAAAAAACATATATAAGTCACACCGGACTATAAGTTGCACTTTTGGGGGGAAATGTATTTTATAAAATCAGAGGCCAGGAACTAATATTTCATGTTAAAAGGCAAGTTCTAGTAATAACAATAGATCAGAGAACACCAGGCTGTTAACGTCACATATGAACAGTTCTTCAGATAACTATAGCATAAACAACAGAACAGAACAAGTTTACCAAACTCTCCATCTCACTCCAAATCACTAAATCCATTCAATTCTTCATCCTTGGTGTAACCTCCGGAGGTAAACGGAGGTAGCTGTCGTCAGACTCAGCGTCAGTTCCAGTTAGAATTATTCCGGCCTTTCTGAATCCCGACAGGATGGTTTTGGTGTCACTGAAGTTCAGGCTTTGTCCATCCATCCAGTGATTTCCAGGAAAGTTCCATGGTGCATCCTTCCGGTGTCACAAGTTTCTCACTCCCCCCAGACTTTCTTTCCGCCGCTCAATTACCATTTTTGGCTCCATATTTTGCTACTTGCAGCTTGCAATCTGCAAAATATGTGTTCATTCTTCTCAGTTGTCTTCATAAGTTTGTTTAAATTTTAAATATTCAGTGGTGCAGAAGTAATGGTGCGATCGACTGACATGATACAGACAGGACAGAGGCTCTTTCTGCAGGAGACATGTGCAGTAGAGCCAAGTGATAGTGGTACAGGAGGAACAGGAGCAGCAGATACTCACACACAAGACTAGAGCCTCTCACGGGTGTGAGTGTGAACATTTTAGTATCACTGCAGTATGTCGCAGGAAACACCCAAACCATAAAAATGTGTGATTATAGTCCAAGTGCAATTGTAGTGCAAAAAATATGGTACTTACTTTTTATGTGTGTTTTTGTGTATGTGTGTGTGTGTGTGTGTGTGTTGTATGTTATTTTAGTTTTTCTATTTTCCATTTGTATAAATTAGAGTGAAAATCAATAGTTTATAGCTTTAATACCCCTTATTCTCTCAAACTGTATACCTTTAAAATTCAAACTAGAAGGCAGCAATTAGTATATTATAACATCTAATCTTGATCCACTTCAGCACAGTTTAAATACTGGATTTGTCCGTAGTCTTAAAATTTGACTGAGGTTGTTCTTTGCTGTACTAACTATAGCCTTTTCACTTGCAGATGTATGCAGCCAAAGTGGAGAGTGGGACCTCTGTAAATTTCACATGGTTGTTGGACGACCTCCGTGACTCAGCACATGAAGGAGCAACATATAATGTCATTCTGAAGAAAGTGGCTCAATACCAACTCAAAGTAAGCTTATAGGTGTGGTTGTACATATGGCAGATAGGGCTGGGATGAGACAGAATTTTTGATTTTGAAATAATTTCTGATAATGTGATCTAGTTATAAAAATGACCCAATTAAGTAATTTTCATCTTGATAACCTAATGTATATGCTTAAAACACCTGTATAAATCCCCACTTGCATCACTACTGATTACAATATACTCAATATACAATATGTCTATTACACTTAATTTTTATTATTTACATGATAAGACCAAAACTAGACCTGCTCCTCGCCTCCTTGGTAAATTAGTAATTTTACTATATTATTTTGTGATCTTTTTTGACTTTAGCACTGCATATTTGTGTCAATATTGGTTCTATCACTACAAAATACAAATTGGAATAGAGTTTAAAGTGTTCTCTGTTTAAGCTACATCTCTGTGTGGAGGAGTCTTTTAGCTGCAACTGCTCAAAGATGCACAACTTTCCAGAGCGAGGCACGTAACCCTTTCATGCCCTGCCAAATGTAAAGATGGAAGAAAACGAAATTGTGGCACAAGATCTTGTCTCATCCCTTATGACAAATGTGGTAGCATTCAAGATACCGATTATTGAATGGAATATACAAAGTGAATTTAATATCAGGATAAATATTTTTTTTCTGTGGAAGTACATTTGTTACATAAGCCAGTAAATTAGCATTTGTCATAGAAGGATGGTTCAATCTCATAAATTTCTGCCGGAGGATCTAGAGATGATAAAATCTCCAACATACAGTCCCTGACAAAAGTCTTGTCGCTTATCCATTTTGTAGAAACAAAAGCTTATAACTTGACTTTAAATTAAACGATTGGTTTTAGAAATGTCTCATATGAAAGCTAAAACCCTCCCAAATTATGCTCAATATACTAAAAAAAATTAGCTTCACTTGAAAAAAGATTGATCATTTAATGAACACAGAAAGGTCAGATTTTGGCAAGACAAAAGTCTTGTCGCCTTGTCATATGATGCACCCAATCCTAGATTACAGCCTCACCTGTGATCAGTTACTGATCAGTCAGTTAGTGGGTGTGTATAAAAAGAACCCCAGCAGACCAGACCTTCACATCAACTGCAACTTGACCTCTGACAACATGCCTAAGATCCACCCTGAGACCAAAGCATTAATTATCAAGAGGCTGAAGACCAGATCCACTGCTGAGGTGGCTGACACCTTCAATGTGTCTCAGCGTCAAGTACAAAGAATAAGAAAAAGATCTGAAATGACTGGAGATGTTTTTGACAAGCCCAGGTCCGGCAGACACCACAAGACAACTGCTCGGGAGGACAGTTTGTTGATTCGAAAATCCAAGGCCAGCCCCTTTTCCACTGCAGCAGAGCTCCACCAGGCCTGGTCACCTCAAGTCCCTGTGTCAACCACAACAGTTTGTACAATTCTGTCTCGAAATGGCCTCCATGGTCGAATCAGTGCACAGAAACCAGCACTAAACAAAAGGCAATTAAAAAACTGTGTGGCATTTGCCAAGGCCCACAGCCTGCTAAAAGGATGGACACTGGAAAAGTGGCAGAAGGTGGATTTCTCAGATGAATCCTCAGTTGAATTACATCACAGCTGCCACAAATATTGCAGGAGACCTACTGGAGCCTACATGGATCCAAGATTCACCCAGAAAACAGTTAAGTTTGGTGGCGGAAAAATCCTGGTCTGTGTTCCATCCAGTATGGGGGTGTGCGAGACATTTGCAGGGTGGAAGGCAATATCAATAACCTAAAATATCAAGACATATTAGCTATCTCTTACATTCCCAACCATAAAAGGGGTCAAATTTTGCTGCAGGATGGTGCTCCATCGCATAATTCTATCTCGACATCAAAGTTTCTCAAGGTGAAGAAGGTCAGGGTGCTCCAGGACTGGAGCCCAGTCACCAGACATGAACATCATTGAGCATGTCTGGGGTAGAATGAAAAAGGAAGCATGGAAGGCAAAACCAAAGAATCTTGATGAACTCTGGGAGGCATGTAAGACTGCTTTCTTTGCTGTTCCTGATGACTTCATCAACAAATTGTATGAATCATTGTGGAACCGCATGGATGTAGTCCTTGAAGCTCATGGAAGTCATACAAGATATTAAATATGGATCTCACAGCACCACTACTTAATTCACTGACGTTATGCAACATATTTTTGTATTTGAAGTAAATTATTTGTTCAATTTTCTGTAGGCGACAAAACTTTTGTCTTGCCAAAATCTGACCTTTCTGTGTTCATTAAATGATCAATCTTTTTTCAGTGAAGCAAATTTATTTTAGTTTATTGAGCATAATTTGGGAGGGTTTTAGCTTTCATATGAGACATTTCTAAAACCAATCGATTAATTTAAAGTCAAGTTATAAGCTTTTGTTTCTACAAAATGGATAAGCGACAAGACTTTTGTCAGGGACTGTAGATTGTAGAAAATTAGCAGTATGTTCCAATGCTACAATATGTATTACTATTATATTTTATTAGGTCACAGCATCTAACCCAGTCAGTTCACAAATCCGGTCCTTCCTCCTCACTGCTGAAGAGGTGATCCCATTTTCCAGCCTTGAGTTTATGTCTCTCAGTGAGATCATGGCTGTCAACTCCACACAACTGTTCACTCTGAAGGTCAATGTGGATATCTCCCTGCCTCTGAAATTCAGGTTCATATTCTTCAAGATGTAAAAAATAACAACAAAAAACAACACAATTTAAACTAATTTCAAATGTTTAATTGTTTAGATGGGATTTCAATGACAGCAGAGGCAGCAGTATAATCCACAGTCATTCTGCCCTTTGTGAGAAGATAGAAGGTCTGGTGGACAGTGGAGTTAAAGCAACAGACATTTTGGACTCTGTGAACTATACCTTCAGTGAACCAAGTAAGCATATTTGCATTCTTCCACTTACATTTTGGCCACATTGCACTTCAAACAGTTGCTTAAAATTAGAAAACCACAATGTTCTGTAAGTGAAAGATGAAGATGATCATCAGGACTATTAAGAAAATTACTGAGATATTCTTTTTTACATTACATGAATTTTCTGTCTTTCTAGATATCTTTACCGTGACTGTTGAAGTTGTCAACCAATATTCAAAATTGGAACTTTCAAAGAAGATTAGCGTTCGAGATAAGTTACAAAAGATAATTGTTACTGCCTCCCCTGTGGTGCCTGTTGTCAACCAGATTTTGCTTCTGGAAGCTTCCACTGAACCTAAATCAAACAATATTCTCTACACTTGGGACTTTGGTGATAGTTCCAGTGCGGTTCTCGACAACAAAATTACTCATACGTTTGGATCTCCTGGACACTATAATGTAACCATATCTGCCAATAATTGGGTTTCTGTTGTGAATTCCTGGATATTGGTGGAAATTATGGAAAAAATTACTGGATTAGTTATCAATTACAATGGACCAGCTGAAATGAACACGCCAATGGATTTTAAAGCAGATGTTCAAACCGGGACAAGCCTCAGTTGGAAGTTCGACTTCGGGGATGGATCGTACCAAGACAACCTTAGACATGGTTCAGTTTCTCATATCTACAAAGCTCCGGGGAACTATACTGTTGGAGTTACAGTTTCCAATTTTGTCAGTGAAATCTATCATTCTGTAATTGTGGAAGTCTTCAAGCTTGAAATCCATGGTATTTTACCAACTGGGTGTGTCATGGCTGGACAAACTATCCATCTTGAAGCACTGGTGGGTGGTGGGAATATCTCTACGTTAACTTTTCATTGGTCATTTGGAGATGGCAAGCCTGTAAGTGTAGTGACTGGGAATTCTTCAACGACGTATTTATTAAAAAAACACGGATTATTTAATTTGAATCTTACAGTAATTAGTCGTGTCTCGAGCACATCATTTAGGGCAGATTTATGTGTTGAAAACGTCATTGCCAATGTAGATTTAAAGCAAAGTAAATCTGTAGTTGCAGTTGGGGTAGAAGCTTGCTTTGAAGCCATAGTTAATCCCGATATTCCAAATGGTTTGCAGTATGAATGGACGGACAGTGCAATTACTTCCATGTCAGAATCCAATGAAAAGTGTTTTGTCTTTAATAAGGAAAGTACTGAAGAAGTAGCTGTCTTGGTTAGCAATAGTGTGAGCAAAAAGATGGGCAAAGCTTTTATCACAGTTCAGAAACCTGTAGGAAAGTTTTTGGTGGAATATGGCCCAAAATCAGTGATTATCGTTAATTCAGAGACAGAATTTTGGGTTGCAAATTGCAGTGGGAGTAATGTTACTGTTCAGTGGGACTTCGGAGATAGTTTGCCAATGGAAACTGGCAAGAATGTGTCACATGTTTTTGCGTCTACTGGTCAATTCATTGTCATTGCAAAAGCTAGTAATTTAGTCAGTCAAGAGTTGGTGAGGATTCAAGTTAGCGTTTTACCTCCTGTTTCTGATTTATCCATTCATACAAAACAAATGTATGTAGCAACAGGTGAAGAAACAATCTTTACAGCAGTTAGCGGTTCCATAAGTAGCACAAACTATTATTGGACTGTGCTTGGTGCGATGTCATCCACGCAAGGAACATATGAGTTTAAGTTCACGTTTGCTAAACCAGGATCGTATCAAGTTAAAGTAGTAGCACAGAATTTAGTGAGCACAAGGGAGGCGACCATTACTATTGACGTTTTTGAAAGAATTGCCGGTCTGGAGATTGGTTGTGCTAGTTTGACTGATTTAAAGTACATACCAACTAATGAAGAAGTACAGTTTTATGCTTTTATTAGCAAAGGATCTAGTGTTACTTACAACTGGCTTGTTACGCAGCATGGAGAAAGTATTAAAACTACAGTGGAAGCAGAAATTTTGCGGTTGGCGGTTCAAAATCCAGGAGAAGTAGTGATTAAATTGAGAGCTGAAAACAATCTAGGAGGTGCCACGAGCAATATTACTGTTGTAGCAATAGAACGTGTAAAAGTGTACGAGACGGATGAACAAAAATACATTGTACCATTAGGACAGCAGATTAATATTTCTGTAGTATTAACAGGTTCTGACTTGCGTTATTCATGGTATATCTGCTCAGATCAATCTCCAATCCAAACGCAAGTTCCATTCCTTTTTCACAGTTTTACAAAGCTAGGCACTGTTAGCATTGTCGTTTCTGTTCAAAATGTCCTCAGTCAGTGTAATGTCTCTAAAGTGTTTGACGTTCAAGAGGAAATTCAAGATGTCAGTTATACAGTTGGTGGGAAGGTGGCACCATTTTATGTCAAAACGAACTCTAGCGTTGTGTTTAGTGGGCATGTAAAGAAGGGTAGTAACCTGTATTGGCATTGGAATATTCAAGAAGGTAGTCCATACTATTTTAATACTTTTGACCAATTTTTTACACATACTTTCCAGAAATATGGAATCTATTCTGTATCGTTAAATGTTTCCAATGGACTTAGCTATAAGATGATCGCAGACAGTTTGACAGTACAAGATGGAATTGTAGGGCTTGCTCTAAATGTCAGCAAGTTCTCTCTGTGCGTTAATGATGGAGCCACTTTTACGCCAACTATTTTGCATGGAACTAATGTAAGCTATGTTATTACACTCAGAAACAATGACGTTAATAAGAGTTATGATTTTGTTGAAGAGTATACAACATCTAGCCTTGCAATCGGTACACATTTAGTTATAATGAAAGCTTGGAACCAGGTTGGCATTGCTGAGGTATCGACGACTGTTGCCGTACATGAGCGCATTCAAGGTTTGAGATTTGTAAATTGTTGTTTGGTGATTTTAGAAGCTTTGAAAGAACTTGTTTTTACAGCGACCGTTGAAAATACATACTCTGTCAACTACACATGGATATTTGAAATGAATGGATATGAACAGACAAAGTTATTGGGACAAGATGTGGTTTTTACTCCTCCAAATGCTGGCGTTTTGAGAATAACTGTGGTTGCTAGCAATGATGCGTGCAGCGAGAAGCTAACTGAGAATGCTACTGTTGAAATGCCAGTGAAGATGATTGACCTTAGCAGTGATTTTGAAGATGTTTTTCTGAATTACGTCACCACTTTTACTGCAAAAGCAAATGGAAGCAATTTGAATTACCAATGGGATTTTGGAGACACTTGTAAGATAGTGCTAACAAACGCAAGCAAAGTCAGTCATACTTATTACAAGGCAGGGAAATATGTTGTTACGGTTACGGTTTTTAACAGTGTTGGCAAGGTTTCACAACAGCTTTTGGTGGATGTACGGAAAATAGAATGTTCAAATCCGCAAATATCGATTGTCCCTAGTCATAGTGTTATTTCCATGTCAAGACCAAGTTACTTTGAAGCAATTGTGCGTAACAGTTGCTCCGCTTATAAAACCACTTACTTATGGGAGATTTTTGCCTGCACCAACCTGATAATTACCGGAAAAAGAGCCAACTTCCAAACCAAAGTGGATGCAACTTCACCTTTCCTCCAGCTTCCAAAGCACTCTCTGGATGTGGGGCAATATTGCTTGGTTTTTACTGCTTTCTATAAAGGGACACCAGTTTATGTCCAACATAATACCAGTGTTACAGTGGTCCATTCGCCGTTAGTGGCTGTCATTAAGGGGGGCTCAGACCGAACGTGGCCCAGCAACAGAGACCTTGTACTGGATGGAGGGCAGTCCCGAGACCCTGATGTGGAACCAGGCATGGAGAATGAGCTAGAGTATGACTGGACAGTCCATACACAGGTACTTTTATTAAATGTGTTAAACAAGACAAATCTGAATATAGTATTGTGTTTAGTTTTTTTTTTTTTTTTTTTTTTTTTTTTTGACATTCAAAATACCGAGGATCTCATCTATAGTAACTTTTAAAAAGCTGTAAAAAGAGCTAATTGAAAATAAAAGAACCTCGTGTGCTGTGAAACCTCTGAAAAAGAGTAAAAACTGATATTTCTGCACTCAACCTAAACATTTATATTTTTTAAAGCTGAGACTAATAATGCCAATAAATCAACATCAGCATAATTAAAATAACAAAAAAATTCTATCATAACATCATATTTTGTGTTTTTGTTTTTACAGAACTCCACAAACCAACATTTAGAACAAGCCTTTGGCCGAAACACCAATAAAATGACTGTACCCAGCACCCACCTTCACCCTGGGTGTATTTATCTGATCACCCTCACAGTGCATAAGCCAGGGAGGAAACCTGCCTCTGCCAGCCAGACTGTGAGTACTGTGAAAGCATCATCAAGTCAAGTGACATGTTTTTGTCTAGTAGGTAGTATGTAGTTTGACTGGTGCATTCTCGATATTTTGGGTGGTGACCCTGCAAACACTTTGTGCCCTACACGCTGTGCTTAATGTGCATGTGCAGAGCGATGGCACTGTTCCCAACATAGTTTAGGGATATTAATAAATAAAGGAATTTCTTATTTTCGTTGATATCTAAATTCAAAGACATTTAAACATATATGTGACTTTATTTAAACCAAATAAATACATACATAATAATAATAATAATAATAACTGGCAAAAGCTCAGCATCCAGGTCTTTAAGATCAGTCAGTTGAATAAGTAAAGCCTTTTTCTTCTGCTTTGATCATGTAGTACATCATGTGGTTTATGCAGCCCCTTTTGTAATCTGTCTGTGCTAATGTTCTGAATGTACCATAATCTTTTGTATGAAGGTAATGGTGACTGAGACCTCAGTTCTGCTGACAGTAGAGTGCACATCTTGCCTTGCACAGCCCTCCCCTCACGTGAGCTCCACACGACCCCTAAAGCTCCTTGGACTGTGTCCCGTGTGCAGTGACCAAGCTCAGGTAAAGACTTTACCATAATGTCATAGTTGTTAGTGATTCTCCAAAATTCTCTCAGTGGTACTCAACTCAAACCTCACTATGCTCAATGTTTTTAACTACTAATTGTTAAAACATGTTGTCACTAATTTAAAAAAATAAAATAAATTACAAGACTGGAGCATGTGTGAAATAAATGGGAGTAAGCTGACAGCTTGTTTGAAATCTGTTTTCCATCAAGAAAAATTGTCATTCTAACAACTGTAGTATTTCTGTGTTTTATTTCATACACAGTACAAATGGACCTTTACAGACGTGAGTGGAAGAAACATTGACTTAAATGAGATCTCTACTGAAAGCTCTTCTGCAAAGCTGGTGGTGCGTTCAGGTGCACTGGATCCAGCAGACACTTACATCTTCACCCTGAGTATATCTGAGCCACAGAGGGGTCAGTGGGGCCGCTCCAGTCTGACCCTCCTCCCCACCCCCACACCCCAGGGAGGGCATTGTGAGCTCAGTCCAGAGCAGGGCATACTGTTACTGGACACAGTGGTCACTTATAACTGCTCAGGTACTCTTTTGCTTATAAAAATGTGTGAGATGTTTGGTTGACATATTGTAGTCCAGAGAAAATATGCTTGATTATTTAGTGATGAAAATTGTAACTTTGCCAATGCCATTCGGAATGGTCTTCTGAAAAGTCCTCAAAATGGCATTCATAAGCCATCTTTTCTGCCTGTTTATAAGATTTTAATGAAACATAACGACATGGCTTCAACAAAACAGCTCAGGACTTGTGCTGTGCTGCCATACTTGTATGTCCTATTGTTGTGTTAAATTGTTTGAAATGTCTTGTTACAGAGTGGCAGCATGGTGACAATGATGGTGAATCTGCTCAGTTAATCTATTCCTTCCAAGTGGTCCTGTGCTCCTCGTGTCCTGTGATAACTCTGTACAGGTAAACAGTGCTGTCTTCTACTCTACAAACCTGTATATTTTTCAAGCTAAGCTAATGAATATGTATATATAGATAGATATAGATAGATAGATAGATGGATAGATATAATTTTTTAAATGTGTTTTGGTCTTCTGTCTTCAGGGGAATGCGCTCCACATTTGGCAGTGTGGTTCCAATTGGAAATCAAAGCCAAGAGAATGAAACATCACTCCTTACTGTCTTACTTTTAATAGAAAACAGCCTGGGTGCAAAGATCACAGCTCTTAACAGGTAACACTTAGGTTGTATTCACGTTTTAGAATTGGATGATGGGATCATTTCTGATAGTGGGCAAAGGCTTATGTAACTCTATGGGAGATTAACTTTTTTTTGAAAGAAATATCCACAGTAGAAATCTAAAAATGTTGAACCTTGTCATTATTTGTTTGGGACTGGCTCCTTTAAATATTGTTTTATTTTGTAGGACATTGGAAGTCAGAAATCCCATTGACAATTCTAGTAAGTGGCTGAGAAGCAAAGCTCAGACTGAACTACGCTCCCTAGTCCAACATGGAAACCCCCAAGAGATCATCCCATACTCCATGGCACTGTTAAGTCATCTCAACCAGGTATGCCATAGGAATACATTTTGGGAATATTTTTTATGATAGGAATTTGTTATTGTAAGAACATTATTTTAAGTGTGGCTGGAGAGACCAGTGGCATAGGCACACTAATGGCACTGGACAGTCTGCCCCATTGTAGGTAATGTTAGATTAATCAGTTGATGGTGATGGTGATTAGTTGACCAAAATGTGTATTAGTCGACTAATCATTTTAATAAGATGATAAGAAGATGACAACAGAAAGGAGAAGAGAGTGAGTTAGCTGAAGACTTGGTAGATTAAACTCATGATTTACAACTTTGATCTGTTTTTATATAAATACATTGTTTCTTAGTACCTTTTTCTGCATAAATAGTAGTTTTTGAAGGTGTAGTCTTGTGAGTGCAATTTGAGTCAGATACCCAAAGATACGTAATAGTTTGTAAAGCTTTTGCCACACCCAGAGCTTTTGACACACTCAACTAATCGATCGGCAGGACATGTCTTTAGTACAACCCATTCATCTTTTTTAAATACTATGTCTTACTAGGTTGAGCCACGAAATTTCCAGGAGATCCAGGAGAGGAGAGAAATGCGCCAAAATGTGACCCAAGTCCTGTCCTCTCTCTCTGTTTCGTCTCTGAACGATGCCGCCCAAATCAGTTCAGCTTTGATGCAGTCCACAGTACGTACATTCTACACCTAACCATCATTTCAAGTCAATCTATATTTAAACAATGTACACCTCCAGCTTTGTGTTCAAAAATTTTCAAAAACTGAGTGTGTGCTGTCTATGTACTATGTGACATCACACAAGACTGCTCGGATTACTGCCGATCACACTGTTCCTCATATGTCAAGTTCTAGTAATAATAATAGAAGAGAGAACAACAGGCAGTTAATGTCACATATGAACAATTCTTCAGATAACTATAGCATAAACCACAGAACAGAACAAGTTTACCTCGATCTTATTCCAAATCACTAAATCCATTGAATTCTTCATCCTCGGTGTCACTTCTAAGTCCTCCAGAGGTAAAAGGAGTGTTGCTTCCTCTTCTGTGTAGCTGTCGTCAGACTCAGCATCAGTTCCAGTTAGAATTATTCGGGCCTTTCTGAATCCCGACAAGATGGTTTCGGTGTCACTGAAGTCCAGACTTTGTCCATCCAGCCAGTGACTTCAGGAAAGTTGCATGGCGCACCCGCCCGGTGTCACAAGTTTCTCGTTCACTCCAAACCTTCTTTCTGCTGCTCGATTACCATTTTTGGCTGCAGATTTCACGACTTGTAATCTGCAACATATGATTTTCTTTTTGGGGGCATTTGTGTTCAGACTTTTCAGTCATCTTTATAAGTTTGTTTAAATGTTAAATGTTCAGTGGTGCAGAAGTAATGGTGCGATCGACTGACATGATACAGACAGGACAGAGGCTCTTTCTGCAGGAGACATGCGCAGTAGAGCCAAGTGACAGTGGTACAGGAGGAACAGGAGTAGCACATACAGTCCCTGACAAAAGTCTTGTCGCTTATCCATTTTGTAGATACAAAAACTTATAACCTGACTTTCAATTAATCGATTGGTTTTAGAAATGTCTCATATGAAAGCTAAAACCCTCCCAAATTATGCTCAATATACTAAAATAAATTTGCTTCACTGAAGAAAGATTGATCATTTAATGAACACAGAAAGGTCAGATTTTGGCAAGACAAAAATTTTGTCGCCTACATAAAATTGAACAAATAATTTACTTCAAATACAAAAATATGTTGCATAACGTCAGTGAATTAAGTAGTGGTGCTGTGAGATCCATATTTAATATCTTGTATGACTTCCATGAGCTTGAAGGACTGCATCCATGCGGTTTGACAATGATTCATACAATTTGTTGATGAAGTCATCAGGAATAGCAAAGAAAGCAGTCTTACATGCCTCCCAGAGTTCATCAAGATTCTTTGGTTTTGCCTTCCATGCTTCCTCTTTCATTCTACCCCAGACATGCTCAATGATGTTCATGTCTGGTGACTGGGCTGGCCAGTCCTCGAGCACCTTGATCTTCTTCGTTTTGAGGAACTTTGATGTAGAGATAGAAGTATGCGATGGAGCACCATCCTGCTGCAAAATTTGACCCCTTTTATGGTTGGGAATGTAAGAGGTAGCTAATATTTCTTGATATTTTAGGCTGTTAATATTGCCTTCCACCCTGCAAATGTCTCGCACACCCCCATACTGGATGGAACACAGACCATGATTTTTCCGCCTCCAAACTTAACTGTTTTTTGGGTGAATCTTGGATCCATGTAGGCTCCAGTAGGTCTCCTGCAATATTTGCGGCGGCTGTGATGTAATTCAACTGAGGATTCATCTGAGAAATCCACCTTCTGCCACTTTTCCAGTGTCTATCCTTTTAGCAGGCTGTGGGCCTTGGCAAATGCCACACAGTTTTTTAATTGCCTTTTGTTTAGTGCTGGTTTCTGTGCACTGATTCGACCATGGAGGCCATTTCGAGACAGAATTGTACAAACTGTTGTGGTTGACACAGGGACTTGAGGTGACCAGGCCTGGTGGAGCTCTGCTGCAGTGGAAAAGGGGCTGGCCTTGGATTTTCGAATCAACAAACGGTCCTCCCGAGCAGTTGTCTACCGGTGTCTGCCGGACCTGGGCTTGTCAAAAACATCTCCAGTCATTTCAGATCTTTTTCTTATTCTTTGTACTTGACGCTGAGACACATTGAAGGTGTCACCACCTCAGCAGTGGATCTGGTCTTCAGCCTCTTGATAATTAACAATTTGGTCTCAGGGTGGATCTTAGGCATGTTGTCAGAGGTCAAGTTGCAGTTGATGTGAAGGTCTGATGTGTTGGGGTTCTTTTTATACACATCCACTAATTGATTGATCAGTAACTGATCACAGGTGAGGCTGTAATCTAGGATTGGGTGCATCATATGACAAGGCGACAAGACTTTTGTCTTGCCAAAATCTGACCTTTCTGTGTTCATTAAATGATCAATCTTTCTTCAGTGAAGCATATTTATTGTAGTATATTGAGCATCATTTGGGAGGGTTTTAGCTTTCATATTAGACATTTCTAAAACCAGTCGATTAATTTAAAGTCAGGTTATAAGCTTTTGTTTCTACAAAATGGATAAGCGACAAGACTTTTGTCAGGGACTGTACTGGCACATAAGCCTACAGAGCCCTCTCGAGGCTGTCAGTGTGAACATTTTAATTTATAAGTCGCACCAGAGTATAAGACACAGGAAACACCCAAACCATGAAAAAGTGCCCCTTATAGTCCGAAAAATATGGTATATAATAATGTTGTTAACCATGTCTTACTGAAATGATTAGTCTAACTACATATGCACTTTAAAACTGAGCGTCGTATATCTCACTTAAAGTACTCCCTTTCTTTTCAGGCTGTCCCCAGTGAGTTGGACAGTGCACTTTGCCAGGAGAGGGTTCTGGAAGCCGTGGAAAGAATGATCCAGGCGATGGAAGCTGAACATGAAGACGATTTCACTGCCGTCCAAACAGGAAGCAACATCGTCAATATAATTGGTATCTTCATCATTTACTCCTCAATTCTCTGACACACGCAATAAGTTAACATACATTTCATCCTGTTTCTCCAGAGAACCAGTCAAACCCAGCCCACTACATGCAGGTCAACGAGTCAAATAGCTAAGAGAAGGTCTAAGAGATTATCTGTAATTTAGCATCAGTGCTAAAATGTTGTAGCTTACATTCATAAAACTGTAATAGAAATAATGGAGACAGCTTGGAGCATGCGGTTTTAAACACTGTGAGGAAACTTTTTTTCTGCACTGTGCAGTACAATACACTGAAGCTCTAGTAGTTTTACTTTCCCCTTTAAAGGTGCACTATGTAACATTTCTTGCAGATGGTCCACCTCCTGCTTGGCTCAGTGGAGATGGCCTGGAATGTTCCTCTGTATGGCATTGAACTTATATTATGCAAAATGCTGATACCTCATCAATAACATGACCGAAACCTGCTGTTGTCTTTTGTTTCATTCACATGTTTGAGTAACACTTTATTAGTCTGTCTACATCTCCAAAGCTTAAAATGCTCTGTTCCACTTTGTGATGTCAAGTGGTACTTTTTCAGTTAACAACCCCCTTTTACATTTAGTTCAGTAGAGATTTTATAATTCCAGGGCTGAAATTACCCAAATTCCCTGTGTTACTACATGACCTCACAAGGAGGAACAGAGTGTTTTCTGTTTGAGAGAAGAACTCATCCAAAATGTGCATGGTTTGTGTGTTAAACAGGTATGAATGAAACAAAACAGAACTCCAGGTCTGTTTGTGATAGTGTCGCAGTACTTGAGACCGGTCTTGGTCTCGAGAACGCTTTTTTTACGGTCTTGAGCTTGTCTTAGGACTCAAGTACGTTTGGACTCGGTCTTGCCTTGGTCTTGATGGTGCTTGGTCTCGGTCTTGTCTCGGACTCGAGGTCTGATGCTTGATGAGTGCGATCATATTTCATTACGATCGGTGAATGTGCAGAGGCTGCTAAATATCACTGCAAAACCTGCAAGATAACATAATTGTAAATGTTATGAACTTTAAAAAAAACTTTGAAGTAATTTTCTGTAAAGTGCCCGTGGAAGTGGGATTGAAGAAGAGGTTCTCAAAATGTAGGTGAGGGTCCAAAAAAGGGGCACAGCGTGTTTCAATGCAGTACAGTTTGCTTGTCTTATTTTAAGCTTAAATGAACATTAATTAGATGAAATGGAGATAGACTGATAAAAAAAAAAAAAAACATTGATATATTTATGCAAGACTAACTATAAAATAGAAATAAATGTAGGAAATGACAAAGATGGTCTTCATTTGGTCTCGATGGGCCATGGTCTTGATTTTTAAAAGTTTTGGTCTTGTCTCGGTTTCGACCCTCAGAGGTCTCGGTCTTGTCTTGGTCTCGGGACCCTGTGGTCTCGGACTGATGTTGGTCTCGTTTAGTGTGCTCTTGACTACAACACTAGTTTGTGATGAGAAACAAGATTATTACATAGATCAGAGATTAGGGTAATATGGGCCCTTTTAACAATCTTGCGTTCACCCAGTTACAGTGTTTTTATTGCTGAGTTCACTCTTAACATAGCGGACCAAAACAGTGAAACAGCACACCCGAGCCTCCAACAGAGTGACCAAAATTTGTGTCATGGTTGATCCACAAAAACAAAACAAAAAAAGTTTTTTTTGCCTTGTTCAGTTGAATGCCTCTCCTAATGTGATTGTACTGCACTGTTACTGTGCTCCAAATGTGTTAGTGCGATTTGAATAACAGCCACCTTCATCATTTCTGAAATCCTGTTCAAATCAGACTAGGCCAAACATTTGGTTTTCCAAGCACTTGTGGAAACGTAGTGACTTAAATCCTTCTGTCTTTGCAGGTAACACATTGGCAGCGGTTTCTAAGTCCACCAGTGAATCCAGTTCAGCGCTCTCCCTATCAGCTCTGGCCAAAACTAGATTTGTAGTACGCACTTTAACACAGTCACATGACCAGCCTGATACCCCTCTGTCAATCTCCACGCCATATATCCGTGCACTTGGTTTTCACGGCGACCCCTTGAACCTCCTCTGCACCGGACAATCCAACCTTTACAATTCATGCCAGTTTGAAATCCCAGAATCCCTTTTGCAAGACCTTAAAGAGCAAAACAATTCTCAACTAGTGCAGGTCATGTTCGGCATTGGCAACGCTTTGGAGTCCAATCCGTTGCTAACAGCAGCCGACCCGCCCATAACGACAGATGTTGTTGCCATGGAGATTAGTACGCCAGACGGGCAGCCGGTTAGCGTTCAGGATTTGGAGGCGGAGCGGGCGATAAGGGTCACGCTGCCCAGGAAGAATCACATCAGAAACAAAAATGAGACATGCCTCGTAATGTCTCTGTCCCAAGAGGAGAATCAGATGAATTTCACTGTGAAAGATTTGAAGGCGCTTGATGCAAATGCGGGGGTCTATATGGCCTTCAACTTCAGCTTAGTCTCAGGTATGGTATTTAGTTCTATTGTTAAAGCTCCTATGTTACACAAATTGACTTTTGTGAACTTTAAGCCATGTTGAATGAAACAAAACACAACTCCATGTAAGTTTTTGATCTTGAAACAACATTATAACATAGATTAGAAAATAGTATAATATGTCCCTTTAAAAACAGAAAAAGTGTAAGGGTTTAAAGGTGCACTGTTGAACTTTTCTGGTGAAGAATAGGCCACCTGCTTGTCTCCATGGAGATGTCATTGCTTTTCCTGGAATTTTTCACCGTATGTCATTAAAGTTGCACCATTCAATTACAAGTGTTATTGCTCCGAAGTACCTTGAAAATTGACATTACTTTATATGGGTGCCTCTCCATAGACCTAAGCTGTAATTTGCCATTTATAGTTATATTTACAGTTATTTACAGTTATAGTAGTAGTTTAATGGTATACTGTGTAATATTCTTGGTAAAACATAACATCTTCATGGAATAAGCACAGCTTTTTAAATTCATTTTAAAAAGTGTTTTACACGCTTGTGTCCGTTTTACACTAAAAAGTCCAAGGCAGGAGAATTTTCATTTAGTATGGAAAAATCATGGACTGATACTCTAATACAAATAATCCATTTTATAACTTGTACTGCAGTCCAAGTACTAACCACGCCCATCCCTGCTGAGCTTCTGAGATCTGAATGACCACATGACATCACAAGGTGGACATCACAGTGTTTACAGTTTGAGAGAAGAACTCAACCTAAATCTGCAGGGTTTGTGTGTTAAACATGTGTGAATGAAACAAAACACAACCTCAGGTCTGTTTGTGATGAACAAACAACATTATAACATAGAATGCTATGACCATTATAATTACTTGCATCCAAATTTTAGATCTGATTCTAATTGTATTTAAACATGTCACCACACAAACAGAAACTATTTAGATAAACATTTTATGTCTTTGTATGTCGTGACTTTGAATATTTGTCCAGGAGCGCGCGCGGTGAGCCAGCTCCATGTGCTGGTAGCTCTGAGCTCTACTGAAGCAGAAGAAAATGCACCCGCCAGCTCCATGGTGACAGACTGGGCCCTATCACTGCCCACACCAGTCTCCTTCACTGAGAGAACCATCTTCCTCTCCCCACTGTAGGTTATTCAAAAGCAGGCTACACTTTACTTTTCAATCATTTTGTTTTATATTATATCAACATATTTTTTTATGTCACAAGACTAAAAATAAATTAGTTGTAAGAAGCCATGATAACAAATTTAGAAGTTTGATATATTGCTACAGAGAAATATTATAATAAATGATAATACTGAGATTAAATTACACAATGGAATATATTTTTGTAATAAATCTCGTCCCCCCTCTCTGATCTCCAGGTTAAACAGCACAGACCAGCCCCTCTCCTTCTCCCTCACCTCTTCTTTTCTTAGTGGTGGTCCTGTCCAAGTGTCAGCCTGTGTCTTCAGTGCCCTTTGCTTCTTCTACAACCACACACAGGGCCGATGGAGTAGCGATGGTCTGAGGCCACTGGAGGGCGCCACGCTCCACCAGGCCCACTGCCTTACCCAGCATCTCACCATGTTCGGGGCCAGTATGTTTGTGCATCCTGGAGCTGTAGTGCTGCTGCCACCGGTATGACAGACAATAGGTTATGTAATCATGATGTTGAAATATCAGAAGGAAGGAAGGCAGATTTTTGTATGTGTTATTTGTTTATTTAATAGGGATACAACAGTGAGCTTTGTAACATTTAAAATAGCACTAGTACACGTTGTCATGTCTAGTGTGGGAAGTAACTGTAACACGTACTGAAAATTAGTGTCGTAGTAATCAAGACCGGTTTTTGTCCCAAGACCGGCCTCAAGAACACTTTTTTACGGTCTTGGTCTCATCTTGGACTTGAACACATTTGGACTCGGTCTTGTCTCTGACTCGAGCGCATTTGGACAAGAACATTTTTTACGGTCTTGGTCTTGACTTTGTCTTGATGGTACATGGTCTCTGTCTTATCTCAGACTGTGATGTCAGAGGTCTGACATTCAACAAGTGCGATCATAATTCATTACGACTGGTGAATGTGCATAGTCTGTGTAATATTACTGCAAAACCTGTAAGATAATGTAACTGTAAATGTTATGAACTTGAAAAAAAACTACTTGATTAACTTTGAAGTTGTTTTCTGTAAAGAGCCAGTGGAAACTGTGGGTGAGAGTCCAGAAAAGGGGTGCAGAGTGTTAAAGTGCAGTTTGCTTGGCATATTTTAGGCCTAAATCAACATTAACCAGATCAAATGGAGATAGATTTATAAAAACAAATATATATGTGCCATAATAACTGTATAATACAAACAAATGTAGGAAATGACAAAGATGGTCTTGATGTCTCAATGGGCCAGTGGTCTTTGTGTTGGACTCGGTCTCGACCTTTAAAAGTCTTGGTCTTGGGACCCTGTGGTCTCGGACTGTTATTGGTCTCGATTAGTGCGGTTACCGAAAATACGTATTCTGAATTTTAATTTTGACTACCTCATTTTTCGGTATTAAGGATACAGTTACTATCCTAAAATCTAAGGAATACTTCATGATATTTAATCACACAATTTTGGCTTTTTATTACAAGTTATTAGTGAGAAAAACGAAAACACAGCTGTTTTGTTGAGTGTGTGATTTTTCCTTCTCTAATTAAACAAATGAATGCATAACAAAAAAAGTGCAAAAAATCAAGCTGTTTGTGCATGTCATGTTTCAAAATACATTTTCATGTAGGTATACAGTATTCTGTGACTAAATACATTTTCAAAGTTTTCTTCTCATCACTGGCCATGTCCATGGGCCGCCTAGCCAAGGGCTGGGTTTCTGATTTGCAGACCTGGCCCCTTGCATGAAACAGACAAAGGCGGTGACATGTACACATTACAACATTATAACACATTACAACATATTTAAATTAACACACATTAAGTGTGGAATTATGAAAAAATGGTATAGCCAAGTTGTTTATAAAGCTTGCAAGACTATATAAATCCAGTGTCCAGTATTAACAGAGATGTTCTTTTATGCAGTCTGGAGGGCCGGTGCTCACCCTGCTGGCCGGTGTGGTGTGTGCAGTCCTGGCATTGCTCCACCTGCTGTTGGGGCTGGTGTGTCACAGGCTGGACCACTGGGACCGCGTTCGACTCAGCCAAGTCCCTCTGTGTGGAAGACCTGGACTCTACCACTACAGAGTGCTCATCAAGACCGGGAGGAGGCCTGGAGCAGGTACTGAACAGTGTGGGGTACTTTAAATCTTCTCTATTACCTTAACCTCTTTTCTCCGAGTGCTCGTTGATGGAGAAGGATACACAGACAAGAAGAGTTCAATTCACTTCTATTTATTGAATACACTTCAAAATATTGAATAACAAAGCAGTATTGTTCAACTACCTGTCCTGATCTAATACAAAACCTGAGATCTGGACTGGTGCGCCGCTCTCGTCTCTTTCTAACCCTGAACCCCTTTATATAGTCTTTCTCTTCATAGTCTAACATTGAGGTTTTCTAGTCCTTTTTTGTTTGCAGCCAGGTGTTGTCTTCTTTTTATTGGTGTAGGCAGTTCCTCAGACCCGCAGTCTTATCTCCTCCTCACACCGTCTTTTCACCTTTCACCCAGTCCGTACTGTTTGTTACACACTTCAGAAAGTATGTTGCACAAAGAGGAAGTAGCATCACATTGATCTTTATCTGACTCCATTCTTTGCAGCTCTCTGCTGTTTACCTGACTGTCTGGTTCCTATTCCTTTCTGACTTCATGCACATATTATTTGATTAACACCTTTAAACAATAAACAATAAAGTAATCCTAAACCACCCTTACACAGTAATAATCAGACACATGATGTCTGCCATTACATCTCTAAAGGTCAAAATGCTCTGTTCCACCTTGTGATGTCATGAAGCAGTAGTTTTCAAGCTAACAGCCCCTTTTACATTTAGTTCAGTAGAGATTGGCAATTCCAGGGATGAAATTATCCAAATGATTCTAGTAAAGGTGTATGGAGTTTAAAAACACAGTGAAACACTTTCTGTATTTCCACATTAGATCACAAGGTGGAGTAGAGATTTTTTCTCTTTGAAAAAAGAAGGGTTCAGTGCAGGGTTTGTATGTTAAACGTGTGAATGAAACAAAACACAACTCCAGGTCTGTTTGTGATGAGTAAACAACATTATAATGTAAATCTTAAAACAGACCTTTAAGGCAATTCATCATCTCTCACATTTATCATGATGAATAAATACTCCACTACTCCAGCCTGGCATTTCTGATGTGCTGTGTCTTTGTAGGCACCACAGCTCATGTTGGTATCAGCCTGTTCGGAGTGACCAGGAGCGGCTCTGTGCACCTGCAGAGGGAGGGGGCGTTCCAGAGGGGGGGCCTGGACCATTTTCACCTGGAGAGCCCGGTCAGCCTGGGGGAGGTGTGGAAGATCCGAATCTGGCACGACAACACAGGTCTGCTACACTGGGCTACCTCCAAACATACACTACACTTGTTTCTATGGAGATGTCATTGCTCTGCCTGGAATGCTCCACAGCATGACATTAAACAGCTCTACCTCACATTTATATAATTACAGGTGGTTTTATAGCTCAAACAGGCATTCTGACTGTGAGTGGGGTCACCTCTCCACAGATCTGGCCTCTAACTTGGCCTGAGTTTGTCTCCATAAAGATAGAAAGTTTTAATGCCATACTGTGAAACTCCAGACAAAGCAATAACATCTCCATGGAGACAAGCATTTGTTGAACTCTCCAGCAGAAATGTTATACAGTGTACCTAAAAATTACCCTATTTTCCGGACTACAAGTCGCTCTGGAGTATAAGTCACACCAGCCAAAAAATGCGCAATGAAGAAGAAAAAAACATATATAAGTCGCACTTTTTGGAGAAATGTATTTTATAAAATCAGAGACCAGGAACCAACATTTCACCATGAAAGGCAAGTTATAATAACAACAGAATAGAGAACAACAGGCTGAATAGGCGTTAATATGTTATGCTATAATTATCTGAATAAGTTTACCAAACTCACGATCTCACTCCAAATCACTAAATCCATTGAATTCTTCATCCTCGGTGTCACTTCTGTGCGACCTCCATAGATAAACCATAGATCCATGAGGTAAACGGAGCGCTGCTTCCTCTTCTGTGTAGCTGTCATCAGACTCAACATCAATTTCAATTAGAATTATTCTGGCCTTTCTGAATCCCGACAGGATGGTTTCGGTTGTCATTCGCCTTCCACCAATCCCTCACAAGTTTCTCACTCACTCCAAACTTTCTTTCTGCTGCTTGATTACCATTTTCAGCTGCCTATTTCACTATTTGCAGCAAGACAGGAGGCATGTGCCGTAGAGTGCGAAGTGACAGTGTTGCAGGAGTATTAGTAGTAGTAGATACTGATACACAAGCTTAGAGCGCCCTCTCATGACTGTCAGTCTGAAAATGTTTATATATAAGTCGCAAGACCACCCAAACCGTGGAAAAAAGTGTGACTTGTAGTCTGAAAAATATGGTATACACAAATTAACAAGGCTAAGATGTTCAAAATGTTTTAAAAAAATATCTGAAAACTGCTTTATGTGTCTGCTTGTACATTCTTCAGGGTTGGACCCGTCGTGGTTCGTGCAGCGCGTGGTGGTGTGGGACCCTCAGACTGATTCCATGTTCTTCTTCTTGGTGGATGACTGGCTCTCAGTGGAGAATCCTAAACATGGCAGTGTGGAGAAGGAGGTCCTGGCCTCATGTAAGTAGGATTGTTCAGGATTGTAGATTTGTTTGGAGGCGAAAATATGTACAACTGTACAACTAACTAAAAATAGCTGAGAGACTTGTTAAATGATTTCGCTGGAATTACAACAGGAGAGCTGATTTGTGCTGTTACTTTCCGGTCAGATTGTGTTAAAACAAAGCTCAGATTATAGTCTAAATTGAGTAACAGAGCTTTAGATAGAGCTGTGCCTCCAGTTAGCTTCACCCTAGAAATGTTGATGACCTCATTTGCAAAGTAAACATTTTGTCGTGCAGGCCCGGATGAGCTGTGTGCTTTTGGCCGTGTCCTCTCCTCTCAGTTGCTCTTGGGGCTGGTGGACAGACACTTGTGGTGGTCAGTGTGGGAGCGTCCGGCACACAGCCTCTTCACCAGGGGCCAGAGGGTCAGCTGCTGTGCCCTGTCTCTGCACCTGTACCTGGCTCTGGGGGCACTGTGGTACGGCGCACTGGGCTCCACGGAACACAGGTGAGATAGGAGGATACAGTTCTAAAGGGGTTTGGACTGAGGTGATGGAAAGCAAGGATTTTATGGTCAAAATCTAGATGTTTTTAGCTGGTTTGTGGTTCATTTGTTTGCAGTTACATGGGGATAGTTATGTGAAATTAATCAACTTGTACAACTACTACTATCTACCACAATTATAACCACATACTACCAACAATACTAGAATCAAATACAACAGCTACCATGGCAACGACTACTGTCACAACTGCTACTGCTGTGCCAAATACTACTACTGTCATAACTGCTACTGCTGCCACAACTACTACTACTGAACCAATTACTACTACTGCCTCAATTACTACTATTGCCCCAAGTACTACTACTGTCATAACTGCTACCACTGCCACAACTATTACTACTACCTCAATTACTACTATTATCTGAAGTACTACTACTGGCCCAATTACTGCCATTGCCTCAATTACTACTATTGCCCCAATTACTACTACTGCCACAACTACTACTACCCTAAATACTACTATTGCCCAAATTACTACTACTGTCACAACTACAGTCCCTGACAAAAGTCTTGTCGCTTACCCATTTTGTAGAAACAAAAGCTTATAACCTGACTTTAAATTAATCGATTGGTTTTAGAAATGTCTCATATGAAGCTAAAACCCTCCCAAATTATGTTCAATATACTAAAATAAATTTGCTTCACTGAAGAAAGATTGATCATTTAATGAACACAGAAAGGTCAGATTTTGGCAAGACAAAAGTCTTGTCGCCTTGTCATATGATGCACCCAATCCTAGATTACAGCCTCACCCATGATCAGTTACTGATCAATCAATTAGTGGGTATGTATAAAAAGGCCCCCAGCACACCAGACCTTCACATCAACTGCAACTTGACCTCTGACAACATGCCTAAGATCCACCCTGAGACCAAAGCGTTAATTATCAAGAGGCTGAAGACCAGATCCACTGCTGAGGTGGTGACACCTTCAGTGTGTCTCAGCGTCAAGTACAAAGAATAAGAAAAAGATCTGAAATGACTGGAGATGTTTTTGACAAGCCCAGGTCCGGCAGACCCCGCAAGACAACTGCTCGTTTGTTGATTCGAAAATCCAAGGCCAGCCCCTTTTCCACTGCAGCAGAGCTCCACCAGGCCTGGTCACCTCAAGTCCCTGTGTCAACCACAACAGTTTGTAGAATTCTGTCTCAAAATGGCCTCCATGGTCGAATCAGTGCACAGAAACCAGCACTAAACAAAAGGCAATTAAAAAAATGTGTGGCATTTGCCAAGGCCCACAGCCTGCTAAAAGGATGGACACTGGAAAAGTGGCAGAAGGTGGATTTCTCAGATGAATCCTCAGTTGAATTACATCACAGCCGCCGCAAATATTGCAGGAGACCTACTGGAGCCCGCATGGATCCCAGATTCACCCAGAAAACAGTTAAGTTTGGTGGTGGAAAAATCATGGTCTGGGGTTCCATCCAGTATGGGGGTGTGTGAGACATTTGCAGGGTGGAAGGCAATATCAATAACCTAAAATATCAAGAAGTATTAGCTCCTCTTACATTCCCAACCATAAAAGGGGTCAAATTTTGCAGCAGGATGGTGCTCCATCGCATACTTCTATCTCTACATCAAAGTTCCTCAAGGCGAAGAAGATCAAGGTGCTCCAGGACTGGAGCCCAGTCACCAGACATGAACATCATTGAGCATGTCTGGGGTAGAATGAAAGAGGAAGCATGGAAGGCAAAACCACCAAGAATCTTGATGAACTCTGGGAGGCATGTAAGACTGCTTTCTTTGCTATTCCTGATGACTTCATCAACAAATTGTATGAATCATTGTTGAACCGCATGGATGCGTCCTTCAAGCTCATGGAAGTCACACAAGATATTAAATATGGATCTCACAGCACCACTACTTAATTCACTGACGTTATGCAACATATTTTTGTATTTGAAGTAAATTGTTTGTTCAATTTTCTGTAGGCGACAAAACTTTTGTCTTGCCAAAATCTGACCTTTCTGTGTTCATCAATCTTTCTTCAGTGAAGCAAATTTATTTTAGTATATTGAGCATAATTTGGGAGGGTTTTAGCTTTCATATGAGACATTTCTAAACCAATCAATTAATTAAAAGTCAGGTTTATAAGCTTTTGTTTCTACAAAATGGATAAGCGACAAGACTTTTGTCCCAATTACTACTACTGTCACAACTACTACTACTACCCTAAATACTACTATTGCCCCAATTACTACTACGGTCATAACTGCTACTGCTGCCCCAACTACCTCTACTGCCCCAACTACTTCTATTAGCATTATTTCTAGCCATTATTTCAACCCAAAGATTGATTTCCCAAAGGTTGATTTCCCACTCCGATCAGGTTCTGTCTCTGTGTCCTTAGGCAAGACTCCCTTTTCCCCAGGGGAGCTGTGGCTAAAGAAATAGGCAACCTCCACCGAGTGTGGAGTGAATGAATAATAAGTAGTGTAGTACAGGGGTGTTCAAACTATGCCTCGGGGGCCAGACTTTCTGCTGAACTGGCCCAATTAATCATGGGAAATATTTTTTTTAATGGAAAAATTAAGTAATTCTACCACTATAACCTCAATAACATCACATTCCATTGTGATGCAGGCCTAAAATTTAAATTTGAAGCATTATTAAAGGTGTAGTGGTTCTGTTAAAGCTGTGTAAAATGTGCCCTTCAGAATGATCCACTGTATTGACAACCAGTCTGTCTCCCTCTGCTTTAAATATGTTTCAATATGTAGCAAGTGTAAGGGATTTTTATTAACACTACAATAACATTTCTTAATTTGGATTAGTAAAAACAGTGCTTTGTCCTTTGAGAATATTCACTACCATCTGAAATTCAACTTCACCAAGTTCTACAAAGTGAACCCTGAGTATGGATTTTCATTCTTGAGACCTCAGATATCTCACACATTTTTTTTGCAGTGGTCCTGTGTCTGCTCGCGTGCTGTTGAATATGGAGACGGTTGCCATGGGGACAGTTTTGGCATTGCTGGTGTTTCCTCTGCAGTGCCTGCTCTGTTTCCTGTTTGGGAAGACCTACAGTCCGGTAAAATGATGCTCTAAAATTACAGCTAGATGTGGAAAAAAGTACGTGACTTTCTTTGACCTTCACAATTTCATTTGATTCAGTCATTACTTGACCTTTTCCAACTGTTAAATACACACAAGAATTCAACTGTAAGTGTATGTGAGTAGCCTGCTGCTTTGTGGTGCCTTGTGTCAGGTGTCCATGGAGCTGTCGGTGCCCCCCTCCCCCTTGTGTCACTCTGTGGAGATGGACGTCTGTTTGGACCAATCACGGCTCAGTGGACCCTCCTTCATGTCTCTTCCCGACTCCTCTGCACCAATCAGAGACAGCCCCTCCTCTGTAAGTTAGCATCAGGAAAAGATTTTTTTGGGATAAATATTACTTTTCATGTGTTTCATGAAATAAGATTTATTTAAAAAGGTAAACTTAAAAAGGTAAAAAGGATCAACTTAATGACACAGTTTAATGTTTTTACTTCAGAGTAAAAATTTTAAGAAAACTCCTGCACACTGTCTCAAACTCAGTTTACTTTTATTAGTACAACATCAGTCAAAGTAAAATAATAAATGCGTCAAAATTGGATTCTCCTAATATCCAATCACAATGAACAATGATGCTCACATGAGTCTCTCATTTGGGTATAAATATGCACTCTCTCAGATTTATTTATTTATTTATTTATTTTGTAGGAATGCAGGCTACAAATGAAACATTTAAAATCAGGACGTTATTAACACAAATTTTTAACATCAAAGTTGTTACATGATTATTTGGGGGTTGCAGTTTGGAGCTGGTAACCATCAAGTTCTCGTGATATTGCCAACTTCTAGACTTGCAAAATGAAAAGTTTGCGGTGCCTTTTATAAAATAAGCACTAAGTCAAGTGTCCATCTTTCTCTCTCTAGTTCCTAGAGCTGGACTCGAGCCTGCTGGACTTGTGTGCGTCCTCTGGTTTAGCCCCACACTCCCCCAGTGATGACGAAGAGGAGCTGTGGCCTTCCTGCACCAGCCTGCTCTCTGCGCCTGCCCAGTGTGAGGAGGAGGTCCCCACCCTGGGCCCTGCTCGCCTGCTCAGGAGGAAGAAGGCCCTGGTGCAGCGACACCAGTGCACCTCTAGAGTCCCCCGTTGTCCCCCCACCACCGGGACAGCACCGACCAACGGCCCCATTCAAACAGGTCTGACCACGCTGCTCACACTGTCTGGTGAGTTTATGTAGCAAGGGTACTTGATGGTAATGGAGATCAACAGTCTTTATTTAATTTTATTTTTATTTTTTATTTTTATTTTTTCCATATAGACTTTAGAAATAAAAAAAATAAAGAACACATAGTATGCAAACTGTACCTTTTTAAATTGTGTTATGCTGTTGTTCCCTTATCAAAAACATACCTAGAGTTATATTTTGTTTAATTTACGCTTGTTTCTTTAATCTACTAGGTCCAAAGTCATCTTTAAGCACTCATGCTTAATCACATTTTGCCCATTTAGTTGCATCATAGATAATACTGCAGAGTTCTCTTACATAAACCATCCCCAGACTCATTCTGCAGTTAAATTGTGTTCACAACAGACGCACGGCTCCAGTAACATTGCATTCACGAAGGAAAAGAACCTCATTTATTACCTTTGTAAATGTTAATTTTCGTTGCTGACAGCAGAGAACGCCTAAATCCTTCATTGGAAACAGAGGTGAAGTTTATAAAGTATATTATTCAGAAATGATTTTAAAACCAGGAATGAATCCAGAATGAAACCAAGACTGTAAATCAAGTCTCCATCAGGACTAAATCAGGATAACTACCACACCAATATATTTAGGCTGAGTTCTTCTCTCAAACAGAAAACAGTCTGTTTCACCTTGTGATGTCACGTAGTAATACAGGAAATGCTCCACTGTCCACTCCACTCCATACACCTTCTCTAGAATCATTTTGATAGTTTCAGCCCTGAAATTGCAAGTCACTTCTGGAAAAAGGTAAAAGGTAGGTAACTTGAAAACTAACACTACGTGACATCACAAGGTGGTATTTTGAGCTTTGAAGATGTAGACAGACATGATAAAAGATTACTCAAACATGTGTGAATAAAACAAAACACAACTCCAGGTCTGTTTTTGGGGATTTGCGGACAACATTTCATGGCTTAAAGCTCACAAGTGTCAGTTTTGTGTAATATAGAACCTTTAAATACTCACCTGTGTACAATGTGTGTGGTTTTATGTTTAATAGATGAGAACCTGATGATGTCCATAGTTGCAGCAGAAGATGTGCCTCATCCAAAGAAGAAGAACTCAGACAGTGGAAGAGATTCTCCTACCACCATCTCCCCCTTATCAACATTGTAAGAACAAAATCATTGTGTGCATTACATCTAAATGAAACAAAAGTAAATCTGTCATATAGAGAACCTCATTCCTATTGCAAAGAATGGAGGTTCAAATCCCGAATTCTAATGTCGTAGTGCTCAAGACCGGTCTCGAGACCATTTTAAAAAATTTTTTTTTTCCAGTCTTGGTCTAGTCTCGGACTCGACAGCGTTTGAATTCGGTTTCGTCTCGGTTTTGTCTCGGTCTCGAGGTCTGACACTTGACAAGTGATAAAAACACTGATATATATGTGCCAACATAACTCAAAAATACAAATAAATGTAGAAAATGACAAAGATGGTCTCAATTTGGTCTCGGGCTTGACTCAGTGTTGGATTTTAAAAGTCTTGGTCTTGTTTCGGTCTCTACCCCCAGAGGTCTTGGTCTTGTCGTGGTCTTGGGACCCTGTGGTCTAGGACTGGTTTTGGCCTTTTGACTCCCGAATTCCCTATGGTGAATATTTTAGTTGTGCCCTTGTGTGTGTGTGAGTGGTCCCTTGACATAAAGTGCTGTTACAATTTTGCGTTATATTGTGCAGCCCTGTGTTTAGGATAAAAAAGATGAATGGAGTGGACAACCGTGAACTTGAAATTGTTCTTTAAAGATCCTATATTTTTTTTAAATTGACTCTTGCGAGCTTTTCGCCATGTTATAATGCAGTTACCTCCTCAAAAACATACTTGGAGTTGTGTTTTGTTTCACTCACATGAAACATGTTTGAGTATCTCTTTATTATTAGTCTGTCTACATCTACAAAGCTCAACATGCTCTGGTCCACCTCGTGAAGTTTAATTTACAAGTTAACAGCTACATTTTGGCTTTTTTCAGTAGAAATAGTAATTTCCAGGGCTGAAATTCACCAAATGATTCTAGCTAAGGTGTATAGAGTTTAAAAACACAGTGGAGCACTTTCTGCATTTACCACATGACATCACAAGGTGGAAGTGTGTGGAAGTGTTTTCAGTTTTGAGCCTAAATATGCAAAGTTTGTGTGTTAAACATGTGTGAATGAAACAAAACACAACTCCAGGTCTGTTTGTGATGAGGAAACTACATTCTAAAAGAGATCAGAAAATAGCGTAGTATGGGTCTCTTAAAATAAATACAAAAAAATAATTAAAACAAACAAATGAGTGACAAAAATTTTCTCTTTTTCAGTCACAGCACGTGTTCAAGCAGCTGGTCTGAGGACAGTGAAGTGAGGTACCTGTGGGAGGAGGACAACCCAGGCTCCAGTGCTCCTCTCTGGGATGGAGCTCTATACAGAAGTGCCTCAGTACCTTCCATCGACTCTGTGGCCAGCACCGTCCTGCCCAGCCCCCCTCCAGACTGCACTCGCTGCCCTTCCTCCACACGCATAGGTACTACACTCTTCTCCAATGTTACCTGCATAATAGTGAATTGATGGAATGAAGAGAGAGACAGACGTGATGAAGGAGCGCACAGCCAGAACCCACTGAAAACCAATTCATCCTCATCCTTCAAAAATTAAGAAATATTTTTTAAAATCTAAAATGAAGATATATATATAAAAAAATAAATAAATAAAAAGACTAATCAGCCAAAGATTTCGCAACTATTCTGTTAAATTGTCTTGTCTTGTTCAGGTGTAGCTCGTGGTTCTCCGGGCTGGCTCTTGCCCTCCTGGACTCTGCATGTGGTGTACCCCGTGGTGGCCATGTTGATCATTACCTGCATGGTGCTAGTTGGAGTGTACGGCAGCTTCTTCTCCAGGCCGGTGCTCCTCATGTGGCTGGGCTCTGTCCTCTCAGCCTTCCTCACCTCTGCTCTGCTGCTGGAGCCTGCGAAAGTGAGACATCACCTAGAAGTCTACTTAAAGATGTCCATGGCATATAGCAGAGCCATTTTAGATTTAAAAATGCCAACCTGCCTTGTCTCTCTGTGGGCACAGTGTATGTTACACTACAATTTCTCCCATCACCCCTAAACATGCATAACATAAGAATCCCCCAGCTAAGTTAGTTCTGAGCAAGATTAGCTCAGGATCTGGAGATCAGTCCCTATCCTGTCTCTGACCAATAGTCCCAGTGGCATTGAAGGATGGGTCAAATGCAGATTAAACATTTGTATAGTATCTTTAAAATAGATATCTCATATTGAGTGTTGGACATCAAAACATGTGCAGTGTGTTTTCTAGATTGTACTCTATAGAAGACATATTTGTAATACTGGTCCATCTGGTGTCAGGTGTGTGCCCAGGCTGTGCTGTGCTCGGTCCTCTGGAGGCCAGTGGACACAGAGGCAGAGGAGCTCCTGTCCCATGAGAGCAGTGTGGTGAGGTCCTTCACAGAGCACAGTGAACACATCAGACCTCCATGTGGATACGGCCTGCTCCAGGCCAAACAGGAGGCATACAAAGTCCGAGCACTCACCTCTCTCATGAGGGTAAGATTCAACCCTTATATTAGTGCAGGACTGGGATAAAGTAAGAGCTAAAAAACAGTTACATTCTAGTAATGGTAAAATGTAGTGACCCTAATAATTACTCAAGTAAGTTACCAAAAGATATTTGGTGATAGTAATATTACTGAGGAACTGTTTGGAGGTGTTCTGACAAAAGAACACAGATTCTGGTATTGTTATATGGTCCATGGACCTCTTGGGTCATATCAAAGGCCCGTAGATGTTTTTCACAGTCTCAGTTTATGGACAGAACATGTCTCATGTGAAAGCTCAGAACCTCCAGAATTCCCTCCCTGAGCTGCAGGGGCTGCACTAGCACTGACTCATGACTGGTGCAGGGGCTGCGGTTTTGGCAGTGACAGAGAGATATATGTGTGTCTCTTACAGCACTGTGTGTGGCAGCTGCTCTTTCTGATGCTGCTGTTGATGGTGAACTACCAGGACCATGTGGAGCAGCAGAAGGGCAGACTCCTGCACTCTGCCACCAAACAGCACCTCCACAGAGCACCTATGGGTGTCCCCAACCTCACAGGCATCAGGCAGTAAGAAACAGACACATCGGCACAGATTGAGGCATGAGTGGCGTTATTATTTTTGATGTGGTTCAACATTTGTGCAACTCATGTTTGGATATTTCCTATAAAAAAAATAAATTTAGCATATTCTGCTATAGTCTGAGAGAGGATTACCTGATACCTGAATACCTGATGAAATACCACTGATTACAATACCAAACCAGCCAGTTGTTAGTAATAATACATTGCTGATAGCACAGGTAGATTCCAACATTACAGTGTAGTGATTAATCTGCTTCATATTGTAAAATAGGCTAAAGTTGCATTATATCACTTTTTTTCTGGGGGAGAGCTCGCCACCTGTTTTTCTCTGTAGAGAAGCTATTGCTTTGCCTAGAATATGCTGCAGTACTTATCTTTCTGCATGGAGATGAGCAGGTGATGCCACCAGACCAGGTCAGAGCTGTGGAGAGGTGACCCCACCCACAGTAAGAATGTATACTTTTCAAGGTATCAAAACAATTTTCATTTGCACCATAATTTCACCATTAATATTACTGATCAATGACCAATTAAAATTAGGTGATGGAATGAATGCTCCTTTATACTATATTTTCATATGATTCACAAACAAAATGTCTGCTTTTTCTATGCAGCTGGGCTGATGCAGAGCAGTGGGTCAGGTTGGTTTTGGTTCCACATCTCCATGAGCGTCCCTCTCTACGCCTGGCTGGGTTACCATGGTTACAGTACACACACAGCCTGGGGCCAGCACAGGGCCTTCTATTGGGAAATAGCAGTAAGAGGACCCTCCAGTACATCTCTGAGCTCCACATGGACCAGTGGAGTCATACAGAGTGAGCATTTGAACCATCTGGATTCTCTTTTATTCAGTCTTCTTAACTTGTGAGTCTTGTCATGGAATATCACTTCATTTAATGAATATTCACAGAAAAGTAAAAGTAACCCAGTGTACACAGTGAAAACCACCACTCCTGCTGGTGCACTGTGGAGTGAAGCAATTGAAATGAGGCAACAATAGTTTACTTGCATTGAAGGGGATTTGATGGCAGTGGAGACTATTTGAGTGTTAAAGTTATCAAAACAAACAGTTAAAAGTGTCTGAACTTTAAAAAACACAGAGATCATGGCAAGCATTTTGAGCTCTGGACAAGGGAAAAAGGCTCTGGATTATTTGAAACAAAAATGCATCATTACACGTAGGGTTTGCCAAAACATTTTTTGTGAGCAAAATATAAAGGTTTGCTGCAAATTATGAAAAATAAAGCTTTTGCAACTAATAAGTAGGACTGGCAGACTGATATATCACTTGGCCTAAAGAATCAGCCATTGGCAGTTCTGGATTCTTAAATAAAAAAAAAAAAACTGTATCAGCACAGGCTCTACAAACAGCCAACCACATGTACTGTATGTAATAAAACAAAACTAGTAGTATGCACACTTGCACAGTTTATTTAATATATATTTGCATTTGTGCCTATATAAGGAAGGGGTCTCCAGCCTGTAGCTCGGGACCTACCAGTAGCTCTCCACCCCCTTCCAAGTAGCTCGCCAAGGAATTTCTGAATTATACATGTTGTACTGAATGACTCAAATTTGATGAACTATCATTGTAAAGATATAATTTTGATGCCTAATTAATAGATACAGGTTTATGTTTTATAGGCAGTGTTGGGAAGGTTACTTTTAAAATGTAATCCCCTACAGATTACAGATTACACACCCCAAAATGTAGTTTGTAACGTAATCCATTAAATTACTTAAAGTGAGTAACGTAATCTGATTACTTTGGATTACTTGATATTGTCATGTTTTTTTTAAACGACATGAATGTAGCAACCACATCCTGAAAATTCTTGTTTGTTGTCTTCAAATTGTCTGAGCCCAAGTCTCCATGAATAAGCAACTGTTTGCTGTAGAGAAACAAAGACCACGATATCTTAATATAAGAGGTTTTGTCTGTTAAAAGACAGTAACAAGATAAGCCTTTCCTTCACCAGATTAAAAATATTATTGATAGAGAAATTATTTTTTATATGAGATCACCTTAAATTATGTCAACCTACTGTTAGGTGTCATGTTGTTTAGACCTGGTTTAGTCTTGGTTTAGTCCTGATTTTAGACCTGGTTTAGACCAGGTCTAGACCAGGTCTTTAGTTCTGGTTTAGTCGTGGTTTAGTCCTAGTTTAAACCTGGTTCAGTCCTGCTTTAGTCCTGGTTTAGTCCTGGATTAGTTCTGGTTTAGTCCTGGTGTTCTGGTTTAGAGGCGCACAGGAGGAAGTGCGGTTTACGCGAGAAAACACGGTCCACACGCGGCGCACGAGACGGCGGTGTCCGCGCAGTAACTACGGAAGGAGACGTGGTCCGCGGGTTCTCAGGTTGATGACGATGATGAAGGTGTGTGTTTGTTGTGTGTGTTTGTGTTTGTGTGTGTTTGTGTGTGTCCACTCATGTCGCAGGTCACTATAGGACAGTAGTGCAGATATTATGAGTCTATGCAGGTTGTTTTCACCAGTGCCAGTAGCTCCTGTTTCACATTTAAGTTGTAGGCGATTTTATATTTGTTTTTTTTATATATATATCTCACATCGGGAGAAGAATTTCCAAGACACAAATGCGTTTTTACCAATGCACTGCTGCTTCCACTGTGTGACTGACACCGCCAACTTTAACATGACGTTTACGTCACTCTTATTGCGCGCGTTCTGTTTGGGTTTCCAACAATGAGTGGAATTACCGAAATAAAAAAATAAATAAATGGGATGTAGCACAAAATGTGAAAACAGGAAAATGCCGCCTTGTAATCCACTTATTTCAGCAAAGTAACTGTAATCCAATTACCACCCTTTGAAACAGTAACTGTAACGGAATACAGTTACTCATAATTTGTACTCTGATTACGTAACGGCGGTACATGTAATCCGTTACTCACCAACACTGTTTATAGGTATCCAACTGTCCCATGTAAGGCTTCCCTTTCCTTTCACAGTTCCTTGTGACTGCTAAAATTAGTAGCTCTTTGGCATTTTCTTTAGGTAAAGGTAGATCCCCAGAAGAAAAAGGTTGAAGACCCCTGATATAAGATCTGCAGTTTCTTCTTCTTAGTTATTGTTTTGGATTACAAATATTTTACAGGCAGTTGTTAATGATCATCACGTCTAGGCTGCCTCACTTCAGTTATTGTTAAGATGTAGCCACTATCCACTACTATATATATATATATAAAAAAAAAATGTGTTTCTCACCTTCCACGGTGGTAGGTCTCTCTCACCCTCATTGAGCTCGGGTCCTCTACCAGAGGCCTGGGAGCTTGAGAGTTCTGCGCAGTATCTTTGCTGTTCCCAGTACTGCACTTTTCTGGACTGAGATGTCCGTTGTTTTTCCCGGTATCTGTTGTAGCCACTCTTCCAGTTTGGGGTTACAGCCCCGAGTGCTCCGATCACCACAGGCACCACTGATGCCTTTACTTTCCAGGCTCTCTCCAGCTCTTCCTTGAGCCCCTGGTATTTCTCTAGCTTCTCGTGTTCCTTTTTTCCTGATATTACCATCGCTTGGTATTGCGATGTCAACCACCACGGCTCTGCTCTGTTTCTTATCCACCACCACTATGTCTGGTTGGTTCGCCATCACCATTCTGTCAGTCTGTATCTGGAAGTCCCACAGGATCTTGGCTCGGTCATTCTCCACAACCCTTGGAGGTGTTTCCCACCTTGATCCTGGGGTTTCCAGCCCGTACTCTGCACAGATGTTTCTGTACACTATGCCCGCCACTTGGTTATGTCGCTCCATGTATGCTTTCCCTGCCAGCATCTTACACCCCGCAGTTATGTGCTGGACTGTCTCAGGAGCCTCTTTGCACAGTCTACACCGTGGGTCTTGTCTGGTGTGGTAGATCTGGGCCTCTATTGCTCGAGTGCCCAGGGCCTGCTCCTGAGCAGCCAGGATCAGTGCCTCTGTGCTGTCCTTCAGACCAGCCCTCTCAAGCCATTGGTAGGATTTCTTGATATCAGCCACTTCAGTTATGTTCCGGTGGTACGCCCCATGTAGGGTTTGTCCTGCCATGATGGTCCCTCCAGCACCTCTTCCTCTGGACCCCACTGTCTGAGACATATATATATATATATATATATATATATATATATATATATATATATATATATATATATATATATATATATATATATATATATATATATATATATATATATATATATATATATATATATATGTATATATATATGTATATATATATATATGTATATGTATATCTATGTATGTGTATATATATATATATGTATATAATAAATAATATTATTATTATTAATTTTTTTTTTTTCTAACACTCTGATCTAAAATGTTGATCAGACCAACCGTCTAACTGGGCCTAAATCCAAGATGAATAAATCCCTTACTAGAAAACAAATCTTTAAAATCTTTATTGTTCTGTTTTGCTCAGCTCTTTGTCAGTGCGATGGACACACTACCACACAGAGTCAGGCTTGTGGCTGTGTGTGCGTGTGCGCCTGCATTTGACCCAGCTCCAAAGAGTGACCCGGGCCCTGTCCATCCTTCCTCTACTCCTGCCCCCTCCTCCTCCTCACCACCGGACCTCCAGATGGCGCTCTCGGTAACCCAAATGGCATATGGGACACATACATACTCACCTACTACAGAACTTTATGTTGTAATACAAGGGTTAGATTCTAAATGTTTGTGGCAAAAAGTAAAGAGCCATTTAGCTGGTTGGTAATATTTTACATTCACTGTCTAGAAACTAAATGTTTTGGTTATTTAAAACTACAATTACAAGTGCTTTACTTATTTAATAAATTGCATGCATTTTTTTTGTATGCACCAACCACCCTTAATTCTATTGATCTACATTACATTACATTACATTACATTACATTATGCCTCAGAGAGGATAAACATTGCTGCAAGTTGATATAGATGGTGTTAAGTTGTACTGGAGGGAAGTGAACTATGAAATAGCATGTTACCAAACTCTTTTTTGTTTTGATTCCTCAGGTATTGCTGGTGATGTGCGGGCTGCTCATGCTGGGGGCGGAGCTGTACTCAGTCCGGACTGAGCATATGCGGGTTGTGTGTGGGTGGAGTTGTTTGTTCCACTTCCTCTTGGTCTCGTTGTCCATGGCAACAGGTGTCCTGCAGCTCCACTTTCTTTCTGTCGCTCGCAAATATTTATCTGAGGTATAAACCCAGATTAGAATGAAGCAATATTCAAAAGTCATTATTGTTTTGAGGTCACAAACATTTTGGATATGGTTATGAATTCAATAATTTGCATGTTATTCTCATGGTTGGCATGATATTTTTGGTCAGGTAACTTGTTTGAAGGAGAACCTTCAATGGAAAGTAATGGGCAGCGTCACTCAACTTACTGCATTCTCCCCAAAATAATGCCACAAATTATATCAAATTGCACACAGTAGCAACCAGCACAAGGCTAAAGATGACTAAGCTGGCAGTTGTATAGGCCCATATTCCACTCTCTTCAAGTGTTTTGGTTGTATTATATGAACAGACAATCTATTTTTCTCTCTAAAGTGACCACATTTGTTGGATGTGGGAAAAGCCAAAGGAATGATGGTGAGGGTGCGGTCATTTACCAAAATGGTTCTCACTTTACAGTGAATAGTCTTGCATTGTTTGGTGCCTATTTCCTGCATTTCAAATGCATTAGGTTTTGTCTCACATCCAGTAGTCGCCCTTACAGGGCAGCTGTTTAGTTTTTCAAAGACTTGAATGGTCTGTTTAATGCTAAGTTGTAAGTGCTACTTGCAGCCTCAAAGAGGAGCTTTCACTATAATCTAAATATCTGGTGGTAAATGTTCTAATATCATCCTAATTGTATCTGTCCTTTAGCTTCAGCAGCAGCCAAACAGCTTCATTAGGTTCCACCGCGCGGCGCTTCTCTCTCAGAGGGCTTCACAATGTGCTGCTGTTCTGCTCACTCTGCTCGTTCTCAGGGTAAAGACCATTATTTTTTCCTTTCACTTTCTTTCACACCATCCCACATTTTCAGCTCTAGAAAATAACAGTGCAAAGTAAAAAAAAAAAAAGTACTTTTTATATTAAATAATAAGTTAATTGTAGCTAATGTGTGGTAACATCATGTTTAAAGATTTAAGATTTAACTGTGTTTTAGGCAAATGTGTAGTTCAACCTGTTATAGGCTCTTTAAGTAATGCACAAGATGCACATACTCAAAACTGGAAGAGTAACCAAAACTTTTACTCAAGTACTGTTACACTGTTATGCAAGTGTTGCTAGAACTAGGCTGTCTAAAATCCACACTATGAGAAACACACTTTTATTAAAGCAAAAGTAAATGTAATTGAAAATCCACCTCCGGTTACAAGTTTACTTCCAATTTTGATGTGGTTCTGTGTGGTCCTGTGGTTCTGTTTTTCCATCCATTTTAATGCTGTAAAACACAAGAGACAAGCTTAAGTGTCCTAAAGGTTCATTCTAACAGACTGTAAAATGTATCTTGACCTTCAGCTTCTGGGGACCCTGCGCTTCGTGCGGAGGTGGGTGGTGATGGGCAGGGTGCTACACAGGGCCTGGAAAGAGCTCATGGCCATTGTGCTGCTGCTAATTCTAATGCTACTGCTCTGCGGCCACATTGCTAACACTGTGAGTATCACTAAACACTCTGAGGGTGGGCTGTCCCATGTGGCATTTAGGGCTAACTTTAATTTCAAATATAAACCGAAAGTAAAAACAGAACTTTATAGTTATTTATTTTGGGATGTTCAGATTAATTAATTTTAAGTGTGTATAAAATGTATATCGAAACCAAAATGATCACTCAAAATGGAAATTAAAGCCACACTGTAATATTACAGGCTTGCTCCCAGCTTGTCTCCATGAATTTAGGTAAGATAAAGGTGTGGAAAATTTCCAGCCGTAGCAACAGTAGTGATTAGAATTTTTAGTGCTGGAATAGGGTTGTCAAAAGTATCAAAAATCACATGCTAATTGATACTAGAACTAGTATCAAAACTAGATACTCAGTCTCAGTATTGTCAGTAGTGAAAAAGTCAGCTTTAGAATGATCTTGAGCTGTATCAGAACAAGTATAAGAGCAAAATTTAAAAATTCTGTCAGATCTCAGAAGCTCAGCAGGGCTGGGCTGCTTCAGGACTTGGATGGAGACCACTGGGAAAATCGGGTGACAAGGGGTTGTTGTGTCCTTAGGCAAGGCATTACCTAGTATGAAAGTGGTGTGTGCGTGCGTGAGTGATGGTGGTGGTCTCAGTGATCGATTGTGCAGATTGGCAGCCTCACTTCTGTCAGTCTGCACCAGGATAGCTGGGGCTAGTAGTAATAGTAGTAGTAGCACTCCACACCACTGAGTGTGGATGAATCATGATCTGTAAAAGCGTCTTTCTGACATATGTCTCTGAGAAGCACTGTATAAATAAATCAAATAAAAACTTACTTCTTGTTAATTACTCTCTCAATATATCATGTCTCTATATCATGTTGTTGCCAGTTGTTAAGAAGGGACAAGAAGCTCCCTCTTAACAACTGGTCATCAAATACTGTACGCCCATTACCCACTATGGAACCTACCTGGACCAATGAGGGATTACACGCCTATAAGAACACATGGGAATAGAAAAGAAAGTACTATTATTTAATGTTGAAAACCACATTCTACTGTCTAAAGAATTAGTGTTTTTCATTATCATGGTGATATCAGAATCAGTATTGAGTACCGAGTCTATTCTCTAGTGTCAAAATTGAGATTGAAATTTTAGTACCATGACAACACTATGCTGGAATTGCAAAAATTTATGATTTTAACAACTTTTTAATACAGTGCATGGATATTTAAGCAGTGACATGAATGTGTGATCTCTCAAAAGAGGCAGTTAGCTTAAAGGCAACACATATGGAACTCCTATTCATTAATCATGGTAGAATAGTTAGAATTTGAGAAAACAGCCATACTATTTTTTGTTATTTTGTCCCCTCCTAATGTGTTCTGTGTTGTAGGTGTTTGCTGATACAGTGGAAGGCTTCGTGTCCCTGCAGCAGACGTCTGTATCTGTGCTGTCCCTCCTGAGGGGACACAGGGCTGTCCACAGTCTGTGCAGGCTCCACCCACACCTGGGCTCTCTCTACTGTCTGCTGCTCACCGGGGGGACGCTCTGGCTGCTCGCTCGGATATGTGGAGCGGTTCTCATTCGGGCGTACAGGTAAATGCTAGCTATCTGAGAATACTAATCTGGTGGTACTTTGATTGAATGTCATTTTATGGTAATACGGCCAAACAGTGCAAGCAAGAGTAAGAATGCAAATTATAAGAGAAAGAATATTTATTGATCCTGAGGGAAATTCAAGTTTGGCTGCAGCAACATTTACACTGCGCTTTTCAGTGGCATTTGTGTCTCAGTCAAATGTCTCAGTGCAGTTTCACAGGAGGACTGGTCAGGGAGGGTCAGCAGATCCTGTGTCAGGGCAGTTTGAGGAGAGAAAGAGCTGTGTCCTGCTGCATCACAGCAACCTCCACAGGGCACCAGGTGAACACAACAGGAAAACCCTCATTCTTACCGTGCTCTGGTGTTTCGGTTGGTGACAAAATGGTCCATTCCCACAAAATATTTCCTCTGGAAGACTCTGCCACATTTGCTGATACATATGGTGTAAAAAGCCTATAGCATCTCAAATGTAATGGAGCTCTGAAGGGGGAATGACTTAGCATGGAGAACAAACTGAGAGGAGACTCATAATGTCAAAAATGAAGCTGAAACTTATTAAACATATTAATTAGGGAACCGTCACCTTATCGTGGTGGAGGGGTCTGAGTGCCCGAATGATCCCAGGAGCTATGTTGTCGGGGGCTTCGTGCCCCTGGTAGGGTCACCCAAGGCAAACAGGTCCGGGGGGACGGGTCAGACGAAGAACGGTTCAGAAGCCCCACATGATGAGCAACACACAGAGGCCAGTTACGTCTCCCGGATTGGCGTCACCGGGGCCTCACCCTGGAGCCAGGCCTGGGGTGGGTGCTCGTCAGCGAGCGCCTGGTGGCCGGGCCTTCCCCCACGGGGCCCGGCCGGGCTTAGCCCGAAGGAGCGACGTGGGGCCGTCCTCACGTGGGCCCACCACCCGCGGGAGGAGCCATATGGGGCCGGTGCAGAGAGATCTGGGCGGCAGTCGACGGCGGGGGCCTCGGCGACCGGATCTCCGGACATGGAGACTAGCTCTGGGGACATGGAATGTCACCTCGCTGGGGGGAAAGGAGCCTGAGCTTGTGCGGGAGGTTGAGCGTTACCGACTAGATATAGTCGGCCTCACCTCCACGCACAGTTTGGGCTCTGGAACCCAACTCCTTGAGAGGGGCTGGACTCTCCATTTCTCTGGCGTTGGCCGCGGGGAGCGGCGGCGGGCTGGTGTGGGCCTGCTCATTGCCCCACAGCTCAGCCGCTGTGTGTTGGAGTTCACCCCGGTGAACGAGAGGGTCGCGTCCCTGCGCCTTCGGGTCGGGGACAGGTCTCTCACTGTGGTGTCGGCCTACGGGCCGAACAGCAGTGCTGAGTAACCGGCCTTCTTGGAGTCCTTGGGAGGGGTACTAGACAGTGCACCGACCGGGGACTCCGTTGTTCTCCTGGGGGACTTCAACGCCCACGTGGGCAACGACAGTGACACTTGGAGAGGGGTGATTGGGAGGAACGGCCTCCCCGATCTGAACCCGAGCGGTGTTTTGTTATTGGACTTCTGTGCTAGTCACGGTTTGTCCATAATGAACACCATGTTCGAGCAGAAGGGTGTCCATAAGTGCACGTGGCACCAGGACACCCTAGGCCGGAGGTCGATGATCGACTTTGTAGTCGTGTCATCTGATCTCCGGCCGCGTGTCTTGGACACTCGGGTGAAGAGAGGGGCTGAGCTGTCAACTGATCACCACCTGGTTGTGAGTTGGGTTCGCTGGCGGAGGAGGAAGCCGGAAAGACCTGGCAGGCCCAAGCGTGTAGTGAGGGTCTGTTGGGAACGTCTGGTGGAGCCCTCTGTCAGAGGGACTTTCAACTCGCACCTCCGGGAGGACTTCTCCCGGATTCCGGGGGAGGCTGGAGATATGGAGTCCGAGTGGGCTTCATTCTCGGCCTCTATTGTCAATGCGGCTGCTCGGAGCTGTGGGCGTAAGGTCTGTGGTGCCTGTCGCGGCAGCAATCCCCGAACCCGGTGGTGGACACCGGAAGTAAGGGATGCCGTCAAGCTGAAGAAGGAGTCCTATCGGGCCTTGCTGGCTCGGGGGACTCCTGAAGCAGCTGACGGGTACCGGCGGGCCAAGCGTGCTGCAGCCCATGTGGTCGCGGAGGCAAAAACTCGGAGCTGGGAGGAGTTCGGGGAGGCCATGGAGGAGGACTATCGGACGGCCTCAAAGAGATTCTGGCAAACCGTCCGCCGCCTCAGGAGGGGGAAGCAGTTCTTCGCCAACACTGTTTACAGTGCGGTGGGAGAGCTGCTGACCTCGATTGGGGACGTTGTTCGGCGGTGGAAGGAATACTTTGAGGATCTCCTCAATCCCACCGTCACGTCTTCCGAGGAGGAGGCCGAGGCTGGGGACTCAGAGGCGGACTCATCCATCACCCTGGCTGAAGTCACTGAGGTGGTTGGAAAGCTCCTTGGTGGCAAGGCTCCGGGGTTGGATGAGATCCATCCTGAGTACCTTAAGTCTCTGGATGTTGTGGGGCTGTCTTGGCTGACACGCCTCTTCAACATCGCGTGGCGGTCGGGAACAGTACCTCTGGACTGGCAAACCGGGGTGGTGGTCCCTCTGTATAAGAAGGGGGACCGGAGGGTGTGTTCCAACTATAGGGGGATCACACTCCTCAGCCTTCCCGGTAAGGTCTATGCCAGGGTACTGGAGAGGAGAATCCGGCCAATAGTCGAACCTCGGATCCAGAAGGAGCAGTGTGGTTTTCGTCCTGACCGTGGAACACTGGACCAGCTCTACACTCTCCATCGGGTGCTCGAGGGTTCATGGGAGTTTGCCCAACCAGTCCACATGTGCTTTGTGGACTTGGAGAAGGCATTCGACCGTGTCCCTCGTGGTGTCCTGTGGGGGGCGCTCTGGGAGTATGGGGTCCGGGGCCCTTTGCTAAGGGCTGTCCGGTCCCTGTATGACCGGAGCAGGAGCTGTGTTTGCATTGCCGGCAGTAAGTCAGACCTGTTCCTGGTGCATGTTGGACTCCGCCAGGGCTGCCCGTTGTCACCGGTTCTGTTCATTGTATTTATGGACAGAATTTCTAGGCGCAGTCAGGGGCTGGAGGGGGTCCGGTTTGGGGACCACAGGATCTCATCTCTGCTGTTTGCGGATGATGTTGTCTTGTTGGCTTCATCGAACCAGGACCTGCAATGTGCACTGGAATGTGAAGCGGCTGGGATGAAGATCAGCTCTTCCAAGTCCGAGGCCATGGTTCTCGACCGGAAAAAGGTGGCTTGCCCTCTCCAGGTGGGTGGGGAGTCTTTGCCTCAAGTGGAGGAGTTCAAGTATCTCGGGGTCTTGTTCACAAGTGAGGGAAGGACGGAACGTGAGATTGACAGGCGGATCGGTGCAGCTTTGGCAGTGATGCGGTCGCTGTATCGGACCGTTGTGGTGAAGAGGGAGCTGAGCCAAAAGGCGAAGCTCTCGATTTACCGGTCAGTCTTCGTCCCTACTCTCACCTATGGTCATGAGCTCTGGGTAGTGACCGAAAGGACGAGATCGCGGATACAAGCGCTTGAAATGGGTTTCCTCCGCAGGGTGGCTGGGCGCTCCCTTAGAGATAGGGTGAGGAGCTCAGTCACACGGGAGGAGCTCGGAGTAGAGCCGCTGCTCCTCCACGTCGAGAGGAGCCAGTTGAGGTGGCTCGGGCATCTGTTTCGGATGCCTCCTGGGCGCCTCCTTCGGGAGGTGTTCTGGGCATGTCCCACCAGGAGGAGGCCCCGGGGAAGACCCAGGACACGCTGGAGGGACTATGTCTCTCGGCTGGCCTGGGAACGCCTCGGGGTCCCCCCCGGAGGAGCTGGCATTATAACTTAAGAGACTTGTAATTTGATATATTGTGATGGTCCACAATGTTATTTTGAGACTCTTAACAATATGATATCATAATATTTCTGTTATAGTTACATTCCTAATATTAATATGTTGTTTTCTGCGAATATAGCAAAAATAATAAAAGGTAACATGGTGCTCTAAAAGTATTATGTGTTAGCAGTTAATACCCCATACATGTAAAATATCTGTCTTTAAAATAAGTCTGAACTAAAATACTTATTGTTGGCATTACTTAGCACATTCTTATGTCCATATTCAGGGTATAGAACATATCTGACTTGACATTATACACTGATAGAATAACATTTTGTCTTCAGGTCAGAGAAGGTTGAGATGTTCCGTCCAACCATTGAACCCCAAGATTACGAGATGGTGGAGTTCTTCATCAAGAGACTCAAACTGTGGATGGGGCTGACGAAGACCAAGGAGGCATGTACCCGCCAGCCACCTCCATATCATTACAAAGGTTCCACAGACATTAAAGTGGGACTAAACACCTAAATCCCGCCCACAACCACACTGCACATAGAGCTGCTAAACGGGACTAAACGGGAGAGTGAGGGGGGAAGAGAGGCGGGGTCTGGAGGACTAAAGGGGAGAAGTGAGGGGCGAGGAGGGGGCGGGGTCTGCAGGTATAAAGAACAGTGTGATTGGTCGAACACGTATCCACTCTTCAAACTCTGCCCCTGCAGCAAGTTGTCTGTATCAGAAACACATATCTGTGATCATTACAGTCCTGTGTGATGTCACATAGTACTGACAATTGCAGAGGCCACTGAAGGCAGTATAAACTTAGATTTAGGGGTTTTGACCAGAAAGCTGCAAATGCATTGTATTTTTCGGACTATAAGTTGCTCCGGAGTATAAGCACCAGCCAAAAAATGCATAATGAAGAAGAAAAAAAGTTGCACCGGACTATTAAGTGGCACTTTTTGGGGTAAATTTATTTTATAAAATCAGAGACCAGGAACTGGCATTTCATCTTGAAAGTCAAGTTCTAGCAATAACAACAGAATAGAGAACAACAGACTGTTAACGTCACATATGAACAGTTCTTCAGATAAACTATAACATAAACAACAGAACAAGTTTACCAAACTCTCCATCTCACTCCAAATCACTAAATCCATTCAATTCTTCATCCACGGTGTCACTTCTGAACAACTCGGCTTTGACCTCCGAAGGTAAATGGAGTGACGCTTCCTCTTCTGTGTCGCTGTCGTCAGACTCAGCATCAGTTCCAGTTAGAATTATTCCAGCGTTTCTGAATCCCGCCAGGATGGTTTCAGTGTCACTGAAGTCCAGGCTTTGCCCATCCATCCAGTGACTTCAGGAAAGTTGCATGGTGCACCCTCCTGGTGTCTCTCGCTTTCTTCTCTCTCACTCCAAACTTTCTTTCTGCTGCTCGATTACCATTTTCGACTGCAGATTTCACTACTTGCAGCTTGTAAGCAAAATTTGAATATATAAGTAGCAGGACCACCCAAACCATGAAAAAAGTGCAAGTTATAGTCCGAAAAATATGGTACACAGTTTGGTAGTGAAAAAAGTGGATTTAGTGTTTAGTTTAATTCAATAATATTTCATTTAATTTACTTTTCCAGTTCCGACACAGGGTCAAATTCGAAGGCATGAACGTTCCTCCTTCACGTTCATCACAGAATTCCCGTCCATCTACCATCTCCTCCGTCCCATCATTCCGATCTCCATCTCCTCGCCCGTTGTCTTCTTCTCTCTCCGTTAAGTCTGAAGATTCAACTTTGTCAGCAAGCAAATCGGACACAGCGCCCTCTCTCGACCGCCTACTGCCTAGCGTCACCGCCATGCTGGCACAATTTGACCGCGTAAACCAAATAACGGAAGAAGTTTACCAGCTGGAAATGAGACTTGAAGATGCACAAATAAAACGGCAAGCTGCTCAGATTCAAAAACGCGTGGAGAAACTGAGCGATGCTAAACCAGAAACATCAGATGTAGTTCGTCAAAGGAGATCTGGCTTTCTCTACCCAAATTCTCAACCGACGTCTACGAGAAATTCAACTAGTGTACCTCCAAGAACTCGGAATTCTTTCTCTGAATCTGAATCCTTTCCTCCTAAACCGCATTTACGCAGGAATACCTTCGGAGCGACCAAACCTTCGTCCGTTAGCAGTAGCCGTTGCATGTCCCCAGCCGCAGGATTCGTTCCACCGATTCCCCGAAGAAGAGCGTGGCATTCTGGGAGCTCGCATTCGGCCGACGCGGCTCAGAGGATACTGCAGTGGAATGAGAGAGACATCTGGGGCGTGGAGAGGCCGAGGAGCGAAGACGGAGCAAGGAGAGGGGTTCTAGATGGGATTCCGATGAAGAGGAAGGCGTGGATTTTGGAGGGAGGAGAAGGTGAGCAGGGTTGATGAAGAAACATGACACTGCTCTTATGGATGATACAAAAAAAACAAAAAAAAAAACATATATATTTAAATAATAATAATGAAATAATAAAAATAAAAGAAAGCTAGAACTGCCAAAATGGTCATACTTGGACATTTGTAGGCAGTGGTGGAAGGTAACAAAGTACAAAAGCAACAGTTCTGTACTTAACCCTTCCAGACCGACGGTACCTGGGAATATGTTTTATAGAATGACACATAATTTACCACATCATACCATTAAAAATAGAAACTTTTCATTTTTGATTTCCCCAAACTTTGTCAAAGAGTGTAGTGAGTCAAAATGGTCGATGCTCTGAGCGTCTGTGTTTGTAACAATTGAAAAAGCCACTTTAAGTGCAGTTATTTCTCAAATAAATGCAAAATTACGCATCTTGGTCTGTGTAATTGTGCATCCCTTGCTATTTTTATTTGAAAGTGTTATTTCAGTCCAAATGTACAAATCCAAATGTAATAAACCTCATGGAAATGCAGGACGTGATGTTTCCATAACTGACACCAGGAAAGTCATTGCACTTTTTTTAGTAAGTAAGTCTTTATTTATATAGCTCTTTTCACAGACATTTTCTGTCCCCAAAGACGCTTTACAGAGCATTATTCCGCATTATTCATTCACTCTATACCCTGGTGATGGTAAGCTACTGTTGTAGCCACAGCTGCCCTGGGGCACACTGACAGAAGCGCGGCTGCCATGCCACTCGGCGCCATCGGTCCCTCCGACCACCACCATCACTCACGCACACACCACTTTCATACTAGGCAATGTGGGTGAAGTGTCTTGCCTAAGGACACACAATGATTTTTTTTGTTTTGTTTGTTTTGTTTTGTTTGTTTTGAGGCAATAAGGATATTTTGAGTTCACTTACAAACTTGATATTTTGCACTTTTGTAGCCAAGGTCCTAATTTAAACATGTTTTATGTCAGAAAAGTTGTTTATACATGTTTGCTGTGTGTTTTGTATGAAAGAGTGTGAATTGTATTTTGCCTTTTTTTTGAATTTCTGATCCTATAGCTCTTTTATTACAGCCATATGACACAACTACAACATGCAGATTGTGAAATAACAGGTTGTACTGAAGAAAAAAAAAAAAAAAAAAAGATGTATAACACTTCACTGGGGGGTAAAAAGGTGCATTTTAATAGCAAAATGAAGACAAAAATTGAGGACAACTGTACTAAAATTGCCTTTAGGTCTGGAAGGGTTAAGTATTTTTAGGCATATGTATTTACTTCTACAGTGGATATTTTTTTCTTTTACTTCACTACACTTGAGAACACCTATACGTTCTACTTCACTACATCTGTGAACTGGACTTAAAAGTTAAAAAACAAAACAAAAACACTTTTCATATGATTTGAGAGATCGTTTTTTAGCATATATATGGTAATGTTCTGTCTAAAATGTTTTGAGTTTAAATCCCGGCTTTGAGCAAACAAAAACATACAATTCATTAGAGAAACATTATCATATATTGGAAAACAAAATCTATTATCAATGTCACTACTTTAAACACTAACTCAAAATCTTACTACTACTATACTTTTACATAAATACATGTTTTTTTATATGATACTTTTACTGTTTTTTTTATTATTATTTTTGCCCTCTAGTATCTGTACTTACACTTGAGGCACCACAATTAAGTACTTGTGTCAGATCTTGAGTCAGGATCTTAACTACTACTACTACTTTTATTGTTTTTTACCAAGACTGTCCTTTTTGATTTAAAAGGAGACACTGTGTAAAAGCGTGCACTTTAGTAGTTGATGTACTGCACTCTATTTCAAAGATCACATTTGTATTATAGATGAAAAGATGCATATTTATTTAGTGAAAAATGACAACAATGGCCAACTGGTCATAAATAAATATATATTTTATATTCTCTGTTTTTGATGTTTGTCTGTTTTTCTATTAGAGAACCTTATTAAAGGTGAGGACTGTTTTTAATATGCAAGATATAGTGTTTATTTTTATTATAAATCTTTATTATGCAATGTTCTTAAAGGTGCACTATATACATTTTTTATCGGGTGCCTGCCACCTGCTTGTTTCTATGGATACGTCATTGCTTTACCTTACATTTATTCAATTACAGGTGGTTTTATAACTCTAAAAATACCATGAACTGCAGGCATTCTGACTGGGAGCGGGGTTACCTTGCCACAGATCTGACCTGTAACTTGGTATGATTTGGTCTCCATGATGATAGAAAGGTTTAATGCCATACAACATTTCAGACGCTATAGCACCTTAATGAAGAAAATGGACCCTCCACCAAAACCATTACACAGTGTACCTTTAAATTAACTGTACGTGTCCTGTGCTCTTTCAGTTTTAAAATAATTGCTACAATCCCAACTGAGTTGTGTCTCCAAAGTCTTAGCCTGCAGATCGAGACACATCCAAGTTTCCCTCATTCTAAGTTTATGGACAGACCTCATGTAAATGCTCAGAACCTCCAGAATTCCCTCCCTGAGCTGCAGAGGCTTCACTAGCACTGACTCATGACTGGTGCAGGGGCTGGGGTTTACAGAGAGATCATTCAGAGCAGAGAGAAAGATTTTTAGGTTTAAACACATTGGATTTGAGCATTGAAACTGGCAACCCAAATGAGCAAGAATATAGACTTAGACAAACTTTATTGATTCACAAGGGGAATTATTTGGACACTGTAGCTCACACATCACAATATAATATGATAACAAAGATCAAACATAGAAATGGTAATAATACATTCTAAATGCTAATGAAAGATTGTGCACATGGTTCCTTTAAATCCATCCCCGGCCTTTATTCTGCATATTAATTGACACAAGGCGGTGGCTAGTCTAGGGGATCCAGTATCTGCATGTTTTTCCTGTTTGGACACACCTCCTGGTCATTGTCAAAGCTGCATTAGCGCAGAACAGCTGTGCAATGCCAGGTATGCTAGCAATGACAACACCTGAGGACATTTAGAAGCAACAGTGTCTTTTACACTCGCCCAGGTGAGTCTGACTTGTCTAAACATACTCAGTACATTCACAGCATTTTAATGAAGTTATGGTTTTTCACAGATGGCACCAGGACAACAGGAACAAAACCAACTTCATGAAAATGAAAGTTACAGTGACTGGATGTCCCGACTACCTCCAGATAAACACAACACAGTGCTGTGGCATCTAGTCATACCGGGTATGTTACACTTTAACAGATTTATCAGCACTTTAACATTACCTTTTATTATAGTGATCAGATTTTCAAAATGAAAAAAAACTGAGACAGCCCTGGCTTGTGGTGATTGGAAAACTGTTCTGCACTCGACCCATTCACAACATGTCAGTAGAGTCACATTTTCTTAGTGTTTTGGTAATTTTTAAGCAGCTTTTCTGTATTTTATCTAAACAAATGACAGTTTATACCTCTCTTTACTGTTGGCAGGGGTCAGATTGGTCAAAAATAGGGACACCTGGGACATTTCTCATATAAAACTGGAACAAATCAGTGTTTTTTAATAAATCTGCTGGGACAGGGGACACAGGACTCAAAACTGGAACTGTCCCAGGTAAACAGGGACATCTGGCCCTTTTATAGTGTACAACACATTGTACATAACATTGCATTTTCAGTACATCTCAAAGGATATCATTTAAAATCCGTTTGATAGGTTTGGAAGGTAGTTTTTTTTTTACAGGAAGTAGAAAATTCTAAAACATATTGATGACCTCAGACTAGGGAGAATTCTGTCTAGAAGTTTAGCACAATTTACTTGTACAACACCGCACAACATATTTTTCTTTGTCATTGTATTTTTATTTGTCATATATGAATTTCTGTGTACATTTGAGGAGTTTTGGCCTAGTCTAAAACATGGTTGCTAGGTAACAGTTATGGACCAGTTTTGGTCTCGAGAACTTTTTTTTTTTTTTTTTTTTTACGGTCTTGGTCTCGTCTCAGACTCGACTGCTTTTGGACTCGGTCTTGTCTCAATCTTGGACTTTGAATTTGAAAAAACAGGTTTAAAAATCCTACTCATTTTCTTCACTTTCTTCACAGTTTTATGTAAAGTGGCAGTGGAAGTTTTCTAAAAGAAGGGGTTCTCAAACTGTGCCCTTTTTTCTCAAACAAAAAATGGCACAGTGTTTCAGTGCAGTACAGTTTGCTTGGGTTAAATTACCATTTATCAGAAAAAAGGAGATAGATTTATAAAAACATTGATATATATGTGCCAAAATAACTGTAAAATACAATAAATGTAGAAAATGACAAAGATGGTCTTGATTTGGTCTCGATGGGCCGTGGTCTTGGTCTTGTCTCAGTCTTGGGACCCTGTGGTCTCCGACTGGTATTGGTCTCAATTTGTGCGGTCTTGACTACAACACTATTATTCCTTAGTGTGAATTATGATTTCCAAATAGGAAGAAACGTTTGAAACCTAAATAATAGCAAAATCTAAACATTAAATGAACTTTTCTCATTACTAAACAGTATTTTGTTCTGTCCCCAGTCTTATTTAGGCAATTTTAGTTCAAGTGCAGTTTTATTCTCAGGTCTACAGGGGTGCAAAAGGTGAGCAGTGCAACCTCAGTTAAAAGTTTTGCACAGGAAAATAAAACAGTACCCCTTAACAGAAGCGTATTATGTTTGCATCCCTCACCTTTGGGTTGTTCTTCGCATCAAAACTAATCAAAAACCAACTCTCCATACATATTTACTTGACTTCCATCTATTTTATGTGAATCTTCTCCTCAAAGATTTGTCCTACTCTCTAACATTATTCTATATTTCCCTACAAAGCAATATATTTATTTATTCATTCATTTGTTCATTCGTGTATGTGATGAACTTTTGTCTTATTCTTGTTACTTTTCAGGCAGCCATGACTCAATGAGCTATGATCTGGACATTAATAGTTCCATTATAGAGCCCGCCCTGCTGAAAAAATACAGCCGTCTGCGCTGTGTCCGCTCTATAATGAGGAGGTGGGCAAAGACACAGGTAAAGTTTAGTCAGTCATTGTGATGAATGATTTGTGTTTCTATTATTTGTAATTTGTTGTAGCCATTGTAGCTCTCATCAAATACTTTAGCTTCGATTTTATTTTGCATTGATAAAAACAGTGATGCCTGCTCATGACGTGTGATATTTCTGTTTTAGGAGGCCAATATCGTAGAGCAGTTGAACGCAGGGGCTCGTTACTTTGACTTAAGGATCGCTCGCAAAGAAAATGATCCCGACCCCGACAGGCTGTACTTCTACCACGGGCTGCTCACACGCACAGATGTGGAGGTAACATCACACTTCCTATAAATAAAATAAAAACATGCTCATGGCAAAATGCACAAATCTACCACATTTTTCAGACTATAAGTGGCTTTTTTTCATGGTTTGGGTGTTTCCTGTGACTTACACTCTGGTGCGACTTATATATTAAAATGTTTGAGTGAAGTGGTGAGAGGTTCTAGTCTTGTGTGTGAGTATCTGCTGCTCCTGTTCCTCCTGTACCACTGTCACTTCACTCTACTGCACATGTCTCCTGCAGAAAGAGCCTCTGTCCTGTCTGTATCATGTCAGTCGATCGCACCATTACTTCTGCACCACTGAACAATTTAACATTTAAACTAACTTATAAAGACGACTGAGAAGACTGAAAACAAATGCCCCCAAAAAGAAAATCTGATTTTGCAGATTACAAGATGCAAGTAGCGTAATCTGCAGCTGAAAATGGTACTCGAGCTGCAGAAAGAAAGTTTGGAGTGAGTGAGAAACTTGTAACAATTGGAAGGAACTTTCCTGGAAGTCACTGGATGGATGGACAAAGCCTGGACTGTCTGTTTCTGGTCTCTGATTTTATAAAATAAAATTCTCCCAAAAAGTGCAACCTAAATGTTTTTGGTTTTTTTTATTCAAAAAGTGCGACTTATACCCTGGCACCATTTATAGTCTGAAAAATTACATTACATCTAAACCCCAAAGTCTCCAACCTGTAGGTCGGGAGCTTCCAGGAGCTCTCCACCCCCCTCCATGTAGCTCGCTAAGGGATTTCTGAATTACACATATTGTGCTGAATAACTCAAATTTGATTGATTAAATACCTATTTCTGTTCTAAATGTATAATTTTGATGCCTAATTTTGTGCACTGATAACTGTAGAATAGGTTATGTTTTATAAGCATATAACTGCACCTCATCTACAGCTTGCCATGGCACTTATATTTACATAAATTCTAGCAACCACTAAAATGAGTAGCTCTCTGGCATTTTGATTTTACAAAAAGTAGCTCACAGGAGGAAAAAGGCTGAAGACCCCTGATGTAAACATTGTATTTTGTTTGTAGAAACCTCTTTTTTCTGCAAGAAAGAGAAAAAACAAAACAAAACAAAATAACCTTCACTTGGCCTCTCCTTTCACCCCTGCCTCTCCACAATGAATCCTGTGTAAGCACCCGTGCACATACCTACAGTACTGCCTGCCCATACTTCTATATTAATAGTGGCATGGTGGATGAGTAGCAAACCTCTCCAGCTTGGTCCTGACCAAGCCTATGAGCTAGGCTTAGTCAATAGGGTTGGTCAGGCATCTAGAAACTGAAGAACAATAGAGTGTAAGCTAACCGCATACTTATAAAATCTGAATAATGCATAAGACAGGACTATTAAAGGTCCCATACAGTGCAGACTCTTGTGAACTTTTATAATCCAAAACTAGTAAAATCAAATATGACCAAGAATACCAATAAATAATAAAAAGGTAAAAACATAAATATAAAATAAAAGACACAGAGGAGCACAACAACTCATGCGGTGTTAAAGCCAGAGAGTAAAAGTGGGTCTTAAGACAAGAAAAAAATGGGTCTTATGACAAGACTTGAACCTCTCCACTGTGGGGGCTGTTGGGATGTGGGGGGCAGAGTGTTCCAGAGTTTGGGGGTCATAGAGAAGGCCCAGTCTCCCTGGTTTTAAGTCTTGTCTTAAAACCAGGGAGACTGGACTGGACTCTTGTCCAGCTGGAGCTGGAGCCGGCCCTCAGAAATCAGAGCGCGCACAAGTGTAAATTTGGATGAGATCCAATAACGTTACCTCATCAAAAACAAACCTGGAATTGTGTTTTGTTTCATTCACACATGTTTTAGTAACTCTTTATTATTAGTCTGTCTGCATCTCTAATTCTCAAAATGCTCTGTTCCACCTAGTGATGTCGCAAAGTGGTGGTTTTCAAGTCAACAACTATCTTTTACCTTTAGTCATGATTGGAAAGTAACAAATTACATTTACTCACGTTACTGTAATTGAGTAGATTTTATGAGTATTTATTTTATTTAATTAATTTTTTTTAATAGGTAATTTTCCTTTTATTCAAGTACATTTTGACCCAAGTATTACTTCATTACATTGGAACCCACCCTCATTACTGAGTAAAATCCATGAGGTTTGCTGTTCACAGCGGAGAGCATGGATTAACTCTACAAACTCTGAAAATCAACTCCTGCTCAAACTGAACACGAGCTTTACAGTCTGATGCTGTAGTGTCCAGTGGGCAGAATATTCTGGAGGACATGGCTCTTTTTCATTTCTTATATCAGCAGGCAGTGTGCAAGTGTGCACCATTTTTGTTTTGCATACTTTGATTTTGGTTATTTATTTAATTTTTTTATTGTATTGTTGTGAGTTGGACCATATAATTCAGAATGTTTAATTTGTTAAATTTGTTATGCAGTTAAAGTTCTAAGTTCTATAAAGTTCAATAACAAGAAGAAAGAGCGCAGTGTTAGTAAGAGTTAGTAAGTGTTAATAAGTTTTAGTAAGTGTTAGTAGGTGTTGTGTAATTTGTGCTGGATTAGATTTATGACTCATCCTTTTTATACATTATATAAATGAAAGTAACTATGTAACATTTTCTCATTTTAAATTAAGTACTTTTACTTTTTAGATTTTTACTTTTCCTTGAGTAGGAATTAAGCAAAGTAAAGATAATTTTAGTTAATTACAATTGTTTCTGTACTTTTTCCACCAGTCTTAGTTTTGAAGAGATTTACATTTCCAGGGCTGAAATCATCCAGATGAGTTTAGTGAAGGTGTGTGCTGCTTCCTGTATCACCACATGACATGACAAGGAAACAGAAACACAGAAACCGACTCAGTCTAAATATGCAGGGTTTGTGAGTTAAACATGTGTGAATGAAACAAAATACAACTCCAGGTCTGTTTGTGATGAGTAAACTACATTAGAACATAAAGATAAAAGATAAACTCTTTAAAATCAAGTATCATTGTACAATACTTTGAAAATGCTGCCAGCTACAATAACATGCACTGTTTTATCAGACTGCTCTCAGGACTATAAAGGAGTGGGCAGAGGAGCACCCCAGAGAAGTCCTCATCCTCTCTCTGTCCCACTTTAAAGGATTTGGCAGTAACTCAGGACACCTCCACAACCATCTCACCAACTTCATCAAGAACCTGTTCGGCTCCAAACTGGTCCCCAAACCTGTAAGCACGCCTTCTACACACATCAGACAATCAACTACTAGTATTTGTTTATATTATACTTACAAAGGCAATGTTCCAGATGAGAAATGAAGACATGCCAACGTTGCAGAGGTGCTGGGACCATAAGCAAAATGTGATTGTTTCTTATGACCACCGTGAAGCCACCAGTCAGCCCGTGTTCTGGTTCAAAATCAGGTACTTCTACGGGGACGGCATGGATACGAACAAAGTGGAGGAAATTCTCACAAGGGATCTCAAAGTTGCCTCTCAAGCTTGTAAGTAGTTCCAGTCTGAGCTCTTTTCCACTTTACAGGATAGATGAGCGTGGGTTCATTTTCTTTCACCACTTTTGGCTGCTTTGTGAAGTTGTAGTGTATTGTTTTGTATCGTACTTTTGTAGATTTATAGAGAATTGTCTTGTGGGAGCATGACTGTAAGCTTGTGGGTGGAGCATTGAACAGATCTTACAGCTAAACATAAGAAGGGTTCTAATAGGGTGAACAGGAGAGATCACTAGATGACTCAAACATGTATGCCTGACATCTAAAACCTGTTTTTGATGAGGCAACAATGTTATAACATAGTATAAATGACAAATGATGACTGAGGGAGTGCTTTATTATCATTGTGATACTGGAATATTTTATGTCACTCTAATTTGCATATAGTTTGAGCTCTGGCAAATCAAAGCCAGCGATGCAGTGCTGTTATGTGCGTTTGTAGGTTTGTAAAAGAGTGGAGACAACTGCAGATTGGGACAATTGAGACTTGTACATTATTAACTTCCATGATTTAGAATTATACACAAGTACAAGTACAGGTAGTACAGGTTTAAAAACAAATGATCATCCATAGAATTGTTCTACAGCCTACTGATATTGTGATGAACACTTCCAGCCCACATTCTGCTTTCTGTTTTGTGCAGATTTCTATGTGTGCGGTCTGAACCTGACTTTACCAGAGAACGCAGGAGCTCTCAAGTACATTCTGAGATGGAGAAGTCTGGCCTCTTCCATACGGCACAGTCTACCAAAGCTGCTGAGGTGGCTCCAAATACAAGCTGCCAGGACACCTGTCAATATAGTGGCTTCAGACTTAGTGACAGAGCCCAATGTGGTCGCGACCATTGTCAGTCTGAACAAAACCGCTGTGTGTTGAGAACTGTTTTAGAAAAAGCACTGAGACTGCAGAATATTGTACTAGGCTCTAGTCTAAATGTTAACATAAATTCATAAAACTTGGATTTTAAATTTCATAAACGTGACTTGGCTGTGTCCATAGGTATGAGGCAAACATGTCCTAATCCAATGTTTACTGATCACCATTGTGATGTGATGGATTCACAATCACAAAAACACTAGACATGGTGTCCAAGTTGTGTTAATTTGGTGTTTTGGTTCTCAATACAATTATCCAATCAGAAAGTAGAATGAGTGTCTCATTTGGGTTTCCATGTCAATGCTGAAATTCTTTCTCTGATCTGAGTCATTACTCCCTAACCCTAACTATCTGCAGTTTTACCACAGACTGCATTGTATATCAATGAACATGGCTAACCCACTAGCTGCTGCGCTCCAAAGTGACCATGGGAGCGCTTCAGGCTCCACTAACTCTGGTCCAGTTCACTTAACAATGAAAAATTCTCTGTTTTCTACACTTTTCTGTATTGTAACTTGTCTAATATATTAGACATGTTTATTTCTATGCATTTTATTTATACACATGCCTGGTATTTAGTGAGTACAGATGAATTTTGTCTTGCAAGATCATGTGGAATGAGATCTAGTCTCATTTTTATCAGAACTGAAAGTTGTGAAAGTGAGGTAAATGAGTAGGTATTGTCTAATGAAGGAGCATTTTCATTATGCTGCGGCATCAAAATTGGTACGTTGAACATCAAACAACTTGTGTGGCAACGCTCATAGGTACTCGCCAGAAAACTAGAGAATTAAACCATTTCATGTTCACGGTTTTTTTTTGTCCTACAGAATAAACACATGTTACCATAGTTGTCTCTAAACTTCACAAGAACCACTTCACCAATAGTACAGAATGTGCCCTTAGATGAGTTGTGTGGCCCTGAAAAGGGCCGTTGTGTGTCACCAGAAGAAGTAGAGTTTAACCTCCGAAGCCGTACAGAGTGCGGCCCTGTCTCTTCAGGGCGTACACCACGTCCATGGCGGTCACGGTCTTCCTCTTGGCGTGCTCGGTGTACGTGACGGCGTCACGGATCACGTTCTCCAGGAAAACCTTGAGCACACCGCGAGTTTCCTCGTAGATCAGACCGGAGATACGCTTGACACCGCCGCGACGAGCCAGACGGCGGATAGCGGGCTTGGTGATGCCCTGGATGTTATCACGGAGAACTTTACGGTGACGCTTGGCGCCTCCTTTCCCCAGACCTTTACCTCCCTTTCCTCTGCCAGACATGTTCACCTCTGAGTCAGTTGAACCAAAAGATGACTGGACTCTCCGAGCGCACAGTCTTTATTCACTGACAGAGGACGTGACAGAGAACACAGGCTCTCTGGCGCCATCATCTGGACAGTATGTGCACTGAAAAAGGATAAATTCAAATAAAATTAAGTCAACTCACATTTTCCCGCTATTTTTCCTCATTTATATTCAGCAAATGTGAATAATACTATTTTAATGTAAACGCTTGCTCTTTGGTGAGATAAGAGTGTCTGTGCTGTTCTAGACTCTTCTCTTTGTGTTCACACGCTGCCTGTTGTTTTTGTGGTACTGAATGAATGCTGCAACATTGTGTTTTGTGGCACAAATGGACCGATGCTTTTATGGAGAACACTAAGTGTGATTTTTTTTAATATTTATATTCTATATCCTGTCGCTGTGCTTTGTTTGATTTGATTCAGTTATTAGTGGTGTTCCACGGGTTATCGTCTTAATTCCGTCACCACACATGTTTCTGTTCCTTGTTTAGTGTTAATTTCCTCTCCACACACTCTTCAGTACAATAAAGGTTTAGTCTGACGTGCACGGTGAAAAAAGCGGTTTTAATGACAGTGAGGAGTCTGGAAAGAGCCGTTGTTAGTTCACTTTGTGAGCGGGGACTCTACTTCTTGAGGGCCGCTGCCATCTTGGCTTTGGGCTTAGTTTGTATGTTACTGTGAGAACGATGTGAACTCAGTTTTATGAGAACATGTAAAGAACAAACGAACAACGAAGTCCGATTATTATCCACGGGAAAATTGAAAACACTAGGGTGATTTTAAGGAATACACTGCAATGTCTTCAAGATATTAACAAGTTTGTTCTTTTCTGAGAGTGCGTGGCTCTTAAAAGAGCCGTTGTTGTGAGTCGAGTCTCGGGGCGTCTTTACTTGGCCTTCTCGGTCTTCTTGGGCAGCAGCACAGCCTGGATGTTGGGCAGCACGCCTCCCTGAGCGATGGTCACTCCTCCCAGCAGTTTGTTGAGCTCCTCGTCGTTGCGGACGGCCAGCTGCAGGTGGCGGGGGATGATGCGGGTCTTCTTGTTGTCACGAGCCGCGTTTCCCGCCAGCTCCAGGATCTCAGCGGTCAGATACTCGAGCACGGCCGCCAGGTACACGGGAGCTCCGGCGCCGACGCGCTCCGCGTAGTTGCCTTTACGGAGCAGCCTGTGCACACGGCCCACTGGGAACTGCAGCCCGGCCCTGGAGGAGCGGGACTTGGCCTTAGCGCGGGCCTTTCCTCCGGTTTTGCCTCTTCCGCTCATGATTAGACTTTAACTCAGTGAAGTGGTGAGAGAATGAATGTCCTCAGACGGAGCGCAGCGTATTTATGTGCGAGAGCGCGTGCGTTTCAGCGCCGCACCAATGAGCGGCCGCGCTCAGACAAGAGGAGGAGCTCTGACTTGAACAGAATTCTCCACGGAGGAGCATCAGTTATTATTGCTGTTATTATTTGGCCTGTACAGGATAGAATAATTTAGGCTGTCACGATTAATATATTAATAGTGATAATTCAAAACTATCACAGCCTTATTTTGATCATTATAATCATTATTTGGACTGTACAGGACTCAACTTCAGTCAATTTACATTCGGTTAAAATGTTTTGAAAATTAAGTTTACAATTAAATTGTTAGACTATTCAAATAGGTGACTAAATAATCACAAGAATATTAAAATTTAAATATAATGAAAGGGGCTTGTCATTTGTCATACTCCATAGGCCCACACAAGAGTCTAATGAATCTAGTGTCTACGCGACGACACGATGCCAATGATGGTGTCCATCTTAATGGTCATCAATATGGAGATCATTAAAACTACAACCCCCGAAAAAGTAGCTTTTTGTGGAAATGTTACATAGCAAGACTTTAGATGGATGTCCGAGTGTATCCGTTAAGTTGCACACATGTCCAGACTCACAGCAACATAAGTGAAATATAACATGAGTACAGACACAGTATTGAAGCTCTTTAGTGGAGTGTGTGGCTCTTAAAAGAGCCGTTGTGTGTGTATATTGTGGTGGAGCAGTTTACTTGGAGCTGGTGTACTTGGTGACGGCCTTGGTGCCCTCGGACACGGCGTGCTTGGCCAGCTCTCCGGGCAGCAGGAGACGCACGGCGGTCTGGATCTCCCTGGAGGTGATGGTGGAGCGCTTGTTGTAGTGCGCCAGGCGGGAGGCCTCTCCGCCGATGCGCTCAAAGATGTCGTTGACGAAAGAGTTCATGATGCTCATGGCCTTGGAGGAGATGCCGGTGTCGGGGTGGACCTGCTTGAGCACCTTGTACACGTAGATGGCGTAGCTCTCCTTCCTGGTCTTTCTCTTCTTCTTGCCGCCTTTCCCGGCGGTCTTGGTCACGGCTTTCTTGGAGCCCTTCTTGGGCGCAGCCTTGGCGGGTTCAGGCATGTTTCTGATCGGAATCAGGACACTGAGGAGACGGGAGCGCGGCCGCTGCTTTTATCTGGGCCTCGCTGCGCTCTGATTGGTGGAGCGTGTAGCCGCGCTGTACTTGCTGGGGGTTTTGGGAGGAGGGTGGGTTCTTTCTCATGTTTCTTAAAGTTGTTTCTTACAAAAGATCTCCTGTCTTCTTCACGTCTTCTTCAAGATGCTCGGAGGCCTTGGAGGAGATGTAGGAAGTGTTCACAGTGCAGGCGTGCCCTCGGTGCTCTCATTTTATTTATTTTTTATTTTTTAATGGTCGTTTTCTTTTTTTAAAATCATGCAACATCCGTTACTTTATTATTCTTTAAGCCACAATGTGTGCTGTGGATTTATATGCTTTTCCAGTATTCTTAAATCTGTGAAAAAAGTTTTATTTGCAGAACTACAGTCTTGAGCGTGTAATGCTTTTAGTGGCCACTTGATGGCAGCATAAACTCTGGTGTTGCGTCCTGAGGCCGGAGGTCTACCCCGGATGCCTACTCCTGGGGCCTACATAAGACCTTATCATATTATTGAACACGTGTTTACACTGTTATTCATATGATTTCACTTATTTACATGTGATGAAATCCATTTGATTAACTATAGGGCAGTTTAAACCAGGATTTCTAGATGAATGTGTTCTTGTCACATGGTTGTCCAGGTTGTCTGCAGGGGTGCACCAGAGTGCAAGAGTGTTAAACAATCTCATTTCAGGTGCCTAAAATAATATCACTTCAAGGAAGCGTGTTATGTTTGCAGGTTATAAACTCAAATGCTCCCTCAGTCAGTGTGTTCTGGACCTGGGCCTGCACAGCGCAGCTGAGAAGTGAAAACCATTTAGGAGACTTCGCCATGAAGCTCACTGAGAGAAAGCCAAGGGTTTGCACTGACGACTACTCTGAGGATTTTAAATATAAGATATATTTAAAAAAAGAAGAAGTTAATCCCATATTTCTTGATTCATATAGTTGCTGTCTTCCATATAAAATGCATGAAGTAGTAAATATAAAAGCTGAAGAGAAGGTGTGTCCAAACTTTTGACAGGTAGTGTACTGTGTAGTGCAGGGGTGTCCAAACTTTTTTCATCAGGGGTCACATATGTAAACACAGATGAAGCAGAGGGCTGATCAAGGCCGTAGACTGGTGCACAGTACGGTGAATAATTGAAATATGTGCATGTTTAACACGAATAGCATGAATAAAGACTGATGGCTCATGCTAAGATCCTTAAAACCACACACTAAATATTAAATATTCACTTTATCAAGGTAGATTTTCCAAAAACTTGCAGTAAGAAGTACATTTTTAAATGATGTAAGGTAATTTGGGCCAATTCACCTGGAAGCCTGAGGGCCAAGAAAAATTTGTCTGAGGGCCACATGTGACCCACGGGCCGTAGTTTGGACATGCCTGGTGTAGTGTATATGTTTAGTAATCACGACCACACACATACACACACACACACACACACACACATCTCATATGTAAAAACACACATTTATTAACAGTCATAAGTGTTATACAGAAATGGGTCGTCTCTTCCAGCTGCCTGTCCTCTCTCTCCTCTCTCCTCTCTCCACTAGCATCAGTGCTGAGTGTGTGGAGCTTTGGGTCTCCGTTCTCCTCGAGCCACCAGCAGCCTCACCCTGTTACCCGACGACTGGATCAGCTCCTTTCCACTGAAAAACAAAAGAACCCATCAGAGAAGTCATAAATGGAGGACAAAAACAAAGACATTCAAGAAGCACAATGTTGTTTTTGTGGTGGGGAGTCAACCATGTAGGTATCATTTTTATGGATGGAGTTTATCTGTTTAGTTCTACTCAAAATGCCACTTAAGGAAGCTCATGAAAATACATGGATTTAAAACCTTCATGACTACAAGTAAATATTAGAGAGAAAAAAAACATGAAAAAGCAGCTACAAACTGTTAAGGAGAGTGAGTGGGAGCCCTGGTGTTTCTTACTGACCCCTGGTAGTCCACTCCCAGCAGACTGACTCCATTGACAGCCAGGATCCTGTCTCCGGGGGCCAGTCTCTCAGTGCGAGCGGCCGGGGACTCTGGGAGCACTGCGCTGATGAAGAGGCCCTTCATCTTCACCGCTGTGTTCTACAGTGTACACAGGACACTTCAGTGAATACATGAGAAGACTGGGACCCCTTATCAGTCAGAATATATATACAAGACCACACATCGCTTTCAAATACAAACAGTGAATACAACTACATTTACCAGAAGATTTATTTCTGATAGGATTTATTGTACTGCTCTAATAATAATGCATCAGTTTTATATAGCACTTTACAGAGCATTATTCATTCACTCCACACTTGGTATTGGTAAACTACTATTTGTCAGTCTGCTCCAGTTCTCCTCCATCCACCATCACTCATGTACACACCACTTTCATACTAGGCAATGTGGGTGAAGAGCCTTGCCTAAAGACACAACAACAGTTTTTGTGACTGGTGCCGCCCTGTGGCACCTGATTTTCCCAGTGGTCTCCCATCCAAGTACTGGCCCAGCCCTGCTGAGCTTCTGAGATCTGACGGGATCAGACTTTGACAAGCTGGTATGACCACGGCATGTTCAGGATTGTTTATTATTGATCAAATTTAAGTAATGATCAATGTTAGAAATGTTAAATGTTAGAATATTTGAAATTGTTCTTTCTGGCATACTTTAAATACATACATAAATCCAACATTTATAAATTCAACAGGCACATTAGTAAGGTGTACTGGACGCAAACTAAGTATTACTAAGTAAATAAAGAGTTATTTAATGTAAATCATGGCAATATATTTTAACATAAACATACAGTAGAGCAAATGGAAAACAATTGTTTTTTAACATTTGTGTTTTTAATATTCTTAGACACTAATGAGTGGTGTTTGGTTTAACCTACAGCATGAAACCGTATGAGTAATATATCGTTCAGTGTAATCGTACTCTTTCTGGGGTGGTACATCACTTGCATGATTCCACAGAAACAGAAAGTTCTCTATCTTTCTCCATGGAGGTAGATGTGACAATTTGCCATAGAAAACCAATAAACCAGAAGTTCCACAACCCTACAGGGCAGGACATTCAGCCATGTGAAAAAGGTTTATATTAGAGCCAAAGGAACAACATTTCCATGGAAACAAGCATGAGGAGGGTCTCCCTCTCCCGCCAAGTGAGAGTCAGGTCTGTGGAGATGCAAACCGGTTCATTTTAAGAACACAAGGTTTGATTTGTTTTTTAGGGCAGTTAACAACCAAAATTATGATGTTGTATTTGAGTCTTTTTTTGTTTTGTTTATTTTTTTGTTTTTTTGCTAAAACTTACATATTGTGGCTTTAAGTATGCATCATGTACACTGGTGTAGTGGGGATTTATTAAGTGGGGGTATGCGATTCATGACGTCATCGCCCTGCCGAAATACACATAGGTGTCATATAGATTGTTTGTTTATTTAAAAAATAAAAAAAAAACAGTAAAAGCATAACACACACACATATACAGGAGAAGTGGGCAGATAGCGTAATCTCTGCGTACCACACCCACTACACCCCTAGTTATGTATTTACAATTAAAACATGCTGTAGCTGAATGCATTAGTGTGAAAATAGTAAAATGAAAGTTAGTAAAAGAGCTGTTGGGTAAGCAGCTCAAAGGCAGAGCAGCTTGTGGCAGTGTTGTGGAGATGACAGTTTAAATGAGGATTAAACATGATGGTTAGAGTCTAAGTGATAACATGATCACACATGTGCCCCTCACCCACGTGTCGACCAGAGCCAGACCGATGCCCCTCTCTCCTCGCTGCAGGTCCAGGCTGAACACTTCCTGGTTGTTGTTCTCATGGTCCTCTTCCTCCTTCTGCTCCACCACAGTCTTCATACAGGAGCCTTCAGACCTGAGCTCAGCCCGGCCCTCACACACCAACACACCTACAAGAAGAAAGGTTTTTAAGAAGTGCATTCACACTGCAAAACACACAGAGAAACTGTGTGTTCACGCATATTTTTCACATGCATGTATGAGAGGTTTACATGTTTTTCTAATTATGACAAGATGGGTTCACACTTAGCAGTATTAGGTCCTAAATTAAGGCCATTTTAGTCCTGGTTTAGTCCTGATCTACTTTTTTAGTTTAGAGAATGCAGCTATATATATATATATATATATATATATATATATATATATATATATGCACACACACACACAGCTGCATTAAATATGGATAGCAAAAAAGCACCATACAATAACTATATGCTGCCCTCTGCTGGCCATGCGACCTGTTAGAGACTATGTCAGACCTGGGCATTGTGCAGCTCCCGGGCCACATTCGGCCCTTTGGCTGACTCTGACTGGCCCGTTAAGATAATTTGGAATTACAAAATAAACATATTTTATGTTTTACCTAAGGCTTGGACTAAAGCTGCATTGCTTTTATTTTAGAGGTGTTTTTTTTTTTTTTTTTTTTTTTAATGACACCCACTGGAAGGAGACCCTGGGGAAGACTCGGGACATGCTGGAGGGACTATGTCTCTGGACTGGCCTGGGAACACCTGGGGATACTCCCGAAGGAGCTGGAGGAAGTGTCCGGTGTGAAGGAAGACTGGGAGTCTCTGCTTAGACTGCTGCCCCAGCAACCTGGCCCCGGATAAGTGGAAGAAAATGGATGGATTTTTTATGAGATTTCTTGTAATGCAGCCTCACTTTTTCATTGCTTAGTCATAACATAAACTCTCACCAGTTTGACCAGCTCATCAAAACAATGCTATTTACTGCTCTTTATAAAGAAATGCAATTAATATTATACAAAACTGAGTAAAGCATTTTGGCCCAGCCTTCCACAGTATTTTCTGTTCTCATGTGGCCCCATAGAAAAAAAAAAAAAGCCCACCCCTGAGCTAGAGCACAGATCTGAAGCTGAACCCAAGATGGCATCGTGATGTTTTTAGTGGTCTGTGCTCTAGTAAGGGCGCAAAAAAATGTTCTCTTCCACATTTACTTCCTCAGTACAGGCAAGTACCTCCCACTCATATGACGTCTGTGACATGCACGGCATGGAGCGTTTGGACCAATCAGTTGCGAGAGCTGCTAGAGATAGACGTGTTGAGGATTTAACTTTTTTATTGTGAAAATAGAAAAGAATCCCTACAAAAAGTTGTCGATGCCCTCTCAGAACTCAGACAGTTTGAATTCCCAAAATGCATTGGGCTCTATGGGAAAATTCTTTCTAGACCCAAGCTCCGGGGAGCTGCAGTACCTGGAGCGGCCGGGGCCGGGGAGGGGCTTATCCAGTTTTTATTATAGATCTATGGACTAGAACCATTTCCATACAAATTACCTTCTTTGAGTATGTCTCCATTAGACATCCACAGATTGGCCTCATTGTTCTTCAGCTGCTGTGATTGGTCGATGGGGTGATCGTGACCATTGTCGTGCGGCTGGGGGCTTCTGGGAGGGGTGAGTGGACAGGGGGAGGAGCCTACAGCAGAGCATGTCATGGCGTCTCCATCTTCTTCCTGTCCCTGATTTTGAAGCTCCAGATGTTGTAGTTTTTGTGCCAGCCGCAGCGTGCCGTCGTCAGTTTGGAGGTGGGATTTTGGAGGAGCCTAATAAAAGACAAACGATATTCAAATGTGCACAAAAGCAGGACTGGACATTTGAAGTGTCTTATGGATTTACACAGTGCAAATCATCACTAGAGGTAAAGGAACTGTATGTAAGATTTCGATTTGAAATTCCATAAACATGAGTGAACTGTGTCCCCAGATTAGGTCATCAAAAGTATCAAAAATCAGATACTAACAAGTGTTTTTTTTTTTGTTTTTTTTTAGCATTGTGGTATTGGAATCGGTATTGAGTATCAAGTTCAAATTAGTATCAAATAAAGTTTTTAATTTCAGCATCTCAACACATCTACTCAGTACGTTGAAAATGCATGACCCGATGAATCCTACATTTCCACATTTGTACACATCCCCCAGTTTGAGAAGCTCTGTGATATTTCTCTGCTCCACACAGTTCAGTCTGACAGCTGCAGTGACAGATAAACATTAGTGTGGAAACGCTGAGTCTGGCTGTGTGAGCGAAGACTGTGTTGTTTCAGGTTTGTTTTTATGAGGCTCAAATAAAAATGTGTTGTGAGGTTATGATGTTTTTCCCACAGACCTGTGCCATAGACCCAGCCGCGATCACACACAGACCTACACAAGTGTCAAAGCACAATCCCCAAGCAACTGGGAAAGGAAAATATTTTGCTGTTAGATTTGGTATGTGTTTTTAATCAAGATGTGGTTCAAAGTGCAGATTTAAACTTGTCCAGGAGTTTGAAAGGAACTGTATGTAGCCTGCACTCTTACACTCGTACACTATATACTCAACTTGACATGCCGAATACACATGTGCTCTTATACATGTTCTGATCCAGCTCAGGATCATTCTAAAGACATTCAGGTATCAGGTATGCCTTTTTAGTATTGATACTTGTTCAAATGAGCATCTAGCTTCGTTACTACTTAGTCTTCAGTTCACTGGTCATTTTTAGGGGTGTAATGGTACAAAAATCATACTTTGGTACGTACCTCGGTTTTGAGGTCACGGTTCGGTTAATTTTCGGTTCAGTTTGGGAACAAGATGCAAAACCATTCGCTTGTTGTTTATTTGTGTGTTTATTAAACCAACTATTTGTTTTAACATTATACAAACAGGAAAATAAAATAAATGTAAAGTCCTGCTTAGTAAAACTAATACGTTAAATTAAATATTCTCAAATAAACAACAAATGTATGAAATATTATAAAAAATAAAATCCTTGTAAACAGTAAACAAAACTTTTCAAAAAGTAAAGTGCAACACTTAACAGTTCCAGCATGAACTTTTACTCAATCTTCAGATTTTGGTCAGAAAAAACAGTAAGCAGTAAATGCAGACCTGCTGCAGTTACAGTGTCAGTGGGGGGGCGGAGATTCCGTGCCCGCGAAAGGTGAAAGTGACAACCGGGGTGTGACGATCGTAGTTTTGCGAGGCTTCACGGAGGGACGTGGTCAAGACGAAATTGCCACCCTAACTATAAAGTGCTGCAGGAAACACTGCCACCCCAGTCACGGACAAGTTCCTCGTGAATATTAAAGAGCAGAGCCTCCGTGTAGCTGCACATGTAGTGGCAGAATGTAAACACATACAAATTGCACAGACTCACTTGTGCACAGCCCTGCACCAAACTGAACATCTCATACCGAAACGGTTCAGTATGAATACATGTACCGTTACACTACTGCTGATTACTGTACCCAATTTCTCCTATTTATTGAGCTAAGCAGCTGTTGAGGTCAAACTGTGTCTGTTTTTATAGTAAAGGTAAAACTTTACACTGGCCTCTGAAAGTTGTGGAAAACCCTTAAAAACTCAACACGGTGTACAATTAAAATACTCTGAATGCATAAGGGAAGTGAGGAATAACTGGACCACTGCAAACTGTTTAAATGGACTAGTTTTAAACAGTAAAGATGAGAGTGTGTGTACCTGCTCCTCTGTGCTCTCACACGTGTTATAGATGAAGAGGCTGAGCTCCTCCAGCTGCTCCCACAGTCCACACTCTGTCACGGGGCTCTCCAAGAGGAACTGGTACCCCCCGTCAGGCAGCACCAAAGGGTGCTGGGTGTCAAAACTCTCCAATATGTCTCCTGACAAGAAACACATATGTATTTATTAATAATAAAATGTAAAATGGTGTGTGATGAATTCCAGTGTAACAGTGTAAGTTATGACTTTGATCTTTGTTTGAAAATGAAAATCTGATTTCTCCACAGAACCTGTCAGACAGTCCTTGTCCCAGTCTACAGTAGGTCAGAAAACATTCAGGGGCACATACTAATTCAGTAATATTTGAACTCTGTAGCTGTAAAAGCTGAAAAAAAGATGCTAACATGGAATTATAAGCCTCTCGGATCAAGAGAACTCAAACATGTTGTATAATGTATATTGTATTTTCTTGGCTGTTTCTTGGCAAGGGCTTTATGCCTCTCCTACAGCTGTGTGTCTACATTTACATGATGCCTGTTCAAATCACAGTTATCTGATTTGAACAGGCATCATTGAACAGGCATCTGATTTTTCAGCTTGGTTAGAAATACATTTAAAGGAGAATAACATAACTTTTTTTGGTGGAGGATTGCTCAGGATAATACTACTGAAGCAAATGACAGGTTAGGAGTCTATTTTATAAAGAGTGCATATGTACAAAAATGTTACATATGTGACTCTTGATGTTTGAAGAAGTTTGAGAAAAAGACTACTTTGCGAGGAAATGTGCATCATGATCCAAAAACTAAACTCTCTTGAGATGTGGCAAAAGGCAATCTGTGCTCAGACGGACAAGTAAGTCTGTATTTACAGACTTTAGTACAAACACGTTTGAATTTATAAATGAGACCCAGATATGTATGAAGAAAGCATGTTTTTCAAGCTATAACTGAACAGATTCAACATGTCAAGTTTGATCTCATAATATCAAAGACTCCAGGAAAATCAATAACATCTCTATGGAGACATGCGGTGAACCCCCCACTTAAAAAGTGACATAGTGCGCCCTCGAACGTCCATGTGAAGTCTCTGCATTATTCCTTCACATTTCACATGTGCATTTTCAGATGTGAAACACAGAATGCTAAAGACAGCAGAGGTACTGTTGTGAGTGTTGTTTCTCTCTTACTCGTGTTCAGAGCTGCATCCTGGTCCAGGGCTGATGGGCTCCACATGCTGTGGGGGTGAGACAGGGGGCGGTAGAGGCTGAGCAGGTGGTGTAGTTGTGCAGGAAGTAGAGAGGGATAGAGCGAGCGGGACCCCCAACAGGTCTGCAAAACAACACACATATCATACCATGGATTACCAAAACGGGCTGAACAACAGGGCAAAAAATGACAATAAATTACTTTTTTTCCCTCAAATTTATCAGTCTAAATTTTTGGTTTGATTATTTTGTTTGTTTGTTTGTGTGTGTGTTGCTTTTCTCTCTTTTTTTAAAGCAGACCTATTCTGTAAAATGGACTTTTCTGAGCCTTTAACCATGTTATAGTTGTTTCCACATTTACTCATCAAAAGTTGTACTTAATTTGTGCACGTTTGAACAATCTTTAATGCCTATTTTTTCAACTCGCTTTATTGCAGATCAACCTGTTTTCATGGTCCTTGGTGAACCACTTCCAATTTTATTCTCCAGTTTTATTTCCTTAATCAGTGGATCAAGTGAATCAGAGCATGTACAAATCAGCAGTGTCACTAAGAAATTTTGGTTAAAAAAAACAAAAACAAAAAACATGGTCTACTATTGTGATGTGCGCTATCTGGCACTGGAGGTGCTGACTGTTTGTGATGATGTTTACGGCGATGTCAGCTCCCATTGGGCACCACAGTTTTCTAACACGGAAGTCAGCGGGTTTGCTTCTTGTATTAAGTCGTTTTAGATGAATATTGTGATTTGAAATTATAAGATAATGTTAAGATAATGATCATAGATTAGAACTATACAACAGATACAAGCAAACTATGTGTTCTTTACTAGTAGTTTCAACAATATGCTTGTAAGTGTATATAATACGTGTCTGTGTGTAATCTAACCTTGAGTAGGGTCTTGCGGGGGGTCGCCAGGAGGTTAAGGGCCCCGGACAGCTTTAGCGTCTGCTCTAGGGCCACTTCTCCCAGGGCCCTCTCATGAGCCCAGTCTAAGATCATGTCCAGACTGGCCCTTAGGTGGACCCCACGGGACCACTGGTAGAAGCCCTCCTCTGAACCTGCACGAAGACACAGATGAGATAAATGAAAGAATTTAAGAAAGAAATTAGAAAGAATTTACAGTATTTACTCTTAGGGGTTTTTTTTTGGTTTTTTTTGGACAAGCAATTGTGAGTAGATTTACAATTGATGTTTTAATAATGGGGTTCTGTTTCAAGTTTACATCCAGAAGAACTGACAAAAAGACTGAAATCTGAACAGACACACAGCTTTTATGTTTGTGAAGCAAATTCTGGTACTTCAAAAACTGCTCCCTTAGAAAGATTTGCTAATTGTGTTCATTCCAATTGTGATTTCAATTTGATTTACCAAGATTTTTAGGTCACAGTATGACTGTACAGGCTAGGACCATTTTAGAGGAAAAATTAAGTCACTTCTATGTAATCTACACCAAAAGAAGTTTCCAAAAAATTCATGCTTCAGTTTTGTCTCCATGGAGATGCTGTTGCTTTGCCTAGAATGGTCCACAGTATGGTATTATAGTTTTATTGTTAAAAATCTGTTGAAAAACATCTGACCTTATTGTGGAACATTACAAGCAAATAGATAACAGAGTCTCCAAATACATTTCAAGAGTGTCCCTCCAGAAATCTAATGGGAAAACTGCAGTTCCCTCTATCACCAGCAGAGAGCAATATTGTCACAAAAGTAACAGCCATGAGCTTTCATTCTTCATCTTTTAGAAATAACATTATATTCAATACTGAGACAATTCTTGAATCATGTAAACCAGTGTTTCCCAAACCTTTTTTTTGGTGACCCATAATTTAAAAGTCACAAACCTGCACGACCCAAGTCAGTAGACATTATTCATAACTCACAAAATAAAGGTAGATTTGAGCATTATTGAACATTAATGAGGATATTTTATTGTTGACTGAGTGATTGTGTATTACTCAAGTTTTAAACAATGAATCCCTGAAGCAGCAATAAAGGGATCCATAAGTCACCTGTTTGGACATTAAATGTAGGACATTTCTTTTTCTTTTCAACATTCAATTGAAGCAGCAATATTGGAACAAAATAGTCAATAAAGTAATGACAAAAAGATTAGAAATGATACAAAACCTGTCTTAACATTTGGACATTTCTAGTGAGATAGGTGGACCTGTGTGTGTTTTTGTAGTGTGTTCAGTCCGGGTGCAGAAGGAGACGCAGCAGCAGATCAGGAGCAGCTTTCATTCTGTTTCTGTGCTTTGTCTTCATTTTTGTGAGCACAGAAAATCTCATGTGTATATTGCAGATCTACATGCAGATCATGACAAGGTGACCCAAAAAAAAATCTCTTGCGACCCACCTCAGGGTCATGACCCAGTCTTTGGGAAACAATGCTTTAAGTTACTCTTACATGAGTAGCAGTTTTCCCAAATATTTCTGTTACTCTTGCTTGAGTAATCTCTAGGACCACTACTACTACTTCTTGAATATTCATTATTTTGAAGTAACTTTCGCCTTACTTCAGTGTAATTGTTGGCTATTCTACCCACGTCTGGCTAAACCGCACGTTTGTATGTCTGGGTTAGTTGCCTGGCCAGCCGACACTACACACTTGTTCTCAATTTTACACAGATATTTGTTTGGGCTGAAACTGAATCATGTCTCCTCAACGGATTAACCAATCGGAGAGACGCATCTGTTCTTGTTACAACAAACATGGTGGCTTACGAATAAAAAGAGAGAAACAAAAGTGAGAACAGCACAAATTTGCTGTTTAACAGTCAGATTACAGATGTGTTGACCTGGTTTATGGTTTATATCTCTGTAGTTACTGGGACTATCCACATGAAACAAAGTTCAACATCTTCTCTGTTAGCACAAATAACAGATGTGGAATATTTTGTTCACAAGAGCTTCAGACAGTGGTACTATTATTAAACACCAAAGACGTGATTGTTGTCAGTTGAAATGACTTTGAGCCATAAGGTTAATGCTAAGCTTGTGGAGCCAATTCAAACAAATATTGATAAAGTTCATCGTTTGTGGATCAGAAGTTTGGAGATTTCTGCCAGAAACACTAAATCTCCCATAGAGTGTGAAATTATAACTTCATCAAATTCTAAAACTTGAACACAACTTTCTGGAACCGTCCCTACCTCTCTCCATGAGCGAGTTGAAGAGTGAGGCGTTGATGAAGTAGAAGAGATACCCAACGAGCTGGGCTGACATCTCCGGGTGAAGTTGGCAGGTCTGGAGCAGTGTCCACGTTTGGTTGAGGACCTCCACCACCTTCTGGATCTCCTCAGGGGCATGGAGAGCAGGAGTACCCAGGACCGGAGAGCCGTCTATGGTGTCAGGAGTGTCCGGACTCCCCCTGAACGGGTTACAGTCCAGGACAGCTGGTAGGAGAGGGTACAATACCTGCAGAGAGAGTGGTAGTAAATTATATACTGAATATACTCATCATTTTGATATAAACATGTTTGTATTAATCTGTTCTACATGATCCCTGTGTTTTTATTTTGTTTGTTGCTTCATTTGAGTGGAACTGAATGCTGTGGGTGATGTCACATTGACTTAGTCCACCTTTGTATACAGTCCATGTCAGGGGTGGGCAATTCTTTTTTCCATGGGGCCACATGAGAAACAGAAAATATTGTGGAGGGTCAAAATATTTAACTCAGTTCTGCATAATGTGAATTGTATTTCTTTATAAAAAGCTGTAAATACCATTGTTTTGATGAGCTGGTCAGACTGTTGAGTTTATGTTATGACTAAGCAATGAAAAAGTGAGATTGTCCTACAAAAAATGTCATTAAAAAAACCAAAAAAAAACAACACCTCTAAAATAAAAGCAATGCAGCTTTAGTCCATAAAAAATAAAGGTAAGATGGTAAAATATGTTTATTTTGTAATTACAAATGAGCTTAAACAGGCTGGACAGAGTCAACCAAAGGGACATATGTGGTCCTGGAACTGCACAATGCCCAGTTCCGGTTTATGTGGTAAGTAGGGCAACACGATGTGCCAATAAAATTATATGTCATTAATATTTTTCTCACATAGATTGACCACAATTTTCTATTTAATTTTATTTGTTGAAAATCAAATACAAATGTCTTTCAATATTAATTTTCCAAAGCCATAAGATGCGGGTTAGTCCTATGTTCATTCAGCCCTATGTTCCTTTATTTCTAAGATTTTTCTCAAAATGAAACTCTAAGTCAGGTCATTTGTTGGAAATGTGGGAACATAGGGCCTAATTTTGGGGGGAAAAAAAGAGAGAGAAAGGGAAGAGAGGGCTGAGGGAACATAGGCACGCTCCCCAAAATGCAGACTTTTAACATGTGTCACCTACATATTACTATTTTAACTGAAAATATACGACCAAATCATCAAATCTATATCATGTTTAAAGCTGCACAATATATCAAAATGAATGGAATGTACGGTATCCTTGTCAGTCCATTTTCCAATCTTCTGTCAAATGTTGAAAAGCTCCAGGGGTTTACAACATGCACTCTGAACAGAATCCTACTAATACTTCCTACGCAAATCTAAACCCAGTCCCAGTTTTATTCCATGGACATCGTGTCACAGAGGTACTTCGAAATAACTGTACAGTAATGTGAAGTAGCTCAGAATACAGTAATACTCTGGGAATGCGCTGCTCCTCCCAAGACTGAAAAGACAATTCCTGTGGGCCCTTTGAGGTCGGAAAACTTTACAGCCCAAACTTATTGATTTCTGAGGTAAAACAAATCATTTAACCAGCAGCTCAAATGTCAGACCACCCAGACCTCAGCCCACACCCTCCACTCACTGTTCACTCTGCAACGCACGGGCAAGAGCAAGCACGCAATTACGACGGAGTAGACTTGGGTTCATTCTACTTCTTAACATACTTGTACTTGTAATTGAGGATAATTTTAGTCATTTATTGAAATTTGTTTGTGTTAAAATCATAACTATAACGGTAAGAACCAGAGTAGCAGTACCAACACAAAACCGTCTCACCCAGGTCAGCTTTTCCGGTGAGGGGTTCATAACCATGCCATCGCTCTGCCTGGAATGTTCCACAGTGTGACATTAAAGGGCTCTGCTTTACATTTATTCAATTACAGATGGTTTTAGAGCCAAAAAACAGGCATTCTGACTGTGAGCGGGGTCGCCTCTCCACACATCTGACCTGTACCTTAGTGTGGCTTGGTCTCCGTGAAGATAGAAAGGTTAAAATACTATCCACCTTATTCTGCCACGCCCACTTTTGTCTCTAAATGCTCCTAAACTGCGCTTTTTTGTGCGGTACTTCTGGTGAAACGGGGATTTCATTCATTTCAATGGAGAATTTTGGAAACATTTTACATACATTAAACACCAGATCTTTGGCATTTTTTGTTCTAATAACATAAAAATTGGCACTGCACACATCCGTCCCATTAGGATGACACCCTCCGAATTTAAGATCGGTCAGATGAGCAGTTCAAGAGTTATGCTTGGAACAGACAAACACAAACAAACAGACACACAGAGAGATGTTTCTTGCATTAATAGATATAAAGTCAGTTCAAATGTTCATGTGCACCAACAGGTCACACAGCACTGGTTCTCTTAAGGGCTTTAAAATTTCTTTATAGTCAAGTTTAGAGTTTTACAGTCAAGTTTTGTGTAAAAGACTGATCTAAAATGCTGCTAATATTGTGTAAAAAAGTTTCAAGTAACATAAACTTCAAGTAGTAGCCTATTTTTTTCATGCATGCATACTGGCCTGGAATGTTTCACAGTGTAGTGTTGTAGTCCAGACCGCACTAATCGAGACCAAGACCTGTCTGAGACCACAGGGTCCTGAGACCGAGACAAGACCAAGACTGTTAAAGGTCAAGACAAGACCAAGACCACGGCCTATCGAGACCAAATCGAGACCATCTTTGTCATTTTCTACGTACATTCATTTGTATTTTACAGTTATTTTGACACACTCTGTGCTCCTTTTTTGAACCCTCACCCACAGTTTAACAACACCATATTTAACTAATATAACTTTACAGAAAACTGTGAAGAAAGCGAAAAAAATGAGTAGTTAGACCTCGAGTCTGTGACATAACCAAATCCAAGTTCCTTCAAGACCGAGACAAGACCGAGTCCAAATGTGGTCGAGTCCGAGACGAGACCAAGACCATAAAAAAAAAAAAAAACTGTCTCAAGGCACAGTTAGTAGCACTAACTTACTGTATATATAATGACTGTATTTGTATTGCTCAAAAATACACAGTAAAATATGCATTCTTCCTCTGACCTCTCCACAGATCTGGTACTTCACTTATACAATTTTAGGGTTGTCTTTTCATCGATCACAAACTTAACGTGGAAAGTCATGTACATAACATTTTAGTACACAAGGCTCTTGACCTGTAGTATCACCTGCTTGTCTCCATGGAGATGTAAATAATAAAAATGTACATAGTTCGCCTTTAAGTACCAATTGTGCAGAATTCCAAGTCCTGTGTGAATACATTTTTGGACATATAACTGCACTTTTACATTAAGGTGCACTTTGTAACTTTTTTGTTTGAGGATCCATCACCTGCTTGTTTTTATGGAGATGTCATTGCTCTGCCTGGAATGTTCCACAGTGTGACATTAAACAGCTCTATCTTACCTGTATTCAATTAGAGATAGTTTTATAGCTCAAAAATACCTATAGAAAAACAGATATTCTGACTGTGAATGGGGTTGCCTCTCTGCAGATCTTACCCGTAACTTAGTCTGGCTCAGTCTCCGTGAAGATAGAAAGGTTTAATGCCATAGTGTGAAACATTCCAGACAAAGTAATAACATCTCCATGAAAAGCATTTGACTAAACGGAGCCTCCAGCAGAAAAGTGACACAAAGCACCTTTTAAGACTTAAAAGAACTGCAAAAAGGAGCTCATTTTGTTCAACATAAACATGAAAATGTCTGTTCAAAGCTTCATGCTGCTCTTGTTCGCACAATGTTAGCTTTGTTCTGCCTACTTGTCACTCTACTTTCCTTTTTCAATCTTCCGCGCCCTGTGCCAGCCATAGAATCCTTAAAAGTCTGGGGATAAGTGGCGTGGGCTCCGCATGGCACTGGTACAACCCAGTGAGTAATGACTTCAGAAGGAATCCACCCTGAAAAGATCAGGTTACAAGTGCGCTAAAGCCAAGAGGACAGTCACACCAGACAATGGGAATGTTTATGACGCCAGTGTTACAGGAACAGACAGTTTTCATGTTCTATAGAATCTGATGATGTCATCATTTCGGGGCTGGGGCCTATATAACTCTATGGGAGATTTACTGTTCTTTTCAAAGTCATACCCAAACTTAACCACATATGTTGGATGCTATTATTTGTTTAAGACTGGTTCTACAAACTTCCCATCATAATCTTAAAGGAGCTGTATGTACCTGTGCTCTTACCAAGTTTAAAAGGAACTGCAATCACAACTGAACCTGTGTCTCCAGAGTCATTTGATACCATCGTAAACGATGCATTTTGTGCCTTCTTTATCATTATTATTAGTTTGTACAACCATAAACAAAAACAAAACTGGCATCTTTAAAAAATTAAGATAAGAGCTAAAAAAAAAAAAAAAAAGATTATATTTCCGTTAAAGTTGTTAGCATGTGGAACAATGTGTATGATGATTGAACACTGTAGAAGCCTTTAAAAATTAGAGTATAAAGCTTTATGTTTTGAAAGCTATAGAGCTCTGGAATGAATGATGAATTATGCTTTATTTTGTTTGTTTTAATTGATATTTTGTCTCTTATATATACAGTAAGTCATGAGTGAAATTGTAAACACAAACTTGCTGTTCATACACTGCTTTTCTTTCTTGGAATTATGTCATTGTTAAATAGGATTTGGCATTAGAAGTACTTTTTACTTCAGCCTAAATACTAAAAACTATGTTTTGTTTGTTTGTAGTGCTGCAAAAATGACCATATAAACTACTACTACTACTATTAGTGCAGATAGACACATTCAAGTCTGTTTCATTGTCAGTTTATGGACAGGCCTCATGTGAAAGCTCAGAATTCAAACATTTTCTCCCTGAGCTGCAGAGACTGCATTAGCACTAATTCATGATTGGCTGTAGGTGCTGGGGTTTAGGGAGTGACCATTCAGATCAGAGAGAGTCATTTTAGGTTTAAACACACTGGATTTCAGCACTGAAACTGTCAACACAAATGAGAGACTCATGTGAGGCTCATTCTGCTTTCTGATTGGATAATCATCTTAAAAAACACAACACCAAATAGGCTCTATTTATGCTTACGTCACAAACCAGGACACATGCTAGATCTGCTTAATGCCATACAGTGAAACATTCCAAGCAAAGCAGTGGTCCAAAGTTATTCCTCAATTACTTGGAATATCATTCACCGAGGATG